GGCTAGACACAGTCGCGCACAGTTTCAGAGCACCCGAAACGTTCATGACGGATGGAGGGTCGCATTTCGACAATGGAGATGTACGTGCGTGGTGTTCAGCACATAACGCAAAACACCATGTCGTAGCGGCCTACTCACCATGGATCAACGGTCTAGTGGAGAACGCCAACGGAAAGTTGTTAGGACGACTAAGGAGATTGTGCAGTCCGGGATTAGGAGAGGATGAGAACGAGAACGCGAAGGCAGAGGACATGACGTGGAAGTGGCCAGACCACTTCGATACGGCGATTCGACAGCTCAATGAACACATCATCCCAGCATTCAAATTTTCACCGAAAGAACTCCTCCTAGGACTAGTGGTCAATACCATCCCTACAGCAATCACAGACGCAAGCGCTGAACCAACCATATCGGAGGTGAACATTCATATGGCGTACGTGGACCAACAGCGCTTGGACAGCGCGAACCACGCAACAGCGCACGCAATGAAACGGAAGAGCGTTTTTGATAAGAAAGTGCTGCAGTCATGCGCAGGAGAGGTTATATTCAAACCAGGGCAGCTAGTCCAGGTCTATGCAAATGCTACAGACATGACAATGGCAAGCTCGAGGAAACTCGTACCAAAATGGTCAGCACCCAGGCGAGTGGTCTCTCAGACTAGCAACTCCTATACTCTCACTTCCTTAGAAGGCTTTCCCATCAACGGCCTATTTCATGCGCGAAGACTTCGAAGGTTCATCCCACGTAACGGTACCACGTTGGCGGCACTACAAGAAGCACTACAGGATGAAGGTGCAGACGAAGAAGATGAATCCTTGGAGATGCAGTTGGAGAGAGGAACAATATTGGAGAACGATCTACAGTCAGAAGAGGATGATGTGGAAGACGACGACGAATGGGAGACAGATGCAAAACCAGCTTAGAGTAGAACACGACCCCGGAGGGACGCATTTGGAGAGGGGGCAAATGTAGTGGGGAGCTTCGGGTGAAGGCCGGGGAGACAGGGATAGGAGGAGGACGTGGTCATGAGGGATAGCAGAGGATAGGAGAGTAGAGCAGATGACGCAGTTAGAGGAGGCAAGGACTCGACCGGCAGATTCCGGGGCTTGGGGTCTAGGAGCACATAGAGCACACTCTTGTATCATACCACAGACGACGACGACGACGCTGTCTTCACCCTTTCCCGAGCGCAAGGCTGGCTAGGACAACATGGGTGTGTGTTTCGGGTATTATTAGTAGGAGTACACAGCAGGATTGGAATTTCCTACTTGTAAAACATGGTGTGGTAGCAATACTGTGGCGCGGAACATCAACGGCTCGATCATAAAAGACATTCAATAGATTCGCACATAATACAGCAACATTCACCCGTCTCAGACGGACAGCCGAGTGTGACAATGTACCATTGGGAACGGGCCATCCCATGTGGGCCCATGGACATAATTGTACCATGATATACGAGTGGGCTGGATGAATGTGTGTACCCAAGACATACGGATGGGCTGAGGGTACATTATATAGACAGTGGTATAGGAATGTATTAGTATATAGGACATTATAAATGCTAATTCCTGTTTACATTGGAGACGAGTGGGCCGGCCGGATGTGTGTACCCAAGGTAAACGGATGGGCCGACCATATGAGTGGGCTGAGTGAATCTGTGTACCCGATGCATAAGGATGGGCCGAGAGCATACATTATAGATAGTGATATAGGAATTTACTATTATACATGACATTATGGATGCTAAATCCTGTTTATGATGGAGACGAGTGGGCCGGCCGGATGTGTGTACCCAAGGTAAATGGATGGGCCGACCATATGAGTGAGCTGAATGAATCTGTGTACCCGAAGCATATGGATGGGCCGAGAGCATACAATATAGATAGTGATATATGAATTTACTAGTATACATGACATTATTAATACCAAATCCTGTTTACGATGGAGACGAGTGGGCCGGCCGGATGTGTGTACCCAAGGTAAACGGATGGGCTGGGGGTATATAGTATAGACTGGTACAGGAATCTACTCGAATAGCAAATCTGGTGTAAAATGGAAATGACTGAGCCGGATGAATGATATACACCGGAGATCCGGTCATATTATCATCCGGCAGGTACATCAATATTTTCACTGGCCTATGATCAGGTGCAGGCAAATATACGATCCGGTAGGTGATGATCCGGTGTATCTATGATCCGGTGCAGGCAAATATACGAGCCGGTAGGTGATGATCCGGTACAGGCAAATATACAATCCGGTAGGTGATAATCCGGTGCATCTGTCACATCTCACAAGCCTGTTGTCCGGCATATCCACTATCATATGCTAAAAACATTGCACAAGTGAATATCAATCGGAGTAGACTAAAATATTCATCATCACATGTCTAGACATCTTTCTGCTCAACCAGGTCACTGCGTTGTACATTGCCATATTTTGCATAGTCTGTCCTTGGAGTTCCAACAAAATTATGGATACTATCTCGCATGTACCACGCAGTGACAATCCGGCTACCCTGTTCAACATGCATGTGATGTCTGACAAGGCGACATGATGAGGCCAACATTGACCCGGAGTCATATAGAAACTTGATGCCGAGATTCATGAAATCCATTATGACCGGATGATAAACGCCTGCGGTTGTCATAATATCAAATGCCTCCGGTCGACATTTTGGATCTCTATGAGGTGGTGACTGGCGATTGCAAATGACTGACACTACATTGAAGACAGATGCCCAATGTTTGAGATGATGGCACATGTCTTCTAACTGATACTGGGTCGCCCATGCACCGAGCCTGACTTGAGTTTTGATTCCAGCCCGATATAGATCTGGGTGCATGACCCGAAGTGCAGCAGAGACAAGGATACCAGATCTTTGAAGGGAGGTTGTGATATTGTGACCAACATCACCTTTCAATGCAGCAGATACCTGAGGTGAGAAGCCATCTTCCGGATCAAGTTTTGGGAAACCATGTTTCTACAATACTTTAGACTAGCAACATCAATTGATGTGAACCGGACATACCTCTCTGCCTTGCTGAAACCAGGCGGGTGATATATTGATGCAACCGGGTGTGATCTTCCCATCCGGACTCGGATAGAAATTGGACTCATGGGTCCTCCATTCAGTAGCCTTCCTGGTGGTGATGCTATCGTTCAACAGATGTCCTATGGAATTCGTGGCGCATTGCATGTCTGTCTGTGAATATTGTCATATACATCCGGATGAGATGAAATAAGAAATGAATGTGGATATGAGACAAACCATTATCATGCCAGTCATGGCTCCGGGCAAATACCAGACAATGATTCTGCCTCCGGAATCAATGATGACACTCGGTGTTCTTAGGACAACCTGTTCTGCAGGAGGGAATTTGTCTAAAAGAGTTTGCTCTCGTTTCTCGCTTCGTCCGGATTCATATTTTTCCAGAGATTCATTGTATCTAACCATGTCAATTTTGAGATGAACTGTTTGCAAGTTACTCGACCGGCACAGATATATATGCGAGAATGCATACCAGGATTGAAGTAAGCAACGGCCAGGACATTGGCAAGCTGCTCCAAAGCAATACAAGTGTCAACATCTAAAAGTCCAACACTCATTGGCTTTACCAGTTGCCGATGAATTTTGGACATGAAGGTGTCATAAACCAATTCACCGGCAAGGTAGGTCTGGTATAATGCCCAGTCCAGTGGAATTGTTGTCATGTGTTCAGGAAATCAATGAGTGGTTAAAGTATGAGGAAAGAAAAGAAGTGTTTCATGAATCCGTAACCAGATAACAATGAGCAGGAATCCAGGTCACATGCAATGGACCGGATTTCATCTTCGAAAATCACCACCCATTCACATTGCATTTTAATATACATGGGTATAACATATCTACTGAAGGCTTCCAGACGTCAGATTGGGCTTGACCGTACGGATTCACTGGCATCTGTATTCAACCGGTCCATTAGTGATTGTGAAGACGCCACAGCCCTAGTGAGTTCAGCAACCGGCCCAACTACTCCGGCCAACTTATCACTTGAACGTAAAAAGTTTGTCATCCTTCTCTGCAAAATTTCCAACAGCTCTCTACCGATTGTCGTCTGACGGCACCGCTCAAGAGATGCTGATCCGACCGTTTCCGGTTGACGCACCGGGCCATGTGTGAGCATATATGGGAGGAGGTCGGTTTCCACATGATCCGGCTATTACAATGCAAGTAAGATTTAGTGAGGATCCGGTGTAGGAGGTCAAGATCTCATGGACTCACGAGTTCTGAAAAATGGCCCTCAACCAACTCCATCACATCTTGGACAGATGATTTTGGCAACATGTCCGGCACCCTGCAAGAGCCCAGGTTCTCCTTCCACCAGGCATTGAAGTAGTCTGACATACGAGCAATGTCATATTCATCTGATGTGGCGGAATTGACAGAAAGAGGCAATGCTTTGATATCCATGAGGACCTCATTCACATCCGGTTTCCGGTCCACCAATTTATTCACAACCAAAATTGCAATCACATCGTGGAGAAGTTTTGGAATGGTAGCGGAGCACCTGGTCAGGAAGGATATGTTGATGAATGGAGTTACAAAAGTCTACATGACAGGCGACATGATTTGAGTGCAAGATAAGAATTGACCGGTTGACCGGACACCCAGACAACCGGACAACTGGATGCTTACCTCCATTTCCCATTGCATGAGGGCGTAAAAGATTTCTGCATAACCGGGCATGGCGGTGGCAAAGCTCTTGTCAACATACAGGCGCATGGCCAACAAGCGAGAATTGGCATAGAACAAAGCACGAGAAATCTGTCTGGCGGTGATCTCACCATCCGAGTAGGCCACAATGATTTGATCAGAGGGAACCAAAGTGGCGGCATTATTCATGGTGAGTGTATGATGATGATGTGATGGTGAGACTGACAGTTTGTTTTATTCCCACATTTTCAATATAACTACATATTAGCTAATCCGGGAACTATTTTAACCGGTACCGGAACTATGAACTAACAACCGGTACTTCCGGCTGAATGACCGGAATCACTTTCTGAAAAGACTCCACTGCATGTGCAGCTAGTTGTCGATATATGTGACATTGTCGGGCAGCATAACACGCATGTCCGGTTAGCCCAGTGTAAGTGGCGTTGTCCATGAGACTTAGCCATTGCTTGGCCTTGTAGGTAAAGAAATTGACAGACCACTGCATTTCATGTTTGACAAGAATGACCTCTTCATTCCAACGATCGCACAGGGCCTTTGTCCGGAGCCAATTGACTTGATAGACTGTTGTTGCAATATGTGAGACCGGATCACCCAATATCAACGGATATGCAGGATACTCACATTCTGTCATCCAGTCATTTCCGGATGTATCACCCTGAACATTGATTGACCAGAACCATGCGAGAGTAGCGTCCCTCTGACCACGTGCATTTGGATCTGCAACTGCAGCGTTTGCCTTCAGGTGTTCTTTCTTTAGCGGAAGATATTTCTTCAGGAGGTCGTGATCAGGGAGTTTGGCTAGCTGCAACCGACATTTTGAATATATCCTGGCATTGAGATTGACTACCATTTCCACCGAGCGAACCTGAGTCCATGCCCTGGTGGAGGAGGCTTGTGACTTGGCTGACCGGATAGTATTCCAGAATATAACAGCTTTATCTCCCAAATGAACTCTAATTGCATGAAGGGCATCATTGGCCTGACCTTCACGAAAGGCAGTTTCTTCTTTCATGAGATCGGTGAGACCCAATTCATTGCATCTCACTATACCGAGGTTGGAAGGCAAAGGTAAGATAGTGAGCTCAGGTTGAAAGATGGAGGCATGATGTGTTTCCGGATCCGGATCCGGATTGTGATCGTCATCGAGATCGGAATAATCTTCATCCGGTGAATTATGAACCGTGTCTACCAGAGAATCCTGTTCATTGCCATCAACTGCAAATCCAAGATAGGTAGGTGCCATCTCAAGAAAGCTTGTAATGCGAGTTTGCAGCTTATCTCTGAGTCAGGCTACTGTCAACAATTGAATGTCTGTAGGATGCCTTCCGAGCCTTTTCACATCTCTAGAGAGAGAGAGAGATTTGGGATTCTTCTATGGTCAGACCAGTTGCGAGCCAAGTGGCTGCTCCTCGCCAACTAGGGGAATTGGTAGCTGGATGATCCGGGCGATTTTGAGCCTCCAGCAGGCGCAACTCCTGCTGCTTTCTAGTTGGAGCTGTAGATCATGCCATCCAGATAATAATCTGTATGTGATCAGGACCGGATGAGTAGTAGTAGAATTTGACACTTGCCTTTTTCCAACCAGACCTCATAAATGTCCATGGCTGTTGGATCCTCCAGTCTGTTTGCCTGAGCAACAGCCTCCTCTGCTTCCCAAAGAATGACCATGGCAGGCTGAACTGTCTCGTTAAGATTTTGGAATGAGAGTGTGCTCTCTGCAGCACCCTGAACAGCCTCTTTAAACTTTCTGCAAAGAAACTTGGCTAAGGGGCAGGTCAGCCGGGAATGAATAATATGAGACCGGGCCATTTTTGTACATCCGGATATTGGCAACTCACTTATGCGAATCATTTTCATGAAGTTTGAATCATTCATCTGATAATCCAATACCTCCTTGCGATGAGGAGTTCCCATGCCCCTGGCTGACGGGGAGATTATGTTTAAAGATGCCCAGAGTGTTTCCATGATCTCTCCGTCTATCCTGCCGGTCCCATGGATAAAATTCAATGCATACCGGACATAGCAGCTGTCCTGATGGCCATGCACATGCCACAAACCTATTCCAGGAATGATATCCATGCCAATGGGGATGGACAGATACATGCTTGATGCGATCCGGTCCTTGAGAAACTTATTATACTGACAATTTATATCATAGAACATTATTGCTTGTGAGATTCCATCTGTATTGTAGTTGAGTGCTTGACTCAAGGCATAGTCCATGTTCATCTGCCTGATTATTTTTCGAGATCAGTAAGACCGGAAATGCATGTAACCGGATGCAATGTCCATTTACCTTTCACCCTTCTGAAAATCCACCATGGAATGTGGGACAAAACATCCATGCCGTGCACATGCACATCCTCCTATACCTGTGGCCTCTAGCTTTTGTCGGGAGGCATTGGCTTGATTGACTGCATGGTGATTGTTACAATCTGACTTTTGGACATGGTCTTGGGCAACAGCCAAATGACTCTTGTATCTTTCATCTCCGACCATGAATGCAAGACCATCAATCAATGATACTTCATTGGATGGATTCACCGGATGGAGGTGCTCGGCTTTAAAATTACCATCCATGACCAAAGTCCTGGTGAAGAGCCAGGAAGGGGTGTCGTCCGGCTGAGTGGCCGTACCAGTTGACCGGTCCAAATTTATCCCCGGTTGAGGACATGCCGGACAGAATAGGGCGAGGTCACCGGTCTTAGGCTCATCATTTTTATGGGCAAACCCATGCCACTTGTAGAGCTTACATTGACGCCATTGTCTGACAGTCCTCATGAGCTCTCTGTAGCGATCCTGCAAATATTATTGTTCGATGACCGGCTGAAGTAGAGAATGAAAACCGACTTACCAGAACCATCAATGGAAAGATGCTGGAGGTTAGCCTCCGGATCTTACTGTAGTAATTCATGGCTGATGTACCACATTCCAGGTTGTCTAGCAGAAAGTCGTCCAACACGGAGAATGTGAATGCAGTTTTTGGTCTGGTGAAGGATGCTGGAAATAAGCCTGCTTGAAAGAGCTGCATATCCGGGTTTAGAGCTCCGGGGCAGTGGCAATACCATATGGATACAGAGTGAACACCGGATTTGTTGACTATGGTTGTAGCCGGATGATCTGAGTCTGCGACAAGTGGAATGGAAGTTCCCTCCGGATAATCATTATGGTCTATATGTTCATCGGTATCTGACCATTCAAAGAGGTCTGATGAGTATTCAGTGCTGCTGGGACATGGAGTGCCATCATGAGCAAGGTGAATGTGCAGGCCGACTTTCATAAGTGAAGTTTCTTGAAAAAATGATCCGGTCCATTGACTGATGCGATGAAAAGGATGTCTTTGATGCTGGGTTCTGCAGCACTCTGTGCAAAACAGGGGCTCGTTGAAACACCCGTGGCATTTATAAACCCCATCCTTCTTGCAAACTTCACAAAGCCGGTCCAGAGGAGGGGTTTCTCGGACCATGAGTAAATTTATGTAGTCCTTGAACTTGCGCTTCCATTGCTGGAGATATTCATTCTGACTCTGCATGATCCGGTCAGATGAAGACTGCAGATATCAGAAGAACTTCTGCTTGCCAGAGATTTTGGTAATTTAGGCTGAGGCATGTAGCCTTGGTCAAAGTCAAAGTCAGCACCGTCATAGAGCATCTGAGAGAACCCGGCTGTGCTTTGAGGGAGATTTTGTTGGTGAGGATGTCACCGACTTTGTTTTCGGGGACCATGAATCTTTCACCCAAGATGACCTGGTTCCTCTGGAAGTAGTTTTCTCCTTCAGTTTATATAGCTGAGGCAATCGTTTCTTCATCGGAGGAGTGTATGTGATTCCCTTTTGTTTGGTATTTGCCATGATTGATACCAAGACCTAAAGGATTGTTGGCCTGGGGAGTGCACTTAAGCTTGATGATCGGCAGGCATATAACTTTACACCTGTTCCTTCCTTCAACTCCGGCCTCTGAGTGATTTGAATCACCGTATTACCATTCCTGTTTGTCATTGAGGTACCAACTCCGGCCTCTGAGTAATTTGAATCACCGGATTACTACATTTTCTGTTCCTATGTGTCAGTGAGGTTACCGGGTGATCAGAAATCTTGGAACATCATCTCTATTTAGGATATATTAAGGTCAGAGCAACCGAGTTTGCCATAAGTTTCGTCATTTCCGGGTTAGTTAATCAAACACATCGTAATCCTGCCATCATCCCAATTCCCATAGATTTCTTCCGGTATAAATGTGTCTCCCTATGCTGTATGGCATTTTAAGAGTATTACTGTATGCTGCCTGTATACTATATGATAAACTTGGTCTAAGTTTGTGTGTTTTGCAGTCCTAAATTCTATGAACCGGAAACACAGGGCATGTTAAGCCTGAGAGTATCATGTTGGCAGACAATCTCTTGTTCGGTTCTACTTTCGGATACATGGTGGCGATTGGCTATGTAAGATTATACTGTATCCTTTCTTCTACCAAGACCTCAACTGCTTTGCAATGGCCCGATCCAACTCATCAGTACACAGCCCCCAAAAGACCAAGCAGAAATTGACTGAGGAAGAGCTGCTGGTCTTACAATCTCACCTAGAAGAATGGAAGGAAGCGACCAGTAAGGATAGGAAAACGATTTTGAGGGCGGTCATAAAAGAGGCCAAGATGCAAGCCCCTAAGATGGATGCCCGGCTGTTGAAGAAAAGGAAATCTGTAAGCAGCCAATCTTCTAATTTCATAAATGCTCATGATGGATGAAGATGTACCGGGACTGGTTATATAACTGGAGAGCGGAAAAGACACTCAAAAAACGAAGCAAGTTCAGTAAGAAATGGACTACCCGGTTGGTGATAGAACACCAGTACAAGAAGGAGATCCTTGAAAAGACAGGAGCAAGGCCAGGAGGGAAGGAAATGATTAAACACTACCAGGGTGCGGTCAATGCAATTATGGCTGGTTTATCTGAAGAGCAGCTGGATGAAGCAAATACGACTGCTATAGAATGGTCTAGCAGTGCTCCTCCTACAGATGTCCAGGCTGAGTTCACTCAGAAGAAAGCTCCTGGTATGATGAAGGATCTTGCGACTCAGTTATGGAGGCAGGCTGGTATGAGGATATTCATATTGTCTGCATGGAAAACTGAGGAAGGCGAGGTGAGGATCAATGGGTGAGTGACATTTTAATTCTCTCAACCGGTAAAGACGGCCTGATCCGGTCATAAGAATTGACTTCAATGAAAAGTTAGAGGGCAATAGTTTCACAGATACAAAGGACTGGAAGTCCATGTTACCAGAGTGGAATGCCTATGTCGGAGAAGAGTTTGGTGAGCTTCTTTTTTGTGCAATGTTGATGCATCCGGTCAAGTACTTACACCATGTGATGCCAGCAATTGACCAGAATAATGATGACGATGGCAATGAGGATGCTGATGGGAAGGAGAGCAGAAATCCAAGGAGAAAGAAGGAGGAGTTTACTTTAGAGGTCGATGCCTATGGGCTTCCGGTCATACCGGATATTGAGCCCCTCAACTTAGAAAACAAAAAGTCTCTTATCCGGACATTCCTCACAAAACACTACAGTAAGTTTCACAAATGAAATATCTGGAGGGTTGATAGAGGAATTACTTATTTTGCAGGGTTTTGCAGTCAAAAGCCAAAGGCGTCTGTTCCTTGGTCTGCAGTGACGGAGGCTCAAGAGAATTTCATCGAGCCCAAGTTTTTGCCTACCGGTGGAAAGATCAAGGACCCATCCAAGCTTCAGCTGCATGACGCTGACCGGCTCTTGCAGTTCTGGCATCAGAGACAAAAGGACAAGGTTCGGCCAACATTTGAATTCAAAGGCTGGCAAGACCATGAGAAGGAGATGAGGGAGCTGGTGGAGAAGATCTCAGAGGGCGACTCTAGCACAACATGCAGTCCAGTAACAGCAAAGACCAGAGTTCCGGTTCAAAAACCAACCGGTAGGTTGACCGGAAAGTCATCTGGCAAGTCAACCATCAGGGTGGAACCGGAGTCAAGCAGTGAGGGCGAGAATGGTGAAGGTGAAGGTGAAAACGATGAAGCTCGATCACCGCCTTCCAAGCTGAAATCAACCGGAAAGCTGAAATCAACCGGAAAGCCAGGCAAAGCTGTCCAATCTATTCCGGTTAAAAAACCACCTGCAAAGTCAACCGGAAAATCATCCGGTAAGCCGGCCAGAAGGGTGGAAGTGGAGTCAAGTGGTGAGGAAGAGAATGGGGATGAAGGCGATGCTGAAGTCCAATCACCGCCCCCGGAGCGCCAATCTATTGGAAAGCGAAGCAGAGCCGTCAGATTTCATCCGGAGGAAGACTCCGGCCCATTGGTCAAGAAATCTAAATCAAATGTCATTGGGCGCAACATACCACTGGAGGACGATGCTGGCACTCCTTCAGCAGAATCATCCAGCAATCATTCTACAGCCCCACTGCCTCCCAAAACTGCATCAAGAAGTAGCTTTGTTGGTCCTGCATCAGCCGGTCGAATGAAGAAGTCCGGTCAGAAGCAGAAGTCCGGTCAGAAGATACCTGCACCTAAACCAATGGCTCCTGCCACCACACAGGGCACTGGTAAGAAAACTCAAACAGATGGAGCCCACATTGATAAGCCGGAGCCAAAGCGCTCCACTAGAGCTGCAAAGGTGTCTTATAAAGTGAATTACATGCAAAGAGCGTAATCATCACATTTCATTGAATGTACTATACAAGGGGTGGAAAGTATCAATGGTATATATATAGATGTCATGTCGACAGTTGGTATATTGATATAAGTTGAAATGCCAATAATAACTCACTGGTGGACTGAAGAACTTCCTCGCTGACAAGTGCTTCTTCCAGCGACATTGTACCATGAGCCCTTTCCATCTCCAACCAGTGCATTGCCAAGCACAAGTCACCTACAGCATGCTGAATCACAAATCCGATAGGTTCCGGTTCACTAGCCATCTCCAAAGGGGTCTCTTCTGGTTGAATATTCAATTGATGAGCAAGATCATGTGCCGGATCTGTCCCAAAGCCCATGCCCAAAGGTGTCTCTTCCGATCGAAGACCCACTGAATGTACATGTAACAGCGTAACCTAATAAAATGATAAAACTCACTTGACTGATCTGGAATATCAACCGGATCAACACTGGAAGGCCTCTGGTCCGGATGATCATGTTGAACCACAGGCGAATTAAAACCCATGTCAAATGACATCTGCTCCGGATCACGATGTTGAACCGGAGGTGAATAAAAGCCCATGTCTAATGACATCTGGTCTGGATCATGATGTTGAGCCTGAGGTGAATGAAAGCCCATGTCTAACGACCTCTGGTCCGGATCATGATGTTGAACCGGTGAACGAAAGCCCATGTCAATATCCGGATGACCGTGTTGAACCGGAGGTGAATTGAAACCCATGTCCAAAGGGCTGTCTTTCACCGAAACATCATTGACTTGATGATAATCATGAGTAATCCCATTCCTTGCATATTGAATCAACCAAATACCTGAGCCACCAGCCAGTTGATTGTGTGCCAGGAAGTTCAGAGAGCTGGTCGCCGGCTCCGCGAAATCATTGGTATTGAATGAATGGCCAGGTGGAAATCCCATGTCCAACTCGGATATAGGTGTGGCAATTGAAGACCGGTTAGTATTGGACAGAGGGAACCCCATATCCGATGCGTCTGACACCGGTTGGCTTGGGAACCGGTCGAAACCCATGTCTAATGACCGGCTGTTCTCGATCCTGCATTCTGGCATCGTCAAAGTCTTGCCATCCTTCCACCGGTCATAAGCAGATGCAACATCTAGGTCTAGAAGGCATCAATAATTAGGTGTATAGGTCAGTATGAGAGGACTTACAGTCGCCAATGTTTGAGCAATTCATTCCAAGGCTGTCGTGTCCTGGTTCCAATATGAAAAACACTGCCGTATCATGTGAGGTACCTTCCGGAAAGGCAATTGATTTATTACCTTTGGCCTCGCTAGATAAGTGTAAATGATCCTCAATAATCTCTGAGGGCGAAATTCTTTTCCTCCTTCTGCTGAATGACTTGTCTAAATCAGTATATTTTGTGCGATATCCGGAATGTGTCATGGGTTGTTCCAAAGCCTGTCAGTGGATGCTGTACTCACGCCAATTTGATAGCGATGACGTGGCAACAATGGCATTCGCACAAGGACACATGGCAACTGCGGAGAAGAGAACCGGTACATTAATTGTTCTTTTGGAAATATCCGAAATCACCCGAACATCCGGCAATTTTCAATTTCCTCGTTCCCTGCCGGATCAAGAGAACCGGTACATTCATTGTTCTTTCGGCAATATCCGAAATCACCCAAACATCCGGCAATTTTCCATTTCCTTGTTCCCTTCCGGATTTCTTTTGCAAGCCAACCTGCTACTGTCATTTTGTCTTACTGCTGATATGTCTTCCAACATTAGTACTGCTGCTGCCGCCACTGCCAACCAGGCACTCATTGCCCTTCTCGCCAGGTTGAATCAGATGGTTGAAGAGGTTCTCCGGTCCCGGTCAGAAGATGAGAGGATGAGGTTGAGCAGAGCCATTGCATCTCAAATGGTACATTTGTCATTTTTTTTGTATTGTATCCATTAATATTGTTAGAATGATGCCATTCACTCCTACCAGACGACAGCTACCTACATCCCCCTTCGCCTGCTCTCTATGGCAGCTGAGATTCATAGAGCTCAGGGGGGCACCATGCGATTGGTTCAAGTACCGGATTGGACTCGTGTTGGCAACAATGAGGACATTTGCCGAGGTCATCTGTTATACCCTAAGACATTGGGTCCTGCTCCCACTCCACCAACCACTACCGCTGCACCAACACTGCTATCTGGCCCTCCACCGGCACCGGTACCGGCACTTGCACCTGTAGCCAAACCTGCACCGGCACCTGCTCCTGTACCGGCACCTGTTCCTGTACCGACACCTGCTCCTCAACCGGCACCTGCTCCTGTACCGGCACCTGCTCCACCGGCACCTGCTCCACCAGCATTTGCTCCACCGGCTCCCAACACAATCCGCATTCCTGGCAATACATCTGGTGCCATTGCAGGCCCATCGAGACCACGCAAACAACAATTCAGCGCGAGTCCCCCATGTCAGGTCAAGAGGGCCCGGAAGGCTATCCCCAAGTCGAAGCCACTGTTAACAGACACGGACACTGACGGCGATACAGTTCGCATTGGCAAAGATAAGCCCAAGGCGAAGGGAAAAGGAAAGGGAAAGGTGAAGGCGAAGGCAAGGGCAATGTCACCGGATCGCGATAACTGGCCAATGATCAATAAGGTACGTTCATTTTTTCAATATCAACACCGGCAATGTCATTGATTCGTACAGAATTTACCAACCATTGTCATTACCACTCGGCCAATGCTGCCCCCTCCAGACCAGAAGAAGAAGGCCGCTGACTCGGAGGAATACGAACCGGAGGAGGAGGAGGAGGAGGAGGAGGAGGAGGCGGATGAAGACAATGCAATTGAGCCTTCTGGGACACGGGTCAAACCGGGCGAGGGACGATTACCAGTAAGTTTTCATATTATTGCACCTATCGTGAGTATGGCTAATATAATCATGATAATAGTCCAAGTCCGGTACAGATCGTACCAGAACAGCCAAGGACAAGGCAAAGACCAGGGGCAAGCATCCACAGCCAGTAAGACATCCGGTAACTCTCCACCGGTTGTGCTATACTAATTCTTCATAGAAACCCATTGGTACGCCTCTCCTACCATGCAGGAGATGCACAATTATGAAGGCCAAATGCGAAAGCTGGTTGACCAAAAGGGGCGAGGTCGCCCATACTTGCATTCTTTGCAGCAAGTGGAGGATGAAATGCATCCGGCTGGATGATCCGGTCCTACCGGCCACAGCCATCGTCACTCGCTCCAAGACGACCGGAAAAACCAAGACCGTTGGGCAGTCAAAAAACAAAGGCAAAGGTAAAGGCAAGTATCTTATTTTCCGTAGTATATCTACTAATTGTATTCTTCTAGTCGTCCAAACTCAGCATCCCAGTCCTATTCCAGAGGAACCAGATGTCGATGTTGATATGACCGATGCCCCTGCACTCACCGGCACCGAACATCCTGGTACTGCTACCGATGCAGGCCCTGAGGTATCTGTCGATGATTTTTTGACGGATCGATGGATCGAAGCCATGGATGAAACTACCCTGCCCCCAGCACCATTGATAGAGACACCGGATGACATCCGGTACTCGCCGGACTATCCTCATACTCGAAGACCCGCCTCTCCTGTCGACATTTCTGTACCTCGTCAGACTCCCCAGCCCCGTTCTTTGACCAATGTCCAGATGGATGCCCTCCTGGCACAAATTCAGATCGACATGGATCAGCTCTGGACACGTGACGACATTATTCATGATGAGCTGTCCCATCGTATCGACCGGCTGCAAGCCGGCTTTACAAACGAATTAGCCTCCCAGAAGGGAGTGGTAGATCAGTTGACTTTTCAGGTCAGTGGTATCGCCCGGTACCTCAGCAACAGCCACAGGGCCACCACAGCAGCCGGTTCAACTCCACCAGCATTCAATCCGCCACCCATTGTCATCCCCGATACCCCCACATTCCCTGACTTTGGCTCAATCAGCGCCTTGGGTCGTTCCATCACCAACAATGTCTTCACTCCGGATGTGTTTTTGACCAACACGCATCCTGTCGGAGATGGCTCACCAGTCGCAAGGCATGAGCAGGTACCTACACCCTCCACCTCTACCATCAACCCTGTCCCCACCATGGGGGAATCCGGTCCACACAGTCATCCGGTCCACACAGTCATCCGGTTAGTGCACTTCCGGTACCGGCCCCTACTGTCCCAATGGCATCTATGCCCTCCACTAGTACCCTTCGCACCATGCTCACCGGGCCACCACATCTGCCGGCAGATGGTCAGTCCCTTTCGGCTCCTTTACCGAACTGGGCATTTGCACCTCAATCATGGCAACAAGGTCGGTCGGTGAGTGCTAGGCATGACAAGAACCCTTCTGGTAATAGGGCCAAGTAATGCCAGTACATGTAGTTTGTTTTGTCGATAAGGACAATCTAATGCCATGGTAGAATGTATTAGATGGTGTATTAGATTGTCCGGTTCATGTATGTATTAGATTGACCGGTTCATGTATGTAGTATACTGGCCGATGGGCTTGTGAAATGATTCATCAACCGGATAATGTAGCTACCAGATCATGGGCCGGTGATTAAAATGCACCTGCTGGATGATAATATGACCGGATCTCCGGTGTATATCATTCGTCCGGCTCGGTCGTTTCCATTTTACACCGGATTCGCTATTCAATAAGATTCCTGTAAGTCTGCTATATACCCCTGGCCCATCCGTTTACCTTGGGTACACATCCGGCTGGCCCACTTGTCTCCATCGTACACAAAATTTGGTATTAATAATGTCATGTATACTAGTAAATTCCTATATAACTATCTATACTGTATGCTCTCGGCCCATTCGTATGTGTCGGGTACACAGATTCACTCAGCCCACTCATATGGTCGGCCCATCCGTTTACCTTGGGTACACACATCCGGCCAGCCCACTCGTCTCCAATGTAAACAGGAATTAGCATTTATAATGTCCTATATACTAATACATTCCTATACCACTGTCTATATAATGTACCCTTAGCCCATCCGTGTGTCTTGGGTACACACATTTACCCGGCCCACTCGTATCTCATGGTACAATTATGTCCATGGGCCCACATGGGATGGCCCGTTCCCAACGGTACATTGTCACACTCAGCTGTCCGTCTGAGACGGAGTGAATTCACTGAAGGGGCTCAGATTCGCGCACCTTGAGGAGCAGTGATGTGAAGACGTTCGTTACCGAGAACACTTCAGGAAAGAGAATGATCATGAATGAGTACGGAAAAACAGCGCGTACGAGTGCTAACTCACAAAAACCGCATGCATAATAGGATATGTTATGGTTCACCAGGACAACGTACAGATGGCTTGGGTTTGTCCGCCAGTTCTGTATGGCACGTATGAGCGTGAGTATCATGAGTTCTGGGGAGAACACATATCAGCACATCTTTGTATGTATGTATGCTCCCAGTTACCCACCCAGTTCGAAAATGCAAAAGAAAAGAAAAGGTAGGAAGAGCCAATAACTGGTCGAACTCCAGTAGCACCCCATAATTTCCGGGATCGCGCTAGTCGCATCTGTGAAAGTAAATAGAATGTTTCATTGGTCGTGGAACACCGGAGAGTAGGTGAGAGTGCATACATGTTACGGAGACCGTAGCGTCGACGGCAATGCTGAGGGATGCTCCGAGAAAAGTCTGGCTGATGCATCTACCACTAGCTTGGGTAGTGAGTGGATTGGGAACTCACGAAAAAGGTAGATAGCACGGCTATGAGCAAAATTCTATTTTTGTTCCAGAGCGCATATGTTCTGAGGATGAAAAAACCTGGATGAATCGGATCAGGAACATACATATCTCAAGGAGGTAGGAGAGATACAATCGGAGCAAACAGCTAATAGCATGCCGAACCCTGTGGGGTATCCTCAGCAGGGATGTGCATAGATGGATATACCACGTACCTGAACTTGTATGATCCAACGCCCCAGATTTCTGGCAAAGTTATGGAGTAAGTCATTCGTTCTCATTAACTCTCCGCCGCATCACATACACCTGGGTTCTCATTCGGGGTAAAGCTCACTAAGAACAAGTGTTAATTCATCATCGGGGAGATGTATGCTGGAGCAGAACACATCACATAGATTCATGGCGAGCATGATAAAGGGGAGGTATCATGTGACAATATACAGGCCTTTCACCTTGGTCCAGTGCGATCGAAGCAAAAATGTCCACTTTGCACAGCATATTGTGAGTATCAAAACCGAGGTGTGTCATGAAACACGTATGTTACCTCTTCATGAAGTGAACATGCATAATCATAGGTCTAGATAAGTGAGTTTGACAGCGGACGTGAATAGATTAGAATAAGCTCACCCAGAATGTAGCCATCGACGCTGAGCTCTATTAATAGGACGAAAATATGAGGTTCAGACAGTACGCACTATATATGTACTGATGATACATGACTTGTCAATTATGATTTGTCCTCATATCGACAAAGGAGACACACCGTAGTGAACTGCAAGCTCCTCGCTGCTGCGACATAGTTAGTCGAATACTCCATCTAAAGGAAATGTGTTTCACACACACATCATATGCCTTCTCAGCTCTTATAAATGAGCTGTGAACCCATCAAGGTGGCAGGGTAAATGCTTGTGATCATATCATTTGAGTTCCAACTTAGCTTGCTGTGGTCGTATCACCATCATGATTTCACTCGATACACCGGCTGGGGAGCAAATTGATAGAAGATACAGTTGCACCTCCAATGCCTGAAGTAGTATGTAGTTTCGATGAGTCATACTCTAGTCCGAGGCACATACATTGTTTGGTCTTTAGTTAAACTACATTATAGACGCGGAACGCACCTAATAATTATATATAACTTACACAGGTTTGATCAAGTGAAGCACAAAGATTGATTCGGAAACTCGCCGCACGCACTCATTGTACTGGCCCCTGATTTATGAAGCTTCTGAAGCTCAAAGTTTGATACATTATAGTCACTTGAAATGCGAAGACCTCGGAGGGACCTAAAGGAACTTTCAGAGCTCTAATTTGAGATATCAACTGCCCTCGAGTACTAGTACTTACTCGGTCGCCGTTTTTTCGATGTCCCAATTTCTACAACCCGTTAGGACTACCTTGAAGGCCCTGAGCCTATCCCTTAGATGAACAGAATCGTGTGACGACAACAAGGGCCTTTACCTTGGTTGAGAGCGATCGAAATGGGAATCAGTCAACAATCACTGTGGAAATGAGAAATTGTCCAGACCCTATCTGGACGTAGATGACCCGTCTGCCTAGACACAACACGTACCTTGTAGTATATCTGTACACAAACCAGACTTGAGTAATTTGGAGGTCGCAGCTCTTTGACTTTGGACAAAAACGGACCCACGGTTAGAGGTGACATGGTGTAAACACACCCAAACCAGACCACAGACATATGTTCTTACCACCAAACCATACACGTCCAAGTAGCGTTCTAAACCAGACACTAATCAGGCTACAGGTATCCTCAAAAGATGTATCCGGACATTGGGATAGCCCAAAGGGTCAAGTCACCACAAAAAATCGCTAAGTCCTTTTCTTTCGCATCCAAATCATGCCACTCATGTTCGAAGACAACACCATACGCCTCGAACTACCTCTCAAGTACCCTGAAACGATATGTATCACCTTTATTCCAGACGTACCTGGGCCCCTCGTATGTTGTTTTTTTATCATTGTCGAAAATTAGCGTCTCATGTTGCTAGACAATCGAAATCATACCGTCCACTTGCACCACCACGAGGTCTCCCGAGACACCCAAGGAAAAAGGCTCGTTCTCCACGGACCTTGTGGTCTATGCAACAGAGCTCGAAGAATATTGGCTGTATGATAGGCTGATATAGTCAGCATGCAGTATGTTCGATGGTGAGTAGTCAATGACTTTTAAATCCGGATGTTTATTAGAGATATTCTTCTTACCAGCGGTGCTCTTAGATGCACCCAATGCCATCATCGCATCAACACTTGTCAGCAACTCCTTGAGCACATTTTCATGTTTCTCTGCATGTTCGTTAGCTGTTTGCTGGTTTGCGAGGATAATCTGGCTAGCAGATTCAACGGCAGCAAGATGAGCATTCATTTTCTGCATCTCGGTGAGTAGCTGCTGCTGGAGGTTGTTATGGTTCATTGACGAGTCATTTCGCTGCATAGTGCCATGAAATTGGGGCGTTGGAGGCACTGAATATCCTCGCATACCCAGATGCTCGCCGGCACCCATCATGGGTGTACCAGGGGGTACTGAATGCCCACGAGATCCAGGATCGCCGTACGGAGTGGCATTCACTGGGTTGTACCCATTGGAAGTGGGTTGGTCAAACTGTTGAGGACGCAATTGATTCAATCCAGATCCACTCTGAGGCTGCGGTCCTCCAAAGTCATATCCCCCGCCCTCCCCGCTGTACAAACCCAACGCTGATGGACGGAAACCATGGCGATGATCAGGCATTGTGTCCATGAATGGGTCGTTTGGAACCATCGGGGGTAATGGTGCAGGGTGTGGATTTGCGTTTTGTGCTGTATTGACAGGTTGGTCTACATGAGCATCAGCTCCATCTGGACGGCGCTGCATGCCTAGATGGTGCTGGTACATAACGAGAGGATGTGGACAACTGGGGGTTCATCCAGAAGCACCTTTTTGTTATCCGGTTCATGGAGGTCCGGGGTGCTGAGCTGCGTAGGAGGATCCGCATGTATTTCCTTAAGCTATGTCTGTATTCTATCTATATGCAATCCAGACTCTATCTATGTTCTATCCATACCTGAGGACATATACATTTAAGTCCTATCCATACTTCACCTCGAGTATGGTTTGCTTGACGGTCCTCAAACTAGACACCAAGCATTACATCTAACTAGAGTACAGTTAGTGTTCGAAAATCGTGACATTCCGCACTTTTTTTGAACCCAGGCAGATGACATTGCACATATCTAGTTTAGGTACAGTTAACACCGCTATCTATCCTCTATCTGGATACGGACAATTTCTCGTTTCCGCAGTGAATGTGTAATGATAGAGATAGACGCAGTCCACACGTGACTGTTTGTTTTGCTGATAGCTTTACATAAAACCAAACAGCGCCTCGGCAAGAAACAGTAAACCGTGACCAGAATGGCGGTTCAGCAAATGCTCCCATACTAGTACTCTAATGCCCAGAAGACTTTGGTCTTCATCCAAAAGCTACAATATCAAGAACTGATCGGCTCACTGATTCTGGCTCCAGCACACTCGAGTTCTGGATCCTGAGTGCGCCACCGCTTGCAGTGGAAACTACATGTGTTAAACAGACCAAGGCCATTCAAATGCTCCACCCTGCGATAGATTCATCTATAAGTTAGGCACGTAACGAACTCTACCGAACCCACCACCAGTCATCTTGTATGGTCCAACCCTCGCTCCACAAACAACACCGAATAAACCACAACATAAAACATCATGCGATGGAAATTACAGTTGACATATCGGACATTGGGATACCTACGGAGGCGCCAGAGCCGTGTGCATGTTGGTTTATCCGCCAGAGATGGAGGTGCATGCGCGTGGTGAGGATTGCAAGGATCGTGAACTCGAAACTATACATGGGTGTACGTTTCGGGTATTGTTAGTAGGAATACGCAGCAGGATGTGGAGATGCATACTCATACAACATGGTGCGGTAAGAGGCCTGGGGCGCGGAACATCAACGGCTCGGTCAAAAAAGGCACCCAATAGATTCACGCACCTGGAGGAGCAGCGACATGAAGATATTCGTTACCGAAAACACTTCAGGAAAGAGAATGATCGTGGATGAGTGCGGTGCGTACGAGTGTTAACTTACGAAGACCGCATGCATAATAGAATATGTTATGCTTCACCAGGACAACGTACAGAGGGCTTGGGGATCTCTGCCAGCTCTGTATGGCGCGTATGAGCGTAAGTATCATCAGTCCTGGAGAGAATATCTGTCAGCACGTGTTTGTACATATATATGCTCCTGGTTACCCACCCAATTGGAACACGGAAAAGAGAAGAAATGGCATAAAGTACCAGAAACTAGTCTCATAGCACCCTGTGATGCCCGGGATCGCGCTAGTCGGATCTATGAAAATGAACAGAATTTTCCAGTAGTTGTGGAACGCCAGAGGGAAGGTGAGTGCGTACATGCTACGGGGACGGCAGTGGCGAAGACAATGCCGAAGGATGCTCCGAGAAAAGTCTGGCCGATGCATCTATCACTAGCTTGGGTGTGATGAGTGGATTAAGAACTCACGAAAAAAGTGGACAGCATGGCTGCGAACAAGATTCTATTTTTGTTCCAGAGCACATATGTTCTGAGGATGAAAAAACCTGGATGAATAGAATCAGAACCACGCATATAATATGGGGAAACGGGAGATACATCCGGAGAAAATGGATAATACTGTGCAAAGACCTGTGAGGGGAAAGTAGTAGCCTTCAGCAAGGACGTCCATACATGAATGCACTGTGCACATACCTGAGCTAATATGAACCGATACTAAACATTCCTGGCAAAGTCAGTGAGTTGTTTTTTCCATTGACTCTCGCCGCATCACATACACTTGTGTTCTCATTCAGGGTAAAACTCCCTAAAAACCAAGTGTTAATTCATTATCGTGGCGATGTGTGCTGGAGCGCAACGTACTATATAGATCCGTGGCGAGCATGATAAAGGGGAGGTATCGTGTGGCAATATACAGGCCTTTCATCTTGGTCCAGTGTGATCGAAGCAAAAATGCCCACTTTGCACAGCATATTGTGGGTATCAAAACTGAGGTGTGAAATGGAACAAGTGTGTTACCTCTTCATGAAGTGAACATGCATAATCATAGGTCTGTATAAGCGAGTTTGACAGCGGATGTGAATAGATCAGAATAAGCCTACCCAGAATGTAGCCATCGACGCTGAACTGTGTTAGGACAAAGAATATGAGGTTCAGACAGTACGCACTGTATATGTACTGATGGTACACGACTTGTTAATTATGATTCGCCCCCATATCGACAGGGAGACACGCCGTAGTGACCTGCAGACTCCTCGCTGTTGCGATATCGTCAGTTAAATACTCCATCTAGAGGTCAGAAAATGGATTTCACACACACGCATCATGCGCCTTCTTAACTTTTATGAACGAGCTGTGAGCCCATCAATATGGCAGTGAAAACACTAGGGATCATATTATTCGAGTTTGAACCTAGCTTGTTGTAGTGTTTCACTATCATGACTCATTCGCAAGATGTACCGGCCGCCGGCCAGGGAGCAACTTGGTACAGTTGTACCTCCCCTAAGACAGTAGTTTCAATAGTCGTGCTCTATTCCGAGGCACATACATTGTTTGTTCAGTCTTTGGTCAAACTATATAACAGACGCAGAACGCACCTAATAACTATATATAACTTACATAGGTTTGATAACTGAAACACAAAAATTGATTCGGAAACTCGCCGCGTGCGCTCATTGTACTGGCCAGTGGCCACCGAATTATGAAGCTCCTTGAGCTCAAAGCTTGATACATGATCGTCAGTTGAAACGTGAAGACCTTGGGCGGACGTACAACTACCTCAAGTACTAGTAGTAATACTAGTACCGTGACTAGTACCGCAGTCGTCGTTGTTTTTTCGGGGTCCCGTTGTTGTTACTGCCGTAGAAGCTCAACCTCTTTGGATGAACGAATATATCGCATGGCAACAGAAGTGTCTTTACCTTGATCCAGAGCGATTGCAACGGGAATGCACACTTTGAACAGTATCGGTCAACTTAGTAATGGCATCGGTGTACTCACAGAAACAGTCGGAGTCGCGATAAGTGTCCCACACGTGACCGTTTGTTTGCCAACAGCTTTTAAACCAAACAACGCCTCGGCAAGAAACAGCTCAACTTAGTAAACCGTGACCAGAATGGCCTTTCAGCAAATACAACAAGAGACTCCCATACTCAAATATCCAGAAGACTTTGGTCTTCATCCAAACGTCTCCCTAGAAAATGCAGCCAACATGCTATTCCGTGCCATCCAAACCTCTCAAAACCAACCCTACACATGGACTTTTATCGATAAGCCACAAGGTATGAATAGTACCAAAGACCTCAGTCTTTGACTAACGTTTGATTGCTTCTGCGATGCATGCAGAGGGTCAAATATACCTCTTGTTCATGCCAAATCCTGCTCAACCTCTGAACGACGGTATCCGATGGCAAGACCAAGAAAATCGATACACTATGCCTGTCCAACGTGGTACACGGGTGCGTATCAGCCCCTTTATGTAATGCATAAATTAGTTTAACCTTTCTCTAGGAACTCGAAGTCGCAGAAGTCAAATACGGCTTCATACCCAACTCCCAAGACACAGCAGCATGGCGTATGCGCCGACGCTACCGCCTTCACAAAGGCGGCCATCCCCAACTAGTGCTAGTCCACTACTCCCGCGTACCACCCATCCGTAAGTTCCACCATCACCATACCATCATTTTTGCCTTCTCACCACCCATTGACGTTGTCCGATATGTCTGCAACTCCACCGCATCTACACCCACATCCACATTCACCCTTACATCTGCATCCACGTATACATCTCCCGCACTCCAGAGATCGTCCCATCTCTTTTGAACAATCCCGTCAGGCACTACCCACTACGACAAATCACCGACCCTCCTATATATGTCATGGGCGATAGGGCAGGTCACAAAGTCTTCCCACACCCCGCAGGTCCGCATCAAGGCGGTATGCCCCAAGTTGGAATGAACCCGCAGGCGATGATAACGCAGCAGAACAGTAACATGGAGGCCCTGGAAAGGAGGAGGGAGCGTGAACGGACGAGAGATGGGAGTGGGGGAGTAGGGGTGGGCGTGAGTATATCATATTATCGGAGAAACATTTATCTGATGTGTTGGTTATTGGTTCAGCAACGGCCTGGTCCTCCACGGCTAGATGATGACGAATCCGCAGGTTCGGTTACTTTATTCGCTCAGATGAACGTTATTCGCATTGATCATTTGTGCAGATGAATCTGAAATGCTATCGACACGGACGCTAGCAATTGCGAGATATCGGAGAAACCACGAGTTAATGGAAGAAGTCTTCAGGCGTGCAGCTTTCGGTAGGAACGCCACTTACTATCTCCGTCAGATCATTCTCAGGTACATCACTCATTAGACAGCAAAAAACCTTTGTCATCAAAAAGAATATATGAGGGGTTTGACAAAGCAGAACTAGAGGCTAAAATAGTGCGTCCGGGTATCACTGATTTGGGTTCAGCTAAATTCCTCTTCAGGCCAAATTGCAAGACGATGTAAGGGCACTTCAGGCCAAGGCTGCTGAGCGTCAGGCTCAGAAAGTAGCAGCGGACGACGTGATAGTTACAGCTAGCGGTCATGCCCCGATGGAACTCACTACTTAGCCACTATGCTCTTTATCTGTGTGTTATTGCTAGTCATATCGCACATTTGTTCCACACAGACAGGTATTGTGAATGAGGTTCGAGATTTCCTGAGGATAAGACAAGTAGTACAATCTGGTAAGTAATGCGTAATATAAATTTTGCCATCAAGAGTATCTCAAACACCAATTGCTCTAAAATCAACGACATACCGGGAAAAAGAAACAGACAAGGAAATCGTATGTACTGGAAGTCCTCAGGATTGAATACAAAATACAACTATGAGCCCAAATCCAGACAAAAAAGCAAGATAAATAGCAATTGTTTCAGCAACTCACAAATCTGATGGTTCCCAGAAGATAGATTGCAATTTTGGGGGAATATAAGAGTGGTGATACAACTAGCGAGTGCGGCCATAGGCGTGACGGGTGTCATGCCCTACGCTCCGGCTTCGGGTACCGCCTTTGGGCGTGATTGGGATGGGAGTGGTGCTGGAGTCTCTAAGAAATCCGCCCGCTCCGTGAACTTCGGCTGCGCGATAGGAAGAAGGATCTTCCTTGATACGAAGCCGCGATCTCCGTAGCCAAGCACCTGACGCTGGAGGTGTGCTCTCGGCCCTTTTGTGCTCTTGCGGCGGCAGTGCGTCCTGGATAGCTTTCAGACGCTCGATCGCAGTGGTCATACCACTACGGCGGGCATTAGGTCCTGCTGCAGCGTTGATGCCTAGAGTAGACGTCCAGTGAGCAGTATCGCCCAACACGTCTACATCAGCGTCCATATCTCCAGATTCTGGAGCATATTCTGATTGGCGGGAAGACGTCGCTAATGATGATGTACACCGAGCCGGGGGTAAAAATCCCGCCTTCTTCGGTCTCCGGCCACGCTCAGGTGATGGCCCTGGCGAGGCAAGAAGAGCAGGGCCACCGATGTCAAGAGGCGGCACAGAGAGAGACGTCGAGGCGCTCACCACTGAATGACTGAGTTCATTGTATGTGGGAGACATTGGATAACGAACGACTGGTGGGCGGGAGATACTGCGACTTGTACATCGTGTTGAGAGCGAACTCGCAGTTGAAACAGAGGCACGGGAGAGGGAACGGTTGGACAGCCTTGGGGGTGCTTCTTCGGTGTGAGGTGGGTTCGGCTTGTTATCACGCCGTGCGCAAGGGCGCGAGCGCGACTGGGATAATGAGGGAGATCGGCGGCTGGGATAATCTACTAACTTAAATTTATCCTTGTCTGTTACAGGAGATGTGTCGTCGTCATCGTCGTCATCATCGTCAAGCCCAACACCCCAAGCCATCTCATCCACTGTCGCGATCGTCCACCGGGTGCGGACGTCACGCTCCAAGCAGCCTTTGAGAACATGCTCAGCCCCACGACTAATACCAGAAGGCATATCATAGACGCCTGTAAAAAAAAGTGCATTAGCAAGCCGGAGATCACGATATTATATTCTCACCGTGCAAAATTTTCATCTGGAGTCGTGGCTCGAATGAGTCGGAAAATGGGAGACGGCCGGTCAAAAGGGCATAAAGCAGAACACCCAAGGCCCATATGTCCTGAGCTGGATTAGCACCTTTGAACCGTGAAGGTTTGGGTTGAAGAAGCTCAGGAGATGCATATGGTAAAGACCCTTGCTGGAAAACATGTGATGGATGGACAGGCGGAGGGTTTTCGCCGATAGGAGTTGATATACGATGACGCCTAGGACGATGGTGTCGTAAAATTGAGAGGTGTGAAGATGTGTTGGATTTTACAGGTCTATTAGAAGTGGAACGGTGACGATGAGTACCAGAGTGGTTATCAGAGTGATTGTCTGCATCGGATAGGGGTTCATCACCGTCAACTTCGCCGATTTTGCGAGTCATGCCGAAATCGCAAATTCTACATATACCCATCTCGTCTACAAGAACGTTCTCAAGTTTGATATCCCTGTGTACATAGCCTGCGACTTCGTGCAGGTAGCGTACGCCTCGTACAATTTGTCGAAACATCATGCCGGCGTCATCGTGAGGGAGAGCAGGACGGCCGTCCCTTAAAAGTATATCATATAGAGATCCCGCGGGACAAAGAAGAGAGAAGAAGAAGTCGGCGTAGGGAGTGTGTTCGGAAAAGAAGAGGGGCAAGGTGTGCTCGTGGCATAGAGAAGCCCATATTTGGGCCTCGTGATTGAGTCGCCTTCTAGCTAAAGAAGGATCTGTCTGTTTCTCCAAATCGGTGCGACAGACAATTTTGACAGCGACAACACCTCCGGAAGAGGACGAGGCACGTCTAATCACAGAAAAACCCCCATAACCTATGATTGGTCCAAGGACATAGCCGCGAATGATTTCACCTTCTGCATCCGGTGATTGTGGGATTGCGGAGGGATTAAACGCAGATAGGAACATCATTGCTGGTGACATGGAAACATCACCGCTTTCTGAGAGAGGTGCGTGCTCATTGTTGCTTGTAATAAGTTGCCGTGAGATGTCCTGGTCAAGATCCGAGCCGGAAGCTGTGTGGGATGCTGTTATCTGGTATTCATCTGGTAATTTCCGGGATGGTAGCAAACTCCAAGCTAGAGGTACGCGCTCATGCTGCGATGTAACTTTGGAGGAGCGTGAAAGCGACGCCGTAGTTGTTGCAGGAGATAGAGATTTGATGAGGCCCGAGGTCATGGAAAAGTGTTGTAGAAATGAACGATGATCTGAGCTTGACAGCAATGAAAAATAAGGTCTAATGGCACAAAGAAAATCGATGAATATGACAGTAGAAGGATATGTTGCGCGTATTGTGGGGCCTGTGAGGGGAAACGGCGACAAGGGAAGAATTAAGAGGCACGAGAATTTAAATAAACGACTTCTTGGAGTAATCGCCAATTTACGGGCGTGTGACTCCTTTCCCATATTTATGTGCATTAGTCACATTCCGGTTCCGATCTTGAAATTGGGCGGCTATTCTGCTACGGCTACTTAACGCTCCTTGCTTCGAACTCATTTTCTTCCATTTAATGCAGCTATTATCTCTAGGCCCAGGCTTATCGAGTCTCACTTATCTCTGTGGGCCTCCTCGCCACCAGTGGCTCAGTTGAGTTGGCAAACCAATCTGTTTTACATATTTAGGGTCTCTCACTAGATTTCAAAATCAATCAAGTCCTTTATTATGGATCACACTTTCCAAGTCGGCGTACAAGACTTCACCCCCAACGTTAAACAATGACTCCGATGATAACGTATACTTCAACTTGCTGCTGTCATCGTATTTAGTCCATCACCCCGCTCTCAGCCTGCCACGCTATTCACCAGTAGTGGCAATGCGACTGATCATCAACATTACTTTTGGGGACATCCGAAGCAGTTTCTCTCATATGACAATCTCATTGAGAGAAGTTCACTTGTCAGACCAGCGCGGACTTGCTCGGCATCGGCGATCGCCAGTTGCTTCCCGTGGCACTATAAGCTCATTCGATTGTCCGCCTCTGACGGCTCGTCTCAAACCACCGCACGATAACGGACCATCCGAATGATGCCTCATTGATGAACCGCACGATAAACAACCATACAGTTGGCACACATGCACTAAGTTTTGGCCCGCTCACCGTGAGTGTATCAATACCGAACTAAGTTGTTTCATCGACTTCATCTCGTCTATATTTGTAATTCGATATCCCCGGTCCCTCACGCAATCTGAAATTCTCGTGTGGCCGCAGTATCGCACAACCAGGACAGGAAACCTTCCATACTTCCTTCTACGAAGAGAACGTGCATGCATTTTCGATATCGCTGCCAGTAATTCATGTCCTGCCACCGTGCTGGGCTCAACATTGAGAAAGTGGCGAGTTCAGATACGCTCCGCGACCAGCTGGACTGGACTTCGGGTGAAATTCGGCTAGCTCGAGCATAGAAGGATGTATATTTAATTAATATTTTCGGTCACCCACAGAATATTGGGTGTTAGATCCGTCGGCCGAGCTTCGTTTGGCAACTTCTCTTTACAAAGAACGCCCCAAGCGAACTGTTTTGAGCAAACAGTGCCGGGAAGTTCTCCCGAAAGTAGAGCTGCTAAGCGAGATCTGCAGGATATGCGCCTCGAGAAATATACAGCCCAGGATATAAAACAACCAGGACAGGCAAATGTCCAGGCCTCCACTCCATCAAATAATGATATTACTGCCAACGATGCACGTACCGCCACCGTAGCCGTATGATAACGAAAGAAAGAAGGTGAGTTTTAGACTAACTTCAGATTCAACTAGCCCTCCGGTAAATTCGACAGCCCGAGGAGAACCTTGAAAAAGGATCGCCGGCGGCCGCAGTAAGCGGAGTTGGCGAGGTCTAGTGATCCACACACAAACACACCGAGCGAAACGCTGTCGTCCGGACTAGCGCACAGCCAGTTCAGGCAACAATTCTAGTCCCTACCCCAAATTCAAGAACGTTTATCAACCTTCGATATTAGATATCTTTGCGAGTGAGGGATCCATGTACTGCCACTGAGCCTATGATAAGATCCTGAGTTTAGACTCGCTCAAGGTCTGGCCAGCTGGACGGATTGGTTTGTTGTTCGTCGTGCATGTACCTAGTACCATCAAAGCGGTAAATACAATTTCTTTAATTCCCATAATGCCAGTTCACCACGTATCGAACTTTCAAATTAGACCCGACGACGACCTGCCATCTGGCGTACGGTGTCTTAGTCTTTGAGCGGGGGGAAATGTTTGACGTATGTAAAATGTTATAGAACTTTGATGTGGCCACCACGTCTGTCCGGCGCAAAGGAGCCTGTGAAATGTCGATGAGTGTTTCTCTGCGTTGACACGCGCTGACCGTAATTGGGTCGGTGACTTTGATATGCACCGAGCGAGAATGTTTAGACTCGCTGGTTGACAGAAAGGAGAGCTGCTAAACATGATGCCACAGTGGGGGACTCCTTCCGGCGTGAAGCCCGGAGCAAGACGGAGCATCATTAATTCATTAATGGGTCCAGGGGCGGCAACACGGAGACAAGGAGGAGAAGGCAACGGGGAGCCTTAACTAGTTTTGGCAAAGACAACCGCAGCAGGAAGTTGTGGAGCAATTTGAACGTGGAGCTTACAAGCCATACAAAGTTGTGGCGCCCATGTTGTCCAGCATCACATGTTCACGCGCACACCATACTCTTCCTGTGACGTGTAAGTGTCTTCATTATCCAAGCCGGCGGATGTAATACTAAACAAAGGACTAGAACGCATATCAAACGAGCGTCTGCTGCAGTCGATCACAGGGTATCCATATTGCATCGACAAAAGGATCCATGACGATGCAGGTAGGTATGTGTCCAAAGGTCCAATGCAAAAAAAGCGTGTGTTATAGGTATAAAAAATACGACGACGGCGCGGAGGTATAGTGATCATGTCCCATTCTACAATAGTAGAGAAGCCAGTCCAAGACCTGAAATCACCGTAAGCAGGCCTGTCATGCCCGCTGACTCCCATCTGCGCTCCCCAGCATTGGCGTTGACGACTGCTGCATTTTGGACGGTAGCACTGGTGGTTGTGCTGACATTACGGAGGGCCTGAGTTGGGAGCATGTTGGGTGAAGTGCTGATGAGGTATTGAGGTGGCAACGGTGTGCCATCGTACTGGTACAGCTGAAGAGTATACCCCTTGACCGGATCTTGATATATGTTCCAGAGAACGTAAAGCTCAACGTAGTTATAGATCTCTATGAAGTTGGAGACGGCGGCACAAGGATCTTGTATTTGTTGGTAGCCGTCGCCGAATGGCGTCATGACGATGGAGCCATTGGAGGCGAGCACGTATGTACCGTGACACCAGTTCATAACGCCTGTGATGCAGGTTGGTACGGTGCCTGCGAGGAGTGCCTTAGCGGCATGAAACATGATACAGCACAAAAAGCAAACCATTGCTGGTCATACGATACCGCGCGATCTCGTAGTACCCATCGTCCGTGCTATGATTCGATTCAAGTCAGACATTGAGGATTGAAACACTATCGATACTCACAAAGAATATGACATCCCTGTCGTGCTTGGGTATGTAAACGACTCTTGGGATGGCGTAGCAAAGCCCTTGACACCACACCAACTTGAGCCGAAAAAGTAGACTATAATCAAAATGTACGACTCACGGATCCAGTAACGACATTCTGGCTGCCAGAGCTCCAGGTGCCAGTGATGGCGGTGACATTATGGGCTGCATCGTAAACGGTCTGGCCATGGGCAGAGGTTGCGAGCAGCAAAAGTAAGGAAGTGAATATCATCATCAAGGATGTCTATAAGATTCAGATATTTTATGCCAGCGTTTGATATTTTTTCGGGGTATGAAGGGGCAGAGGAAAAAGACTACGGGACAACCACGAGGGGGAGCGAACGTTGAGAACGACGATAGTGTCGAGGTGAGAGGTCCAGCAGTCTGTTTGTTCTTGTTTGGTATCAGTCTTTGTTTCACATCTTAATAATTTTATCGCCGACACTGGGAGAGGGTTCCATCATCCATGTGAATAACTCACGTAAACGCGGGTTTCTCTGAGACTGTGTTTGGTAACATTAGTTCACCACAAGTTCACCGTAAGTCTTCATCTCCGTCTCTAGTCCAACATGAAACCAACAAGCTTCAGCATGTCATTGGGCGCCAATTTTCCGACGATGATTGCCACCATGCTGCAGTCACTGCTTGACGTCCCACCTAATTGCTCGCAGTGCCCAACCGGGCAGATCAGACCATCAGACGGTCGTGGCATGTCGTCACGCAAAATTCTTACACGTACTAATTGCGGAATCAGCTGCATAGGTTTTGTGATCAGTACAGCAACTCGGTGTTTCCGTTTGCATTCCGTACATACTCAAAGAATGTATTCACTGTCGATGTCAAGACAACAACAAAATGCAATCAGCGAGGGAGGGTTATATAGAATACAAGCGATTTAATCTTTCTTCAAATCCCTCCTCATAACAAACAAGCGTTCGCCATCTTCCGTCACGGTTAACTCTTGCAGACCCCGGATGCTTTCCATGCCCTGTAGAGTACGTCCTTTGGCGAGTGCGATGAAGATTTCAAGGCCGTCACCGACCTGCACGATGTTAGGAGAAATTACATGACCAGAATATGGGGCTTACTTCAATGTGGCGCTCAGTCGCGCTCGTGAATGAGTCGATTACTATCGACAAGACGGTCTCTAGTGGTAGATGCGACGGATGCGAGGTCCCCGGTGCAGCTTGTTGATTCTTGAAGTAAATCTAGGAGTTTCAACGTCAGACAAAATGCACGGGCGACATCAGGATGGGAATGGTAGTGAATACTCACCTGGTTGTCCAGGAACGGCTGGACTAATGACTGAGCAGCACCTGCAGCACGGCAGGCCTCTCGTTCATACGAGCCCACGGGGTCAAACGAATACACGGCGCCAGTGCCTGAGAAACTTGTTGAATAAATTAAGAAGGTGGAGCATGAAGATGAACGGACCATCCTCCTCGACGCCACCCAAAATGTTATATACATAGTAGGGAAAGAAGCGACGCCCATAAAGCATCGTTTGAATTAATCTTGCTATTGCCCGTAGGGGCATATCTTTCGCATGGGCGTGACGGTACCACTACGTAGCCCCTTAAGCATATACAGTGAAATCACATCAAGGAACGACGAACCTCCAGACGTTGCTTCACTTTCTTCACAAACATATTGCCATCTGCTGCGAACCCGTTCACAGCCAGCACTGCGCGATCGGTTCTTGAAAGAAAAAGTTAGAGAAAGAGACAAACTAGTAAGTGACGACACGCGTACAATCGAAATACCTTTGGTGCATATCGCGTTTGAATTGAATATCCTTCGCTCTGTCGTGTGTCGCCAGCAATAACACTGAAATCTGCACCGGCAATAGCGAGGATTGTACCACCATTTTCTGTGTAAGGGTTGAACCGCCTCTCCTGAGGATGAGCGACTGAGTCCATGTCAGGTATGGTCATTTAGAAGGTGGGCAAGCTTGAGTTGGTGGTCAAAAGAGTTAATAGAGACGGTCGGGTCCAGTCTGACTCCCAGGCCGCGTAAGTAGGCAGTTTAATTATATTTTCCCACAATACTACCCGCTGCTTTTGATAAAGCGGGGTTGTTTGCGTAAACCTTGACTCAAACGATCGCAGATCTTGCAGCTTGGTACAGCTCAATATGAGTAAGTAGTCTTCTGCGCACTGGATATCATTCTAGCTGACAAAAGATCAGACAAGGACCTGCTTGATGGCCGACTGCTGTTCGCAATTCCAAAAAAAGGTCAAATTCATCTTGATTACAGTTCGTCAGTAGTACTAACCCACCCTAGGACGGCTGCACGAGAAATGTCTCGAGTTACTCTCCGGTGTGTTCCTCCTTTAATACCTGAGTGATATGCAAACCAACCTACAGGCGCCGACATCCAATTCCGGAGACACAACAGGCTTGACGTCTGCCTAGTGATGAATCACCCTATGGCTCTGTAAAATTCCGGTTCCAATCCTACATCTGACCGAATCTGACTCTGATGCAGCGTATTCCTTCCAGCAGCAGACATACCATCCTTTGTCGGAAATGGAGACGTTGACCTTGGCATAACAGGCCACGATGTCATCCTTGAGGCTGGAATGCAAGATCAGATAACGGAGATTCATCGACTGGGGTTCGGAAAATGCGCTCTGCAAGTGCAAACTCCAGAACATGGGCCATTCAAATCGGTCGAAGATCTTGCCGGAAAACGCGTGGTTACAAGTTTTGATGTCATCGCGGGGGCGTATTTTGCTGAGATCGATGAGCGATTGAACCTCACTGGTGATAAGAAAACCAAGATCCAGTATGTAGGCGGGAGTGTAGAAGCAGCCTGTGCTCTTGGACTCGCGGATGGTATAGGTGAGTCGCGCGTTAGAATGACAGATTGCGATGATGCTCACATCTTGGTCATTGAATAGTCGATCTTGTTGGTATGTTATCATCCCGAGCCAGGCATAGAAAGATCTAACAATATCTTAGAATCTGGAGATACGATGCGAGCAGCCGGTCTGCACGCCATTGCGACAGTACTTCAAACAGAGGCAGTACTCATAAAATCAAACGCTCCTCATCGTGCCCATCATGCACCTCTGATCGATCTCATGGCAAGCCGAATAGCCGGAGTCCTGGCGGCGGCGAAATATGTTATCTGCGAATATAACATTCGTAGGCAATCGATATCTCAAGCAGCAGCTATTACGCCTGGAAGAAGAGCACCCACCATCAGTCCTCTCGAAGCGGAAGGTTGGGTTGCGATCAGTAGTATGGTTGAGAAGAAGAACATTGCAAATACCATGGACCAACTAGTAGAGATTGGCGCAGAGGATCTCATGGTCTTCAATCTGGATAATTGCAGGGTATGAGCGTCAGCATGGGTATAGAGTCGTTGCTTTAGAGCAGTTTCTGGGCTAGGATTCTCATATTCATATTGTAACGTGTTTATCCACAGAACTGTAAGTACTTCACTGACACGTCTGATACCGTAGCACTACATTAGTGACGAACTCATAATGTCCGTCTACACTTCAGATCGCTAAACCTAAACCCCAAGGATGGATCGGTGACTCTGGAATGAATCACTGCGTACGATGATGACTCAATCTTATGAAGCGAGAACATGCCCCAAGTCAAGAATTGTGGGGGCTAACAAACAATAGGATCATGTTGGTTGTTCTTGAATGACTCCGTGAGAGCATCTAGAATTGAATTTGCACGCGTGAGTAAACAACTCGTGACCGAAACACACGATGACATTATCACCTCCCCGTCAAGCTTCAAAGCTTCAAGCTTAAGGTTGCATCTCGCAGCTAAGGTTGATCTTCCGGCGCATCATAAATATTCCTTCCTCGTCATGATAGCCGTGTCCATCTCTTTCGAAGACTCCATCCTCTCAATCCGAGTCAAACAAATAGCGAGGAATATTATGGTTCGATACCGCAAAGTGTTCGAATCATCGGAAGCAAAATCTTATAGTAGACGATGTCACTGGGCGTGTGACGCGGCTTCACAAAATCAGAGGTAGATTCGAAAGCATGTTGAAGCTCTGAAGCCCTTTGAACGTTCAACCATTCTCGTTCTTCATTCTGAAACTCTATTCCCAATTACCACATCTGCCCCCTTATAAGTTTCGATGGACAAGAACGTGTTAGTTTCCTTCGGTCTGCTTTCATATCAGGATCGTGCGCGTATCACAGCCATCTCACGTTTGAAAAAGCGTACATTAGAGATGGCCGGTTGTTCGGTTGAACGTAAGTCCCTCGGATTTGAGGTGGCTGCATGTTTCAAGGACTGATGATGTTTCAAACTCTAAGCCTTTCAAAAGCAAGAATTAAGGATATTCAAGTTGAGCACACGTTTCGACTTCATGTTCGGATCTAATATACAGTATTCACTGGCTACACACAGCGACAAATTGAGCCGTACCCTTTTATCAACACCCATCCTGCGTGGCCGACTTCACATAAATCAGCCGGTGAAACGCTCCATCGTGATCATGACTAGGCTAAGTATTTGGTGTTCCAAATATTTACACTTGCATCTTGATGGGTTTTTAGCTCGTTCATCAGATATAAGAAAGTTGCATGATATGTGTGCGAAACCCGTTTATTCTACCTCTCAATCAAAGTAGATGGATCCTTTGGCTGACGATGTCCAACTTACGGCAAACTGGAGTCTGCATTACTCAGTGGTGCGTCTCTTTCTTCAAGCAAGGGCAAAGTGATAACAGATACCAATACCAGTGCATATACAATGCGTGTGGTCTGAACTGCTTCTCCCTCGTTCTAACTTAACAACTCAGTGGCGCTGGCTACACTCTGGGTAGGCTAGTCCCAATCTACTCCTGTCTGTCGAGTGAAACTTGTTGATCCAGACCTATGGTTATGTCTGTTTGATTCACGAAGAGGTAAGCAATGCACTTCCGCGATACGCCTCGCTTTGGATATTGATAATATCTTGTTCAAAGTGGACATTCCTGCTCCAGTCGCGCCGGACTAATTTAAAAGCCCTTTATATATCTGCACGATATGTCCCCCTTTTCTCCATGACTATGGGCCTATATAGTGCGTTCATTCCAAACAAGTACACATGCCCCCGATAATGAATTAAAATGCTGTGCTTTAGTGGCCTTCGTACCGCACGAGGACCCCAATGTATGTGAGCGTGCAGTTGGATTTACCCACTGATGAACGATACTTGGTAACTGTATGACTTCGCCAGAAATACGGGATGTTAATCAATATTTACTCGTGTACGTGCACGGTACTTGTTCAATGGCTGCACTTCTTGGCTGAGCGTCGCTCTTTCCTCTTACAGGTTTGGCAGTGATACCGGTCACTTGCTCTGAATGTATCATCTGTCCTTCTCCTTCTCCTGCGACATGCACATGCTCCTAATCTGATTTCTCGAGGTTTTTTTGTGCTCAGAACATATGCGCTTTGGAACAACAATCGAATCGTACGCGTAGCCATACTAACCACCCTTTTTGTGAGTCCCATGCCTTGACCACACCCAAATTCATGGTTAACGTTGATCCATCAGCTAGGCTATTGTTGCCATATCAACCGGCCTTCGTTTTACAGCAAACGCCTCGTGTGTTTGTGCTCTCATGGGCCTTCCCCACTACTATTCACACATTCATTCCTCTGGCATAGATATGACTAGCGCGATTCCAGGCATTACCGCCTGTTACTTGAGCGGCGTCTGGTACTCCATGTCATTTATTCTCTTCAACTGGGTATGTTACCGGGAACTGGGAGCATAAATTACATATACACACTGACTGATGATCTCTCTCCCTAGGACTGGTCCTGACTGGTCTCTCTCTCTATATGCCATACGGAGCTGGCGGACAACCAGGGGGCATCTGTACGCCGTCCTGGTGAAGCATAACGTATTCTACTATGCATGTGGTCTCCGTGAGTCAAGACTTCATTGAATCGCCTCTTGGTCACACACCAAGTGGCACCCCAGCTAGGACCCCGAAAAATCTCGGCACCCAGCACTGCGCTCACCGGCGTTCAAGGCGTTCCCAACGCCAAAAGACTCTCGACCTACCACCCAAAAACTTGCCAGGCTAAGTACAGTAGTCCATACTGACGAATATAGCACAAATGGCAACGGGGAAGACGCGTTCAACGTCTGTGGGACCCGGCAATTCAAACATCCGCGTCCCCACTCCCACCAATAGAACCAGAACATCCTACCGCAACACTATCTCCCTACTGTTGCCAAGAGATGAAATTATACAGCAAGAATACGATGTTAAAGACAAGGAAAGCAGTATTGCCTTCCTAGAGAAGTCTCCATTCCGTCAACCGGGCACCCCCATTTCTAACGAAAGTCTGTTACTCACGATTCTGTATATCACCCAATACACAGGAATCCCCCGGATCGTAGTCGAAGGCCTTCGCGCCACAGTCCTACTACTGGAAGACAATCTTAACAGTAACGCCAATGCGGCAACCCCCAACATTCAGCAAATCACGGAGTCTATCTCAGCCTCGCTCTCAACTCAAGTGGCTGCAGACCTATCATCTTCACTATCCGCCCATGTTATTGCGGCCATCTCTCCACATGTAGCCTCCATTCTCACCGCCTCAGAAACCCTCAAAACAAACGTTGACGAAATCGCGAAATTGAAGGACATTTTAACAGAAAATTCAAAGGAAGACAACGGAACTGCATCTGCAGCAGCTACTAGAGCTGAAAAGGCGGCCGACGCGGTCCTGAATAGTATTGCTGATGTCAAGAACGTTGTGGAATCTCTAAACGCTCCCCTTAGCACGACAAAACCAGGAACCTCAAAATCATACAGCGAAATAGTTCAACAACACACTCAGACCCCGGCACCTGTATCGGCAGCGGTGGCACGCGCCGCTACACGAGATCGCCAGATCTTAATAGACCCTGTTCTGGGCCAGACACTCTTCGCCCCCGAAGCGATGTAGAAACAACAATACAATGAGGAACAAAAGAAGCTCCTGACTGTATCTGTAAAAGTTGTAAGGTCGCGCGCTGCCTAGTCTGCGTTACTTGAGAAGCAAGTGCGTTCGACCCTATAGGGGAAGTGAGTGCAGCAAGGATCTAGAAGTGTGCGCTTAAGCGAAGCGCGAGAAAGCGCAGGAGCGCGCAAGGTACAAAGGCGCGGGAATGCGCGAAGCGCGGGAAAGTGCGCGTGTGTATGCGGAAATGAGAAACTAAGCTTAAGTAGTGATATAAAGCAAGATAAGAGATATAAGAGTGCAAAATGTAAAGGAATAGCTTTCTACTATATTCTGCTAAGTAGTAAGTGGGTAGTAACTAGTAAGTGAAAAGTAGGAAAAGTAGGTTAGTAATAGTATGTACTGCTGGCGCTTATATAGCGCGCCTAAGCGCGGTCAAGCGGAGCCGAAGCGCTACCGAGTAGGTATGTAAATATATATATGAGTGAGAATGCATGATAAAAATAAAGGTGGAACTATGCTAATAAAGGAAATGGAAATATACGCACTAGGGAGCTTGGTGGACAGTGGATGGATGCTTCTGGATGGCTGGCGCCATAGGGCGCGCAAGCGCGGGAACGCGCGCGCGCGTATACATCGCGAAGCGCGGGAATGGTGCGCGGGAAAGCTGCGCGTCATATAGAGATAGCTGTGGGTAGTGCACAGAGTGACGCTACAAGTTCGTGCTATGTACTTCCTAGTGTAAAGCACCATATCACGCCATGAGAGGCATAATTCTCTACAGCGACCTCGTCCATCATAGCGAGTAAACTAAAACAAGCGTTCTCAGCATCCCAATCAGATGACACACCGGAAATCAACATTAAAGCAACCACCCGTCTCAGAAGCGGGGGAATAATAGTTGAACTAACTTCTATTGCAGCTGCCAAATGGATTAGACGCCCTGAAAACCGCCTTAGCATTACTAATGCTCTAGACAACACCATCATCATCAAAGATAGGCGTTTTTCCATCATTGTTCCCTTCTTACCTATTATTTCCAGAATCGAAGATCCCAATTGGCTACGCATGGTAGAAGAGGAAAATGAAATGCTTCCGGGCGCTATAGAATCGACTAATTGGATCAAGCCAAGCCAACGCAGAGCGCCGGATCAACGGGTTGCTCACGCAATCTTCCATTTCACAGATCCCCATCCAGCTAATAAAGCGCTTTGCGACGGCATCTACATCGGTCAAGAAAAGCTACACCCACGAAAGGATAAACGCGAACCAGTACGTTGCGTCCGATGCCAGCTCTGGGGACACATCGCAAGAGACTGCCAGGCCCCGCAAGACACCTGTGGCACTTGCGGAAAGAACCATCGCACTAATGACTGCAATGCCTACCGCACCTTCTACTGTGTTAGCTGCAACTCGGACAACCATGCCAGCTGGAACCGGAACTGTCCTGAATTCGAGTCCAGGTGCGCAGGTATAGACGCCAAACATCCAGAAAACTCCATGCCGTTCTTCCCAACCGACGACCCCTGGACCCAAGTACTATTACCTTCACAACCAGCTCCACCTCAGAAAGTTACTTCGACCTTCACTCCGCCACCCACCAACCCACATCACCCACCACCCCTTCGTCAGACAAATCTTCCGTTCGAGTCACGCCGTCCTACTAGAGGACATTCTACACGAGGAGCACCGCATCACATAGGCCATAGGGGCTTCAGGGCCCCCACACCCACAGGACCCAACTCCATCCCCATTGATGCCAACGCTAACAAAGCTTGGGACCATGGACGACGCACTCCGGTAGCCCAACACTCTTCAACCCCCTCCATATTAGACTCCCCTCTCACATCCTCCTCCGTTTACGCGACCCCACGGCCCTCGACCCCACCCAATGTCTGAACACCACTCCGAAACATCGACTAGACTACGCGTATGGCAACAGAATCTAAATACATCACTAGTGGCACAACATTCACTCCTTAATAGTCCCATCGCCCGAGAATGGGACATCGTCGCCCTCCAGGAACCTCACATCAATTCAATGAAGAATACCATATCGTCCCCTTTCTTCCACGCAGTATACCCTACCACCAGATTCTCAGCGCCTAATCTTAAGTCACGAGCGGTCACACTCGTTTCCAAATCTCTAGAAACCAACTCGTGGCAGCAACTCGCATTCCCCTCACCGGACGTTGTGGTAATCCAATTTCGGGGCCCATTCGGCCGATGCACAATATTTAATATCTATAACGATTGTTTACTAACGAACACCCAGGAGGCACTCGCCTCCTTCCTAGAACGAGAATTAGTGAACTTACGCCCATCTGCCGATGATCACATGATCTGGCTCGGTGATTTCAACAGACATCACCCCCTATGGGACGAGGACCACAACACCCAATTATTCACTAACCATTATCTTAACGCAGCTCAGCCTCTTTTAGACCTTCTGGCGGACTATGGTATGATATTAGCCCTACCAAAGGGCATGCCGACGCTACAGTCATCAAGTTCGAAAAACTGGACACGCCCCGACAATGTCTTTTGCACGGACCACACTAGCGACTCCTTCCTGAGCTGCTCAACCAACCCAGCATTGCGCGGACCCGCTACTGACCATCTCCCCATACTTAGTATCTTAGAATTCGACGTCCCGAGAGCCACAGTGGAGGAGAAGCACAACTTTAGGGAAACGGACTGGGAGATGTTCAACGAACGTCTAGCCTTAGAACTGGATACGCTTCCTCCTGCTCAGCCACTTGTCACTGACGAGGAATTCCAGAATGCAGCGTGGGCTCTGACCACTGCGATTCAACGTACAATAGCGCAAACCGTCCCTAAATCGAAGCCTAACCCCCACTCCAAACGATGGTGGACAAGAGACCTCACCATTCTACGACGCGAAGTAGCAAAACTATGTCACCGCTCATATCGACTGCGAGATAATACTAACCACCCCAGCCACGAGGAATACCGCATCAAACGTAATCAGTACTCGGAAGCCATCAAGCAGACTAAAAAAGAACATTGGATTAGTTGGCTCGAAGAGATCGAAGGTAACGATATTTGGATTGCTAACAACTACCTCACAGCAGCAGCGGGCGACGGCGGCCCTTCTAGAATTCCAACGTTACGGCGGCCTGACGGCTCCTTTGCAGACACTAACGAGGAGAAAAGTGCGACCCTAGCAAGCACATTCTTTCCGCCCCCACCAGCTGTCTCATCCGTCCCAGCAGAGGTCATCTACCCCGAACCAGTCCACACGCCGGCACCTATCAACGGAACTCAACTATCGAGAAGTATCGCCAAACTCAGTCCTTACAAGGCACCTGGCCCCGACGGCATATGCAACATAGTCTTCATTCGATGCGCAGCCCTGCTCAACCAGTACCTACTTCATCTATTTACAGCTGTATTCACGCTCCAGACATATCACCCCCCATGGAAAGACTTCACAACCGTCGTCTTACGCAAACCTGGAAAGCCGGATTATACCGTCACGAAGGCCTACAGACCTATCGCGCTCCTCAACACGATGTGTAAGCTACTTACGGCCGTGGTCGCGGACCAAATGACCTACCTCCTCGAGCACCACAATCTACTCCCCAATACCCATTTTGGCGGCCGTCCTGGAAGATCCACCACAGACTCCTTACATCTACTTGAGGCAACCGTCAAAGATGCCTGGAGGCAAGGTAAAGTTGTTTCAGCGTTATTCCTGGATATAGAGGGCGCATTCCCGAACGCCGTAACTGACCGCCTCCTGCACAACATGAGGCAGAGACGCCTACCAGAATCTCTGGTAGGATTCACTGAACGTTTGTTAACAGATCGTCGCACTCAGCTCAAGTTTGATGGGCACTTATCCGAATGGATCCCAATCTGCAATGGAATAGGTCAGGGGGACCCGCTCTCCATGATCTTATATGTCATTTACGACTCAGACCTCGTCGACATCGCTGTCGGAAACGGCAAAAAGGAGAGAACGTTAGCCTTCGTCGACGATACTGCGTTTATCGCCATAGGGAAATCTTTTCACGAGACTCACGGCATCCTCAAGGACATGTTAGAAAGACCAGAGGGTGGATACGACTGGGCGAGAGCCCACAATTCTAAGTTTGAAACCTCAAAATTCGCATTAATGGACTTTTCGATGAACTCCGCCAAAGAACGCCCTCCTCTCATAACCAGGAACACCATGATCACCCCAACAGCAACGCACCGATTCTTGGGAGTCATACTGGACCAAACACTACGCTGGGGAGCCCATATCGCATATGCTCTAGCGAAGGGTACCGCATATGTCTTTCAGCTGCGCCGTCTTTCTTCTACTTCCCTGGGAATGCCACTCTCACTAATGCGCCAATTATACCTTGCTGTAGCCCTACCTAAGATGTTATACGCAGTAGATCTCTGGTTCCGTCCCTTGTTCATAGGGGACGGCGACACCCCTCAACGAGGTTCGATAGGCGTGGTCAGGCGTCTGTCAAGAGTCCAACGTATCGCGGCTCTAAGTATCACCGGGGCAATGCACACCACGGCAACGGATACCCTGGAAGTACATGCGAAGCTGATCCCTCTTCAGCACCGGCTCCAAAACCTATGCTACCAAGCAGCTATTCGCCTGGCGGCGCACCCCACCACCCATCCATTGTACATACCGGTGAGATGAGCTGCTAACAGACTTGTCAGACGTCACAGATCATCCCTCCACCACCTATACCACACTACCAAGCTCGACCTGGGTTCCATCGAGACCATCACGCATAATAAACGTCCCCCCAGTTCCCGAACTCCATATCAGACCTCTATAGCTAACACCAGAGAACTGGCCATTCAGGAACATAACAATAACGCCGACGAGATCAAGATTTACAGCGATGGTTCGGGCATAGATGGACAAGTGGGAGCAGCAGCGGTGCTCATTCGTAACGGCCAACCTCAACCGAAGACTCTGTGCTACCACCTGGGCTCTACAGATGACCACACCGTATACGAAGCCGAGGCAGTTGGACTAACGTTAGCAGCGCAACTACTCTCTATGGAAGATGATGTCACCTACCCTGTATCCATCTTCGTGGACAACCAAGCCACGATCAAATCCGGTGAAGTCCTTTCGACCAAATCAGGTCATTATTTGATAGACCACTTTCGCAGCATGATAACGAAACTGAAGAAAACCAGCCGCGACCGCCACTTCGAAGTTACGGTTAGATGGATATCGGGACACGATGGAGTTATGGGGAATGAATTAGCAGACAGGGAGGCAAAACAAGCAGCCAAATCACGAACGGAATCCAGTCCCAGAAGGCACCTTCCTCCTTATCTTCGTAAAGGAGTGCTCCCAAGCAGTATATCCGCGCTGAAACAAGCACAGAAGCGCGAATCGTTCGAGCGTTGGACCAGATTTTGGCGAAAGTCACCCCGATACCATCATACTGATAATCTAGACCCTGATATACTCAAAGGATCATTCATCTCCTTAGCCCAACACCTCCCGAAACGACATATCAGCATGCTTATCTGGCTCCGCACCAAGCACATCTCTCTCAACCAGCATCTTCATCGCATCGGCAAAAGTCCTTCTCCCAACTGTCCGCACTGTGAAAACACCGCGGAAACAGTACTGCACTTCCTACTTATATGCCCCCAGTATGCGAGAGCGCGACACATTCTCACCACAACTCACCGTCGACGCGCTTCTTCCATGTCGTTCCTGTTATCCAACCCCAAAGCAAGTGCCTCAATCATTCGATATGTTAACAGCACGGGCCGCCTACGGTCAATATTCGGTGATATTTCTCCTAAGACTAAATGAAGACAGACGATGACTACCTCTTTAGCATACCATAGTAAGAACCCAAGCAGACCCATAACGGTTAAGGAAACCTCTGGGTGCAGGACACCAGACCTTAACCCACTACTCGACGACGACGGGATTAGGACTACCAGCGGTCCAACTGGAGAACACGAGAAGCGTTGAACAAGGAGAAGTTAGAGGGAAGGACATTCGCAGAAAGAAGGAGGAGGGACAGAATACCTTGCTTGCTCGCCGCCCAAACACACGCCCTCCCACACAGACCAACCTGGAGGCGCCGGCGAAACGAGGCTATCCGCACCCAAACACTTTACTTTACGCTCCACGCTCCATCATCCCCATCGTACACGGTGTCACACCCGAGTACTTGTATCATCCACAGCCAACGTTAGGGACCCACCCACCACGAACTGTACAGCAAAGGTCCCGCGGATTAGAAGACTTGCGCATCTAAAACGGCCGGCGGGAACGGCGGACTGGGGGAGGTCACCCCTCCCTCAGGGCATTTGCGAAGTCGGAGACGTGGCGGGGGACTAGGAAGTCCCCCATTTTTCCTAGTTAGAATTGTCTTACATAGGGTATTGTACCCCACATAGACATAAATTGGATTTAAAAAAAAAAAAAAAAAAAAAAGACTTCATTGATATTGCGCACACCCGGTCCTTGCATCACTCTTTTGAAAAGTATGTACTTCTAACTTCTGTTGCAAATTCCAAGATACCGTTTGCAGATGTTTGTCCTAGCGAATCTCGCCACGCGCATGCACCTCCATCTCTGGCATAACGACCGGCACATGCCCAGCTCCGTTTGAAAAATGCAAAGACTGATATTTTGGAAAATGTACGCACTAAACTGAGCTACCACGCAATCAAGATAATCTGCAATTGGAATGCAAAATGTGCGATGCGCGAACAAAGCAGGCTGTCGCGGTAGGATGAGATATGGAAGGCGCTGATGGCATAGCGAATGATATCTACGATGAGCTAAGAACACAAATGAAAGAACTTAGATGAAAAGTGAAAATAGTAGTCGGCGTGCCACGTCTCTATGAATCCAGTCTACCGTGGAGTTTTGTCGATCATAGATTACGGGACGTGGCTGCGCGGCTGCTGCACTGTGGTTGTGGTAGCGTGAGGTGGTGTGAATGTACTGCGCGGCTGCTGCACTGTGGTTGTGGTAGCGTGAGGTGGTGTGAATGTAGAGGCTGTCTGGGCGTGCCACGGCTGGCCTCGCTTAGTAGGTCGCGGAGCAATATATAATGCTTGCGGAGATAACATCGGATCGCAGCGAGTGGAAGATCGGCGTAAGAAAGACGTACCCCCTTTTCCCTTACTGTAGCAACTCCTCCGAGACTACGGCTGTGACGCGAAATAAAATTTTGCCTTGAGGGCCGTTGGAGTTGCAGTGTCTCATCATTATTCGGATGTCATGACGCGTCACGGAGGACGAAGCCTTTTTGAGGTCAGTAGTGAGATGGCGACACACTTGAACACTACACTATCTGGTATCGTCGATCGGACGAGGATCCTCAAGTTGAGCTGAGTCTTTCATGTCGTAGAATATTCAGCACTTGTACTAGTTATGTACAAAAAAAGATAAGTTTATTAATAACTTTTCATCTGCGACCTGCGAGTGGGAGGTTCAGCTAAAGTGATCTCGACTCTCTATTGAAAAGTTAAACTCACATTGTGAATGGAAAATAGGTTTAAGGTCAACCTTTCGAGGATAGCCTGAATATGAGATACATATACATCTTTGTCACTGGCGGTGACTAGCACTGTTCCAACTGTTCCATCAGCAGAAAGGGTTGCACATTCCACTCTCGTCGCGCTGGAGGGGAGGGCCGACTGAGATGTCTGTATGGAGATTCCAGGGACGCTCTGTTTTATCAAGCAATGCACTCACAAGGAGGCAGTTGTTCTGGTGATGGTGTTGGTAAGGATGGCGAATTTCAGTCTGAAGAGGCGTACATCGGAAACGGCCGGGTTGATCATGAAAACTTCTTTGTAGAAACGTAAAACGTAAGTCCCTGAATCTACTAAGTGTTTCAAGGACTGCCAAGTACTGAGTATAGGGCCGCCGCCACCGATGACCGGGGTGTTTCAAACTTCAAGCCTTTCGAGAGCAAGAATGAAGGACCCACACAATAATGAGCACACGCTTCAACTTTATGGTCCACAGATGACTCGACCGTAACTTTTTATCAACTTAGTACGGATCAGTGAAACGCTGCATCGCCATCACCATTCAAAACTAGTCGGAACTGTGTTCTCAATCTTCGTCATTTACACCTGTCAGGGGCGGGCGGCGCCCGCCCGCATCTCGGCAGGTGTCTAGCTCATTCATAAGAGACAAAACAGTAGCATGATGTGTGCAAAATTTCCGTTTATTCCACTACCTCTCAATCCAAAGCAGATGGAACCTTCGGCTGACGATGTTCAAATTACAGCTGCCTGGGGTCTGCATTACTTAGCGGTGCGTCGCTTTCTTACCAGGGCGAAACGATAACAGATACCCATATCATGTGCGGCTACCAGTACTTACGCAGTTCGTGCGGTCTTATTTACTTCTCCCTCGTTCTAACTTGACAACTCAGTGGCCCAGGCTACATTCTGGGTAGGTCCCAATCTGTTCCTGTCCGTCGAGTTAAACCTGTTTATCCAGACCTATGATTATGTTTGTTGTCTTCACGAAGAAGTGAGCAATCCAGTTGTTCCGCGATACGCATCGCTTCTTATATTGATAATATATTGTTCAAAGTGGACATTCCTGCGTCAGTCGCGCTGGACTAGGGTAAAAGTCCTTTATATATTTGCACGATATGTCCCCTTTTTCTCCATGACTATGGACATATACAGTGCGTTCATTCCAAATAACCAGCATACATGCCCCCGACAATGAACTAAAATGCTGTGCTTCAGTGACCTTCGCACCGGTCGAGAACCCCAATGTATGTGAACCCGCAGTTGGATTTACCCACTGATGAGCGGTACTTAGTAAATGTATGATTTCACCAGAAATGCAGGGTGCTAATCAATATTTACTCATGTACGTGCACGGTACTTGATCAATGGCTGCACTTCCTGACTAAGCGCCGCTCTTTTCTTTCGCAGGTTTTGCACTGATATCACTCATTTGCTCCGAATGTATCTGTCCTTCTCCTACGCCATGCACATGCTCCTGATCCTATTCCTTCAGGCATTTTTGTGCTCAGAACATGTGCGCTTTGGAACAACAACCGGATCTTACGCGTAGTCGTGCTGACCACTGTTTCTGTGAGTTTCATCTTCGACCACACCTGAACAAGGTTGATTCATCAGCCAGGCTGTTATTACAATATCCGCCGGCCTTCGTTTTACGGCACTAGCCCTCTCATATGGTATGTGCTCTAATGGGCCTTCCCCACTACTATTCGCACATATTCACTCTTCTGGCGTAGTCGCGACCAGCGTGATCCCAGGCATCACAGGCTGTTACTTGAGCTTGGGCGGTGTCTGGTATTCCATGTCATTTGTTCTCTTGCTTATATCTCAATCGGGTACGTCGCCGGGAACTGGAAACATCAGTTACATATACGCACTGACTGATACTCTCCTCAGGACTGTTCTCCCTCACACTCATACATGTCATACAGAGCTGGCGTACAGCCAAGGGACATCTGTACTCTATCCTGGTCAAGCATAACATGTTCTACTATGCATGCGGTCTCCGTGAGTCAGGACTTCATATCTTTCCATGCCCATCAGTGATGATTGTTGTTCCGAAAGTTCTCTCGGCCATGAATGTGCTCATACCGTTGCTATTTTCCGATGTGCGTCAATCTCGAAATATCCTTCAATATGATCGAGCCATTGATGTTACGCACGCCCAGTCCTTATTTCACTCCTTTGAAGAGTACGCACCTCCAACTCCTGCTACAAATTCCTAATACTGACGAAACCTCCAAAATACAGTTTGGAAGTCTGTGTCCTTGCGATCATCGCTACGCGCATGCACCTCCATCTCTGGCATGACGACCAGCACGTGAATAGCTCTGGTTTACAGACAGTCCTATCAAATACTTGCATATTCGTCGGAGCGGAGCCCGAGGTGACCGAGCCTTGACCTCCGAGTCAAGAACGTGATAGATTAGAATGTACCCATATCGATTGAAACCACGAGTGACGAGGGTCAAACATTGCTATTTGCGTGTACATACAACGAACAAACATAGTCGTTTCAAAAAAATATTCGAGCCAGATTGAACGAGAAGAAAATGGGAGACACAAGCACGAGTCGTACAATGTAAACATAGCGAGAATCGGAAAAAGGTTGCGATCATGGTAAGTCAGAATGGAAGCCTGGAGAACGTTCCGGATTCCCTGTCATCCTCACTGCAGGTTGATGCCAGAAGTCAACGGGACCTCATACTCGTCGCACGACACCTCAGAGAAGCGAAGCTTCTGACCGACTTTAGGGTTCCCATACTAATGAATAAAAAAACATATTTAGCCAAAAAAAACCCTTTGAAAAAAGGTAAGACTTACAAATGTCAGTCCGGGCTGGGGCATTGGGCAAGCATATGCCAATGCACCGCCAGAGGGACCGCCGTACATTTGAATAGCACACTCACCCCCGGCACAAGTAGGGATTCCCGTAAATTTACCGGCATGGTTGGCATCGGTGGTGAATTCCATATGAGCGCCACCAGAGGCGTCATTGATCCACCCTTTCGTCGACTGCGTGTCTCTGTACAATCCATGCTGATCTTGGAGGGAGAAGGACTGGCCCATCTCAACCTCCTTTCCACGCGAGCAATCGGTGGTCGAATTACAGACTTTGAATGGGATATCGACGAAGAAGCCGTTCTTCTTGTAGTCGGTGTGGTCGCGGTCGATGCCGAGCTGCTCGCCATCGGAGAAGGAAAGGATATAGCAATGGCCATATTTTATGCCTAGGTATTTGCCATGCCCACAGACCGGATAGTTCGTGCATGTGCAAGAGGGTTCAGCGCCGCCATGTCCATTGCCACATGCCTGAGGACCAGGGAATGGGATAGGAGGGGTAGGAGGATCAAAAGGACTGGGAGGGTTGAAAGGGCCGGGGGGGTTGAAAGGGCCAGGAGGGTTGAAAGGACCGAGAGGGTTCGGAGGGTAGACAGGATTCGGAGGGTAGACAGGATTTGGAGGGTAGACAGGATTTGGAGGGTAGACGGGATTTGGAGGGTAGACAGGGTGGGAAGGGCAGGCAGGAGTAGGAGGGTTAGGAAGCTCAGGAGCATCTGAGATGCACATCCCGCGGTCCATGTGAAACCCAACCGGGCAGCACCCTCCATACCTAGAACCGCTTGCGTTATCGTACGTCCATACGTGATCCTTGGCGCACCACTGCCCCAAAATATCAATGAGCATGATTGATAAAAAATCAGATTAAAACCATACCTTGGCTAACTGCGCAGTCTTGTCGATCCATGTGAGACCACTCGCATCTTGAGCACATTTCTTCTCGTGGGTGTCCTGCCAGCTATTCAGCATTAGTTCAGGCAATATGTGTACGGACTTACTGCGTCAATATACTCAACACCATAACAGAGTTCGCGCACGGCTGTCTGACGACACTTCATTTGACCATTGTTGTCGGGGACTATTTCCCAACCATCAGTGGGCAGGCCTGATGATACATATCAATTGAGCATGCTGGTGAAGGTGGGTTTAACTGCAAAATTGTACACCTACCTGCTTGCCTAGCACGTTCCTCACAGGTCAAAGGAACGCGAAAAGCAGCCTCAGCGTGTTGAGAAAGCACAACAAAGGCTTGTGAGAGAGATAAAGCAGTTGTAAAAAGAAGTCTCATTGTTGCGGATGGCACACTATAGAAGTTGCAGTGTGCATTTATACTGTTGCCAGCGCTTGACCTCTGTATAGGAGAGCTAGCGATTAGCATCGGAGTTCAATAATGATACACACAGCATTGAAAAAACCAGCTCCCCCGGTTCGTCTGATGTTCTTACCATGGAAGAATGTGCCCTGTTTAATCTGGTTTAATCGTTGGCGGCTAAGTTCTTTCATAAGGGAAACCACCTTACCAGCGCACCGGCGTCAACTAGTGGCTTCTTGCTCATCGTAATAATAAGATGAGTTTCCAATCTGTCATCAGCCCTGGATAGAAATTCATCGGATCGGTCGGAAACAACTTGCTGACTCGGAGTGAGTGACCAAAAACGTGCGCTAAATCATAGATGTATGTCCACTTGCAATCACAACGTAAAAATTTCAATGTTCGTGCCAGCGCCATTCGAACGACAAAGATAAGTGAAGCTTCTGTCGCGTCCTATGACAGTTGATGATCTAATGGGCGCACAAGAAGGATGCAGGGGTGAATACACAGAAAGCGCATGAATGATTTGAATTAGGAGGATTTGACGGAGCGCCCTTCGGTGACATAACTTTGAGAATGAACGTAAGGCGATTGACGCTCTATCTATTGAAAATCAATAATAAGAAATGGGGGAGCATAAGATCGACCTACTATTATATGGGTGTCGATATGCTCATCTCAACAGTCTTAGAGAGTTTGGAATTTGGCTAGAACGGCAAGCTGAATTCAGGCGCAATGCATCAATCTGCAGCCTGGGGGATCATTGATCATCGATTATATCCCTGTGACATAATGGCGGCTAGATTGGTTCGAGATCAATTAAACAAGCACCACGAGTTTTAACAGAAGACGTTATGGAAATTCCGGGAACTTTCAGTATCCGTAGCCCTGACGCTGTGGCGAGCGAGGAGAAGATAATCAGAGCTATGATACAGAGTCCAGACTCAGACACCAAATCCAAAGTTCAACATTCAAATTACGTTCAAACATAATAGTATTACTCACGATAGGTTTTGAACACTTCAGAAAACTCGCTAAAGCTTGAAAACAAGCACAGCCGCATGCGGCAAATTTGGAAGTCAGGCTCGGCACCATGGCTGAGTTCGAAATATGCCTGCTGTTCGCCAACAACGCCTCCGTCGTTCTGCACGACTTGGAGGCAACCCTCCAGTGTGCTCTAGAGCGATGGATCCTGAGCCGTCGACATCTCAAATACAACCACCTCCCCCCGATCCAAAACCCAAGCTGACGATTCAGTGGCAGAGTGATGACACTCTCACTGACGTCTTGGTCACCTGGCTCACCGAACACCCTCCCGACTGTCGTATCTTATTCTACTCTGATGGCAAGAAACCACCTCCCTCTCTGGATTCAAGTTCTTCTGCTCGTCCCTCGGGAAAGGACAAGTCTCAGATCTACTCTGTTATTGCTCAGGTCATCTTCAAACATCACGCAAAATATGGGCTGGAATATGCAAACAGTCAGAAGAAATTTCGTGACTCTGTCAACAACCGTATCACAAGGTATGTCATGTTTATATTTTTTGTACTATGCGCTGATAAGATCCTTAGTCTCAAAAACAAATATAAGCCCCTTAAGGCTAAATTCAGCGCAACCGGTGCTGGTGTAGTCCCTCTTGATGACGCCTCCGCTAAAAATCTACAAGGTGAGCATTCTTATTTATTTGTTTAGCGGTTTGACCGATTCAAATTTATAGAAGAAGTCTGTCGCGAATTTCCATGGTACAAGGAACTCGACGCCATCTGGCACTCAAATCCCTCCTTTGCAGCAAAAACTACATCGTCCAAGCCTGGCGTTGACCATGCTGGTGACATGTACGCGCTAGTACGTCCGCGTGGCAGGGCTGGCCCCTCCGCACATACCAGGGGTGCTACCAGGGCTCAGCCCCCCTCTCATGTTCTGCCTCCTCATAGCCGCCCATTTACTGATTCACAAATTGATCCTCATCTGCTAGCACCTGCTGCTCCTGCTGCTCTCGTTCCTTCGCCTGCTCCCGCTGCTCCCATTCCTTTGCCTGCTCCCGCTGCTCCCATTCCTTTGCCTGCTCCCGCTGCTCCCATTCCTTCACCTGCTCCCTTTCCTTCTGCTCCTCCCACTGCTCCCACTCCTGCTTTTCCTCATTTCCCTGCTCTTCCTATTCCTCCTGCTCCTCCTGCTCCTCCGGCACCTCCAAATGCCGACTTCGATACCACTATGGGCAATGTTCCTGATCTTGACGACGACGACGACGACGACGACGACGACGACGACGACGACGACGACTTATATTCCGCTGCTTTCCGTGCCCCTCTGGGCAATGCACTAGACCACTTGGATGACGACAATATGGACACTGATGCCCCGCACCCTACTTATGACCTTAACAGCCCTCCAAAGGTTGCCGGGAAAAAACGACAACTCCCATCATCGCCGTCTCCTCCTCCTAACCACCCCATCCCTTTTTCAATCACGCAGAAGTCACCCACTCCTTTCTACGACAGCCGTGCAGCATTCAGCGCTCAGGGGCCCTCTGGCTACGACGCACGACGCAGACCTTCGTCTATTGCATCGTCGTCGCCAGGGATGACTCGTAGCTCGTCGACACCTTCATCGACGACTCACAACACTTCATCGTCAGATTTTCCTGCGTCTCCGACCCTCCAGACCTCAATATCAGCGCAACCGAAGACCACAGGGTCGAAGAAGAAGAAAGCAAAGTCCGACATTCAGGAGCAGGTTGAGAGGGTCAATGGTGAGATTGGGAGTATTCAATTGGACGTCACATCACGCCATAACCTCAAGCACGAGCGCTTCCTCGCGAAGCTTGATGTGAAGAAGGACTACCATCGCGAGACGAAGAAGTACGAGTATCTTCGCGAGGCGCGCGCACATGAGGCCATGCAAGCTGCCGCCAGCCATCAACGAGAGCAGGAGACCAAGGACGCGGAAATCCGCCTTCGCGAGACAGATGTCCGAGTGCACGAGGCCCAGGCCCTTGCGCTTGACAAGGAGGCAGAGATGTGGCGCCTGAAGATTCAATTTCACCAGATGACGCAGAGCGGTAGTACCGCTTCTGCGTCTGATAGCTGACATGTTTGCTGCTGTTGTTCCCCTTCCTATCATACTGTCCGCTAGCGGCTTATTTTTGTATCATCATTGCTGCTTTCTGCTGTCGCGTTTTTTTGCTGCTGTTGCTATCTGACTTATGAATTTCTTTTGTAGTCTGTTGTTACCGGCTGTTGTTGTATCTCCCGGCCGGGCCAGCCCCACACACCTGTGTCCATGTTCCCGCCCTTCACACTGCTGTTGTGTCCCTCGCTGTCACGCGTCCAGCGTTCGAATGCCGGATCAAACAGAATCCCCCAACATGTTCGTTATCTCCTAGCACATGCTCCCGCCCTCTTACACTGCTTGTGTCTCCCTTGCTGTCACACATTCAGCGTTCGAACGCCGGATCAAACGGAATCCCCTAACTCTACCTCCCAGCTCATGCGCCTGCACTCTCACTCTCTCATACTTCCGTTCTGAATCTCGTGTTTCCCTCACTATCACACATTTCTTTTTTGTTATATCTCGTTCATTAGATACCTAGCTACATCTATATATTTTTGTGTAGTATACATGCCTTAAAATTTGACTAAGTGTTTCCAAGTCCGCTCTGATGCCGTGTGTGCCGTGTGTCTTGATGGCTTTCTGGCCGAGTTTGTTGAAGACTTTAGCGAGTTTGTTAAAGACTTTAGCGAGTTTTTTGAAGCTTTAGCGAGTTTTTTGAAGTGTTCAAAACTTATCGTGAGTAATACTAATGCTTAGCAAGCACTCAGTAGTCAGGATAGAAGAACACTTACCGTATCATGTGATTGGAATCACCTGGCGCGCGGCAAAATGTCTTCTGAGGTGTCTCCTTCACATAAACAAAATGCGGGCCAATGCTTTACCGTCTTAGCAGTGGTTGAGTACTACTAGTCACGGCCGCCTCATGATACCACTTCATCAGCACTTCATAGGCAGATTATAATGTTGAAGATATTTTTCAGACTCCGACATATGTTTGAACTTTGAATTTCGTGTCCGACTCCGAGCTCAGTACCTCTCCAGCTGGACTCTGTATTGTGATCAAATCTAGCTCTGATCATCTTCTTGTTTTAAAGATGAGTCAACAGAAGCTCGCTACGGCGTCAGGGCTACGGATACTGAATGTTCCCGGAATTTCCAGAACTTCGCGCGCCCCTTCTGTTAAAACTCTGACTCATGGCGCTTGTTTAATTGGTCTCGAACCGATCTAGCAATTCTGCTACAAGGATTATCGATGATCCCTCTGCATCATGATATCTAGGTAATGTGATTCTCTCTCATAACATCAGAGAACCTGTGAGAAGAAGATATCGTCATATATCGTTATATATCGTAATATATAGGAAAGGTTTTCGTCACATTGTAATATAAAGTGATATAAAGCAATATATGACCATGTAAAAGCACCATAATCAGCATAATCCCCAGCAAGAACTCACCGGTTTACTGATGAACGATTTGAATTAGGAGGATCCGAATCTCATTCTCGGAGCACCCTCGAATCAGTGACATGACTTTGGGAATGAACGTAGGGCGATTGACGCTCTATTGAAAATCATTCAGGCGCTTTCTGCGTATTCACCCCTGCACCTTTCTTGGGCGCCCATTAGATCATTAGCTGTCATGGGATGCGACAGAAGCTTCACCTATCTCTATCGTTCGGATAGCGCTGACATGGACATTGCAATCTTTACGTTGTGATTGCAAGTGGACGTACAACTATGGTTTCGCGCACATTTTTGGTGACTCGCTCCGAGTCAGTCTTCAGTACACGATTCAGGTGTGGTATATGTCTATCTTGCTACTAGATCACCTTTTATTCTCGTTTTTTGCAGTGACTCGAGCAAATAAGTTGTTTCTGACCGACCTGACAAATTTCCATCCAGGGCTGATGACAAATTGGAGACTCATCTTATCATTACGATGAGCGAAAAGTCAACGCCGGTGCGCTGGTAAGGTGGTTTTCCTTATGAAAGAACTTACTTGATATGTTTCCGGTTGCCGCCAACGATTAAACCAGATTAAACAGGGCACATTTCTTCCATGGTAAGAACATCAGACGAACCGGGAGAGCTGGTTTTTTCAATGCTGTGTGTATCATTATTGAACTCCGATGCCAATCGCTAACTCTCCTATACAGAGGTCAAGCGCTGGCAACAGTATAAATGCACACTGCAACTTCTATAGTGTGCCATCCGCAACAATGAGACTTCTTTTTACAACTGCTTTATCTCTCTCACAAGCCTTTGTTGTGCTTTCTCAACACGCTGAGGCCGCTTTCCGCGCTCCTTTGACCTGTGAGGAACGTGCTCGGCAAGCAGGTTACCCTCCCAACCCTGGTTATGCTCCGTACCCCCCTAACCCTGCCTACCCTCTCAATCCTCCCAACTTCCCTGCCCCTTTGCCTGGTCTCTGCCCTCAGACATGTGGCAATGGACATGGCGTCGCTGAACCCTCTTGCAGATGCACGAACTATCCAGTCTGTGGGCATGGCAAATACCTAGGCATCAAATACGGCCATTGTTATATCCTTTCCTTCTCCGATGGCGAGCAACTCGGCATTGATCGGGACCACACCGACTACAAGAAGAACGGCTTCTTCGTAGATATCCCATTCAAAGTCTGCAATTCGACCTCTGATTGCTCGCGTGGAAAGGAGGTTGAGATGGGCCAGTCCTTCTCCCTCCAAGATCAGCATGGATTGTATAGAGACACGCAGTCGACGAAAGGGTGGATTAATGACGCCTCTGGTGGCGCTCATATGGAATTCACCACTGATGCTAGCCACGCTGGTAAATTCACGGGAATCCCTACTTGTACTGGGGGTGAATGCGCTATTCAAATGTATGGTGGTCCCTCTGGCGGTGCATTGGCATATGCCTGCCCGATGCCCCAGCCTGGACTGACATTTGTAAGTTTTACTGCTTTTCAAAGGGTTTTCTATCCGCTAAAGACATGTTTTCGTCCATTAGTATGGGAACCCTAAAGTCGGTCAGAAGCTTCGCTTCTCTGAGGTGTCGTGCGACGAGTATGAGGTCCCTTTGACTTCTGGCATCAACCTGCAGTGAGGATGAAAGGAAATTCGAGATGTTTTGCATGCTTTCATTCTGACTTACCAAGCCCCGCGCCATTCTGATAACAATCTTACTCTGATTCTCGCTATGTCTATGTTGTGTAACTTGTACTTATAGTATCGATTTGCCACACTTTTTTCTTGTTCAGTCCGGCTCGAATATTTTTTGACACGACTATGTTTGTTCGCTGTATGTACACGCAAATAGCAAGGTTTATTGACCCTACGACGTCATTCATGCTTTCGGATATCGCAGTACACCAGTAATAAACACAAAGTAGTGATAGCCTAGGCCATGCCGTCATCCGCCGTGAAGGCTCCATCTTGCTTCAATCCTTCCCACTTCTGCCGTTTTTTGACAGTGTGCCAGATGAGACTCCTGTCATTTTCTCTCCGCCAGTGTCAATACACACCCGTCCGTCAGCGGTTCCCGCATCCAAGACAGATGGTAACACGACAACACGAATGGCGGAGACACCTCAATACTCGGACAAAGCAGACGTCCCTGACATGGAAAATATTCAAAAACGAGTGCAGCCAAATCCATCAAAAAGTCAAACTACCTAAATCGAATCACGACAACATGGTCCTTTGGCGAAAGTTGTGATGCAGCAGCCTAGAGCGATATACACCGTTGAAAAAGTTCATTCAGACGGTCAGTAATGGATTTCATCGTTCCACAGATCTGTATCACTACATATGAGCGAGGCATGCACCTAAAACACGAAAGATACAAACATTGTCATGACTTTTTCATGCTTGTTACTTGTTTTGTAGATGTGCGTAAATCTCGCGATATCCTTCAATATGATCGAGCCATTGATGTTACGCACACCCAGTCCTTATTTCACTCCTTTGAAGAGTACGCACCTCCAACTCCTGCTACAAATTCCTAATACTGACGAAACCTCCAAAATACAGTTTGGAAGTCTGTGTCCTTGCGATCATCGCTACGCGCATGCACCTCCATCTCTGGCATGACGACCAGCACGTGAATAGCTCTGGTCTGCAGACATTCCTATCAAATACTTGCATATTCGTCGGATTGGAGCTCGAGATGACCGAGCCTTGACCTCCGAGTCAAGAACGTGATAGATTAGAATGTACCCATATCGATCGAAACCACAAGTGACGAGGGTCAAACATTGTTATTTGCGTGTACATACAACGAACAGACATAGTCGTTTCAAAAAATATTCGAGCCAGATTGAACGAGAAGAAAATGGGAGACACAAGCACGAGTCGTATAATGTAAACATAGCGAGAATCGGAAAAAGGTTGCGATCGTGGCAAGTCAGAATGGAAGCCTGCAGAACGTTCCGGATTCCCTTTCATCATCACTGTAGGTTGATGCCAGAAGTCAACGGGACCTCATACTCGTCGCACGACACCTCAGAGAAGCGAAGCTTCTGACCGACTTTAGGGTTCCCATACTAATGGACGAAAACATGTCTTTAGCGAGAAAAACCCTTTGAAAAGCAGTAAGACTTACAAATGTCAGTCCAGGCTGGGGCATCGGGCAGGCATATGCCAATGCACCGCCAGAGGGACCACCATACATTTGAATAGCGCATTCACCGCTAGTACAAGTAGGGATTCCCGTAAATTTACCAGCGTGGCTGGCATCGGTGGTGAATTCCATATGGTTGCCACCAGAGGCGTCATTAATCCACCCTTTCGTCGACTGCGTGTCTTTATACAATCCATGCTGATCTTGGAGGGAGAAGGACTGGCCCATCTCAACCTCCTTTCCACGCGAGCAATCAGTGGTCGAATTGCAGACTTTGAATGGGATATCGACGAAGAAGCCGTTCTTCTTGTAGTCGGTGTGGTCGCGGTCGATGCCGAGCTGCTCGCCATCGGAGAAGGAAAGGATATAGCAATGGCCATATTTTATGCCTAGGTATTTGCCATGCCCACAGACCGGATAGTTCGTGCACGTGCAAGAGGGTTCAACGCCGCCATGTCCATTGCCACATGCCTGAGGACCAGGGAATGGGATAGGAGGGGTAGGAGGGTTGAACGGGCCGAGAGGGTCAAAAGGGCCAGGAGGATTGAAAGGGCCGGGAGGATTCGCAGGGTAGACAGGGTGGTAAGGGCAGGCAGGGGTAGGAGGGTTAGGAAGCTCAGGAGCGTCTGAGATGCACGTCCCGCGGTCCCTGTGAAACCCAACCGGGCAGCACCCTCCATTCCTAGCACCACTTCCGTTATCATACGTCCATACGTGATCCTTGGCGCACCACTGCCCCAAAATGTCAATAAGCATGATTGATAAGAAGTCAGATCGAAACCATACCTTGGCTAACTGCGCAGTCTTGTCGATCCATGTGAGACCACTCGCGTCTTGAGCACATTTCTTCTCGTGGGTGTCCTGCCAGCTATTCAGCATGAGTTCAGGAAATATGTGTACGGACTTACTGCGTCAATATACTCAACACCGTAACAGAGTTCGCGCACGGCTGTCTGACGGCACACCATTTGACCGTTGCTGTCAGGAACTATTTCCCAACCATCAGTGGGCAGGCCTGATGATACGAATCAATTGAACATGCTGGTGAAAATATATTCGAACGCAGAATTGTATGCCTACCTGCTTGCCTAGCACGTTCCTCGCAGGTAGAAGGAACGTGGAAAGCGGCTTCAGCATGTTGAGAAAGCACAACAAAGGCCTGTGAGAGAGCTAAAGCAGGTATTAAGAAAAGTTTCATTGTAGCGGATAGCACACCAGAGAAGTTGCACGCCGTGAATTTATACTGTTGCTAGCGCTTGACCTCCGTATGCCGGGAGAGCTAGCGATTGGCGTCGGATTTAACATTCAAGATTAATGATGATGCACGCAGCATCGAAGAAACCAGCTCCCCCGGTTCATGTGATGTTCTTACCATGCCCTGTGTGATTCTCGTTGACAGTAACCGGAAACATCTCGAGTTCTTTCTAAATCGACGAATCAGCGACAAAGACCAGATGGAAAACCACCTTAATTGCGCACCGGCGTTGACTTCTTGCTCATCGTAGTAATAATAAGATGGATTTCCAATCTATCATCAACCCTGGATAGAAATTCGTCGGGTCGGTTAGAAACAACTTGCTTGCTTGAGTCACTGCAAATAATGAGAACAAAAGGCGATCTGATAGCAAGATACACATAGACCACACCAGAATTTCACTCACAGTCAGAACGTAAATCTTACAATGTCTGTGCCAGCGCCATTCGAATGACAGACAGAAGTAAAGCTTTGAGACTTCTGTCGCATCCCATGACCATTAATGGTCTAATAGATGGCCAAGACAGATCCTGGGGCCAATAGGTGTACACAGAAAGTGCGTGAATGATGTCCAATAAATGGAGTTTCAATCACCCCACGTTCGTTGCCAAAGTTAGGTCACCGAAGGGTGCTCTGGCTATGAAACTCAGATCCTCCTACTTCGAATTAAGAATAGGCATCACATGACCTAAATATGCAGAGGGATCATCGGGTATAAGCAGAATTGCTAGATTGGTTCGAGAGCAATCAAACAAGCCCCATAAGTTTCAACGTTTAACAGAAGGCGTGCGCATTAGAATGAAAATTCCGGGAACTTTCAGTAGCCGTGACCCGGACTGGGCTTCTGTTACTCATATTCAAGACAACAAGATCAGCTAGATTATGATGCAGCAATTAGAGTTCAGAACTTCTCGAGCGAAGACGAGAAGATGATCAGCTGAACTTGAAAGGTAGTGGCCAGGACTGTACAATCGAATACATTGTAATATTATCATACCTTGTGTGGCCTTGCGGCTATAAAATATTCTTGCAGGTACCATTTGAAACATACACTCGGGAAGTCGGTAGACTCGAAATGTTTTTTTTTAGACTCCGACATATGCTGAAGTCACGTTATGTTTGAACGTTGCCTTTTGATTTGGTGTCCGACGTGTCTGGACTCAGACTGTATCATGACATGATCAAATCTAGCTGATCATCTTCCCGTCTTAAAGCTTAAGATGGCTCACCGTGCACGGTGTCACGGCTACGGATACTGAAAGTTCCCGGATTTTCAAGAATGCGCGCGTCTTCTGTCAAAACTCATGGCGGTTGTTTGATTGGTCTCTAACTGATCTATAGCTGCTATTCTGTCAACCGCACTGGAATAATCGATTGTCAACGATCCGTCTACAGATTTAGGTAATGTGATACGTTGCACCTTACCGTTCTAGCTAATTAAACCCCAAGCTGTTGAGATCATCATGTCAACACCCATGTGATCTTATACTTCCCTATCTCCTATTATTGATTCGAATTAGGAGGATCCGAGTTTCATAGCCGGCGTGCTCTTCAGTGACCCAACTTTGGCAACGAACGAAGGGTGATTGTCACTCCATTTATTGAAGATGATTCACGCACTTTCTGCGTATACGTACTGGCCCCAGGATCTTTCTTGGCCGTCTATTCAATCATTAGCTGTCATGGGGACGCGACAGAAGTTTCACCTCTCTGTTGTTCGAATGGCGCTACCAGGGTACAGACATTGTAAGTTTTATGTTATGATTGTCAGTGGACGTACAATTGCGATTTCGCGCACGACTCGCTCTGAGTCAGTCTTCAGTACATGAGTCTGGTCTGGTCTATACGTGTCTTTCTACCAGATCACCTGTTCTCGTTCTTTGCGCTGACTCAAGCAAGTAGGTTGTTTCTAATCAGCCTAACGAATTTCTATCCAGGGTCGATGGCAGATCGGAAATTCATCTTATCATTACGACGATCAAGAAGTCAACGCCCGTGCGCAATTAAGGTGATTTTCCCCTCTGTTCTTTGTCGCTGATTCGTCAATTTAGAAAGATTACCCGATGCCCCGGCCTGGACTGACATCTGTAAGTCTTATTGCTTTTCAAAGGGTTTTGTTTTCGCTAAAGACATCTTTTCGTCCATTGGTATGATAACCCTAAAGTCGGTCAGAAGCTTCGCTTCTCTGAGGTGACGTGCGACGAGTATGAGGTCCCGTTGACTTCTGGCATCAACTTGCAGTGAGGACGAAAGGGAATTCGGGATGTTCTGCATGCGTTCCTTTGTGACTAACCATGCCCCATTCTGATTGCAGTCTTATTCCGATTCTCGCTGTGTCGACTTTGCACGCAAAGTTTGATTGACCTTACGACGTCGCTTGCAGTTTCGGATACTGCAGTACCCCAAAAATAAACATATAGAGCAGTGATAAGGCCATATTCGAAACTTGTCGTGCTTGTTTTCATGCTTGTTACTTGTTCCGTAGAGGGATCAACGGCGCCGACTGTACCAGAGTCCAAACAGAAAGATTTTGGTTGAACGACTCAAAGGGCTCAGGGCTGGTTGGTTGTGATTAGTCGGAAATATAAAGAATAATGCCATGCCCTCTACCTTTAGTACATCGTTATCGTCGGCACCAAGTTCCAACGCGTTGGAGCAGGCCGAGAGGCTCGCAGCCCAGAGACAGGGAAACCAAGCTGGAATGAGGTGAAGCTACGCGACGACATGCTCGAGACACCTAGTCTACACGCTGACTAAGCTATGGAAAGGGCCGACTGAGGCCTTGGTACGCGACTCTTGCCCTTGGGACCCCCAGTCCAGCGTCAAGGTCGTGTCAGCAGCCTTCGTAAGGACTATCTTTTCCGTGTGCATATTAAAACGTAGAGCCTGTATAAGTTAAAAACGCTTTGTCAGACATATGCAGTATTTTAACTGGTCGAGACGTACATGACGACTGGACGCAACCTACATGTCCCCGAGGCCGCCTGCATTGTCACTGCGACATAAAGCGGACGATACTTCTCCCAAACCTCTAATCATGATAGCCTTCACGACCTTCAAAGTCTCTTGATTGTATGTGCGAACGGATCCGTCGACTGTAGTATGTACAGCGTAAGTCTGCACGATCGCATCAGCATGGAATTTGATGGAAGCCTGGTAGTACCTGAGGCCTGACTCCGCCTGAGGCCTTGAGCGCTGAGCGCTGACTAAGACTTGGGAGATCGTTTGGCAATCAGAGTCCGCATCGGATTAAAAATCTTCCTTTTAGAGAACTAATAGTGCCAGCACCGCCCATGCCACCGGCAACTTAGACTCAGCCAGCAGCTTTCTAGAGCAGGAGGAAATTGGAACAATCATCACCTCAACCACTTGAGATATGTCAACTGCAAGTGCCACTCCAGGAGCTCCGGGGTCAATCGATGACCTCAAACAACTACTTCTCTTCGATGTCAAGGTTAAAGTTGCAGGTCGGTTGTGATTGGAAATGTGATAATTGGTGTTCACAATAGTACTTTTTTGTTACCCTACAGGCATAGATGGTGCACCCTGCCTTCCGACTATTGAATAAGTCGAATGCTGATTTCCATCTCAAGTGGATGGCGTTCTCAGAGGAAAATTCATGGTAAGCTTCTTGTTGAGTCCGTCCTCGTCAATATTTGATTTGTTACTGGCAGTCCAAAGATAAGTTTCTAGGCGCCGTTGCCTCAGAAGGATTTGGATTTTGTAGCGTGATTTTGTACGTCTCATTGCCACTCCGATTCGCTGTCATGATACAAGTCACGTTGCAGTGGCTGGGACATGCACGATTCAGTCTACACTCGGGAACTGGCCATATCAAATAAAGAGAACGGTTACTGCGACATAATGGCTTCGATAGACTTATCGACATTTCGTCGCATACCTTGGGAAAACAACGTACCTTTTTTCCTTGTCTCATTCTTTGATCCGAAGACTTCAGCGCCTATTTGCGCGGATCCTAGAGGCGTTCTGCGTAAAGTTGTCGACAATGCGGCTGCTCATGATTTGGAATGCATCTCTGGTGTGGAGTTTGAGGTGAGCAATCTCAGCCGGTTATGCGTCGCTCTGAATGGACTCATGAGGCTTTCTAGTACTTTAATTTCAAAGGTGCGCTCATGAAATTTCTCGTCTGCCGGTTGTGATTCAAAAAGATTTATTCAGAAACCCCCGAGTCCGTAGCTCAAAAGGGCTTCACCCGGCTGCAGCCATTAACCCCAGGAAGTGAGCAAAGTAACTGTTCGCTGCACATTCGCTGATTAGAGTACTGCAGTGCATGGATATAGCTTATTGCGTACTCAATTGAACCAAGAATATTTTCACGCGCTGTTCGATGAGAGTCTGAAATTTGGCATAGATATTGAAGGACACCGTACGATGATTTATCCATTATAACAGTGATGACAACTGACTCCTGTGCAGACACCGAAACGGGTCCAGGTGTCCTCGAGACTGCGCTCGCTTATACATCGGCTATGAGAATAGCGGACAATGCTATCCTTTACAAGTTCTTGGCGAAGAGTGTTGGGCTGAAGCATGGAGTCCTCCCTAGTTTTATGGCGAAACCATGGGGAAATGTGAGTCAAATTCTAGTAGAATTTGTTACAATCTCACGGAAATGTTGCTTCAGCTACCAGGCTGCAGCGGGTTTGTATCGATATCCCATACTGCATCCAAAACTTTTCTGACATCAGCTCAGACATGTACATGTATCACTTAAAGACAGAGAAGGCCGCAACGCGTTCTCACTTTCAGAGGCGGACCAGTGATCATGGACGAGCTAATGCAGCATTCGAGGACACAAGATACCTAAGTCAACTTGGGGAGCACTTTCTGGCAGGTGTATTGGATGGCCTTCCTGATGGTAGGATTTTTTTGTTCGGTTATGGTGTACGTTAATGCTAAACTGATGATGCAGTGATGCCTATGGTGAGTACCCGACTCGCCACATGTGTTTTTTTATCTAAAAACTTGGGAGCTTGTCCCAACGATCAATGGCTATAAACGTCTCGTTGGTGGTGAAGCCTTTTGGGCTCCTAACGCAGTTACATATGGGTACGATTCTCGTGCAGCTTCCATTCGTATCATCTCGCCACCGTCTGTTCCACCATCCGCAACAAGACTTGAAGTCCGTGTACCTGGTGCCGATATGAATCCCTACTTTGCATTGAGTGCCATCTTCCAACTGGGCATGCGGGGCATTACCAAACAACTCAAGCTCACGACGCCCCCCATCTCTACTTACCAAAGCTACCCAGCCAGGAAGGAGGTGAGTTAGAAAATGATCTTGCAGTATCATAACTCTGACTACTTACGAATAGGTCACCTCGCTTCCTAGTTCGTTGGAAGATGCGACCAACGCTATGATGAAGCCTGACAGCATTGCCCGTGAGGTATTCGGAGATGATTTTGTGGATCACTTCGGTGCAACCAGGGAGCATGAGGTGAGACTTTGGAATGCGGCAGTGACAAATTGGGAAGGTAGGCGATGATAAACTATCTTTTCAGTCTATGCATTAATTGGGCCTTACAGTTGAAAGATACCTTGAACTTGCATAAGAAATAATAAGACCTCTACGGGCGCATATATATGGCCCTTACCATGGAAATTTACTCCAATCACCGAGTTCCTTGATTGTAATATGCATCGCAGATATTTGACTTGGCATGCCGCATCTGAGATGCGTTCATGATCTCTCCAAGTGTATTACCCTTTGTCACTCTGCTTGTCACCCTTCGGATCGAATAAGTGTTTGACGAAGATACGTCTCATCCAATTTTCAAGCAGGTGAACGTTCGCACGCAGCCATCAAGACTCTTGTGTGACAGACGCACCCATAATCGTCTCCAAATGCAGTATAGGTACCGCATGCCACCAACTGGATTCACGTCACTTTGTTCCAGAATTTGCTTCCTATGGCCCATGAGGACCCTAGTTTCACCCTGGAATGGCGCACTCATTGCGCCTTCACGTTGCTTGGCTTCTACTCACTTATGTAAGAGGTACCTCGTGGGCGAAATCCTGATTTCACTTCTCCACTGAGTGCAGATAGAATTTTCGCCTAACACTGTCGTAGCGGCTGAGCAGTCTGCAGACCTGTACGGTGCGTATCCTTCTTGTGATAGGATGGTTACTGACCATTGACGGATTGAAACAACCAGGCCTTTACAGGCGCATATAATGGCCCCTCTACTGTGAAATCTAACTCCAAACATCCGATGCCATGGCTGTAAATGGTATGGAACTGCATCAGGATAATCTGTTTGGTTGTGTCGATTTGCTAACTTTCTGTCAACAATGTTACTGTAACCCTTTTATCGATCATCACGTGATTCACTGTTATGTAACTCCAAATGCAGTATAGCATGTCCATTCACGTCAGCATGAACGTGAATACTTAGCAGTTTCCCATGAGAACACTCTACCGGTAGGCCCCAGCTTCAGCCCGGAGTGGCGTACTCATTACGCCGTTATCTTGTTCGGTTCCTGACCCATCTATATAAGGGGCAAAAGTAAATGCCCTCGCGTAGAAGTTCTTTTTCTACCCCTTCTGCGAGTCTGAATGCAAACGGAGTATTCAGCTGGCAACATCGCAGCGGCGAGGAGTATTCAAACCTACACGGTACGTCTCTTTCTTGTGGATAGGATGGTCGTTGATAACAACATATGGAATCAGTATATATACAGTGCGTACCATATGAACCAGCTTCTTTCTTGTCCTGACGCGGCTCAGCCTCGGCGGCTACATTCTGGGTGGGTTTGTTGTTATATTCCGCCTGCTATTGACTTTGCTTGTCCAGACCTATGACTATGCTTGTTCGTTTCACCAGGAGGTAATACCATTGTTTACGATAAGGTTCTTTTGTTATTCAGCGATAACATGCTTGTTTCAAGTTGGCGTTCCTAACTCAATCGCGTTGGACCAAAGTAAAAGGCCTTTATATCCTTACACGCTATACGCCTTTCCTCCTCTTCGTTGCACACCTATATTGTGCGTTCAGCTTTAGCACAGATCGCTCTGGTGATGATCAATGGATTGACATGTGCTTCAGTGAACTTCGTCCCGGATAATAATCCCGATGTACGTAATATCGCGGTGGGCTTACTGACTGAACGACGCTCACTGCATGACATTACCAGAGATGTCAAATGATCAACAATATTTGCTCATGTGCGGGCATGATCCCTGCATGCACGTCTTAAACGATCCTATCCCCTTTCACAGGTTTCAGTTTGATTTCAGTCATTTGTTCCGAATGTAACTCCTTCCCCTGATTCACGTGCGTTCCTCATCCCATCCATCCAGGCTTTTTCATTATCAGGACATATGCACTCTGGAACCACAACAAAGTCGTGCTCGCCGCCATGCTGGCCGGTTTCCTTGTGAGTCATTACTCTACTGCACTTAAAGCTCATGGTAAATATATTTAGTCAGGCTGTCATCGTAGCTTCCGTCGGTGTCCTCTTTAGCGCCACTGCCAATGCACCATGTATGCACCCCACCTTCTCTTTGACGTTTTATTATCACTCACACACTTGTCGGCTTGGATGTCACAGTTGAAACCAGCGCGATCTCGAGCATCACAGGCTGCTACCAGTCTACAGGCAGTGATGAGCTCTTCGTGCCGTTTGTTCTCTTGTTTGCTCTCGAACTGGGTGCGTCACGGGAAGGATGCGTATACACGGACGCGCACTGACCCATGCTCTCCTAAGGGCTCATCTCTCTTACGCTCGTACGTGCTATACAGAGCTGGCGAACAGCTCGTACCCCTCTGTATGATGTCTTGCTGAAGCATAACATATTCTATTATGTATGCGGTCTATGTAAGTCATCATGCAGGCTATTTTATCGTCACTATGCTCACTGATGATAATTATTGTCCCGAAAGTTTTCTCGGTGGTGAATGTATTCACATCCCTGTTCCTTCGAGTGAGTACAACAGCCCATCCCCAAGACTGAGCCATTGATTTTTCGCGCGCTCAGTACGCGTACAATGCCATGTTCCAAGAGTACGTCCCTCAAACTATGCTACACATCCCTACTAATAAACCTCCTCCACAATGCAGTTTCCAGCTCATCATCCTGGCGATTCTTGCCACGCGCATGCATCTCCATCTCTGGCATGTCGACCGGCAAATCCACTCTTCCGCTCTCATGCTCATTCCTTTAACTGATGTATCATCTGTGGGCCGCACGGGGTGAAATTGGAATTGGCTTACTTGTTTGTTTGATGTCGTTCACGGAGTCAAGTTTGGACAATGCAAAGAGACTAAAGACCCTTCATGCGCTTGTCACCATTTCGCTTTTGTTGAGGGGCTTTTCTTGTTATGGACCTCATACGTCATGGCTTCGTCTTCATCATGTGCTGTGCATTCTCCACATCCACCTATACCTTTCATTCCTGTTGTTGTAACAGATCAGCATATCACTGACAACGGTCTTTCTGTTATCTCCTCCTTTCTACTTCGGAGGTTGTTTCAATATTGTAGAGTATTGAGAGTGCGGTTGACTACTGCTCAACGGTAGCCAGCTGTGTCTCCTCCCAGTCTCCGTCATGTGATCATTCACTTTTGGTCAAAATGTCCTGTACATGTGACTATGATTATGATTTGCTCTTCATATTTAAGCATTTGTTGCACATGCAACACTGATATGATGCAGAAGCTTTCCCTAAGTCTTCTTGCTCGAGAACAAGACTGGCGCATGGTTACCCACACGACCTGACAAGTAGCACGATGATTCTGATAGTTGGGTGATTGGATATTGTGGGATGGCAAGCCATGGCTTCATTAGAAAAATATTTCAGAAATAGCGGGTGCTCATAGGGTTGTGGTATATCATTCTCGGCTCAACTTGATGCCGGCGGGTCAAGGATTTTCTAAGGCAGGCGGACCTCAGTCACCTCATTTCGTCCTGAGGACCCCAGAACACCTGATACGACACCACAAAGTCTTGACTTCTCCACGACGGACACTTAAGCTCACTGATCAATTTGCTTGCAGCAGTAATGGCAGACCCTTCAAAGGCGGAATCAGAGCAGATCTTCCAAGTGCTGAGATTGCAAAAAGGCAACAAGGTCAGTGTATTTCAGCCCACTCGTTATAGCTGTTGACTTCCGGGGTTTCAGACATGCTTTGATTGTCAGGCTCGGAATCCGACCTGGTCCAGTGTGACTTTTGGAGTTTATATCTGCCTAGACTGCTCTAGTATTCATCGGAATATGGGCGTACACATAAGTTTTGTACGGTATGTGGTCGTTCCTCAAAACTGGTGTCCCGACGGGTTCTTATCACCGGGAACGGCATGACAGGTCGACGAATCTCGACAGCTGGCAACTAAACCAGCTTCGTACCATGAAAGTGGGTGGAAACACATCGGCGACTGAATTTTTCACGCGACATGGGGCCACGATGCTTCTCAGCGATTCCGACACTAAGAAGAAGTACTCAAGTCGTGCTGCTGAGCTATATAAGGAGGAGCTTGCGAGACGAGTGAAGGAAGATATTGCAAAGTGAATTGTCGAGATGCTTGACAGGAACTTGATCTAATTGTTATTGTTTCCCTTAGTTTCCCTACGCGTATCGTGGTCGATGGTGTCGATGCACCTCTTGTGAGCGCTGAAGCTACGCAAGGAGAGGATGATTTCTTCTCTTCATGGGAAAAGCCTGCCGCTCCAAAACCAATTTCTTCCTCAGCTATCACATCTCCTCCTATCATTGGGCGACCAGCATCAATGGGCTCAGCTACTTCTCGACCAACTACATCTAGTTCCATGCGATCAAACTCTAGTCCCTCTACGAACGGCATCACTAAGCTCGGTGCAACACGTTTAACATCATCTACTTCCGCGATCGGTTCATCAGCGACCTCTACCTCTCAGAAGAAATCCAAACTTGGTGGCCTTGGGGCGAGGAAAGCAGCCACCCCGATAGACTTTGCGGAAGCGGAACGCAAAGCTGCAGAGGAAGCTGAGCGTATCAAGCAGCTTGGCTATGACAGACAACGTGAGGAGGAGGAAGAGCGCGCACAGAAAGAAGCAGAAAAGATCGCTTCATCACAAGTGAGGGTGAAGCCTGCTGATGCTGTGCAGACGGGCACTGTGCAGGGAAAAGTTGACTTGCAAAAGGGCAATAGCCAAGACCTTGAGAGGCTGGGCATGGGCTTCCGTAAGCTTGGCTTTGGGGCAGTTCCCACTGCTTCACCTTCATCGACTGCGCGATCAAGGTATATCATGATATCAACCGGACATTCAGTAAAATTGATCTATTTTCTAATCGTACAGTCCTGCCATTGATGACGCACCAACCACCGCACGAGACAAGTTTGGCAATCAAAAAGCTATCTCGTCGGACATGTACTTTGGCCGAAAGGATTACGACCCTAATTTCGTCTCCGAGTCTCAGTCTCGTTTACAGAACTTCCAAGGCGCTACATCTATTTCCTCTAACCAATATTTTGGTCGGGAAGAAGAAGAAGAGTTCGAGCGTACTAGTTCAGATGGTGGGATGTTGGGCGATGGCAGTCTTTCGAATCTCGAAGTCGCAGCGAGAGACATCGTGGCAAGGGTCATGGCGAATCCTGACGTCCAGAACGTCGGGGAGAACATTAGAACCAGTGCACTGAAGGTGACTATCTTATTCGTTCCCTTGCACGTGGCTAATGCTTACTGTGCAATTTAGCTTTCGGATTATTTGGCGCAGATGTCTCAGCATTAAGTTAAACGATTTCAAACACTTTAATATCCTCGCCGACATACATCTCGTGTTCTTTTGTTATATTTCTACACATGTGTTTCTAGTTACCTGCAAAGATCGTGGTCAAGTTGAAACCACGTGACTTATTGCGGCGTTGTTTGGCAAAAGCCTCTGAAGTAAACAAAAGTGGGAGATCCAGAATTTATACAAGGCAAATGAACCCACCATGATCAGGTTCATCCTCGTGCAGGCAGGTGCACTCTTCAGCATAAAAGACCATGTGCTCAAATAATATGCGCTCAGAACCGTCAAGGGAAGACACGATTGTCGAAGTGGTATGTCCCGTACGACGACGACGAGAAGGTGCGATAGACGCTATTGAGAATTTCCATGCCGTTGACTATGTGCTCAGGTGAGACTCCGAGGTGAAGTGCACAGACTAGTAGCTCCGCGCGACCAGAAACACCAGTCGAACTTTGTTGAGGTGAGGACAGAACGACATGTCACGCATCTAATTCTCATGACGTGGAATAGTTCAAGAATTACAAGATCGTGTACAGGCGTTATGCCGGTCTCTTCTTTTGCGTATGTGTCGACGCTAATGACAATGAGCTGGCATATCTAGAGGCTATCCACCTCTTTGTCGAGATCCTTGGTGAGCGACTCGTTTGCATTCCACGGGCTGAGCCAACTCGCTGACATTGATCCAGACTCATTCTTCGACAATGTGTGCGAGCTGGATCTTGTCTTCAATTTCTACAAAGTGCGGTTGTGTTTATCCCTCGTACGCGTTGTTCCTGACCTACAACAATAACAGGTGTATGCCATTTTAGACGAGATATTTTTGGCGGGAGAGATTGAGGAAACTAGCAAGGATGTGGTGTTATCGAGGTTAGAGGAGCTTGAGAAACTTGAATGATGGGTCTTATGTCGTACTTTGTGAGTTCGCCAAACGATGTGCACCTGCGATTGATTCCCATGTGACATAGCTCTTTCTAGCATCTTATCATAACCGGGACTTTATAGTAGCCAGGATATTTTTGCCTTGTGACTTACCTTGCTCCACATGAATGGATTTACTACTTCTAACGCTTTGGTGCGCTCCATTTTACAGCCACTGGCATCAAGCCTTCGCACGGTGCATCGAAGGCTTGCCGAGTGATTCCAATCTACATTTTCACCCATGTCCATGAATGACTATGCTACCTATTATTATCCGTCACAATGAAGGTACGTGTGCACTTCCTGACTCCATTGGCAAGGCCTCGTTTTTTTCATGGTAGCGGGCAATGGAGCTATCACAATCAATGCCGAAATATGTTCCAATCTTCGAATATTTTACATTACAGGCCGCCGTCCTATGACTTCTTGATAAGGTACTATTGCTTCTGTAGATCGCGCGCGCTCAAACTGACTTCTACGGATGACGTATGACCATCGCCTCAGCGGCATCGAATCGGACACAATGATGATTGTCACTTGGAGTACATGGTAGGGCTTCTTGTTTTTGCGTGAGAACGCCGTCTGGATGACGGAAGCAGAATCTGAAGGTCTTGTGCTTTCGAACATGAGTTTTCCTTTCCATAGAAAATAATAACCATCTTCCATTCCACTAAGTTGATCTGTTCAGGGAGCCGTAGCGCGACGGCGCCCTTCAACTTTACTCTATATCGACCTTTCTGGATTACACCATGCATAAACCAGCAATTATGCCATGACGTGACTCACAGTGAGTGTTGAATTCACATGCAAATCACATTCAGTTAGTCACAAACCGTATGATGTCATGACTCCTCGACGTCATACACAGTTGCCTTTTTTGTACGCCATCTCGGAGGAGTATAAGTACTGGCAGGACGTCGAGCTATCTTTCCTCCCAGCAAACCACAACCAACTTTACTATTCATCAACGCTTTATCAACTCAATCAACTACTCTCATCATAATTATGTCTTCCCAAGAGCCCAGGTAAGCGCTTTGCCCGCCCTCTCTCTCGATGACAAGAACTCACTTGTTCTTCTATAGCAAAGTATCCGGTCAATTCCACTCTGTCAAGGGTACCGCCGTCGAGACAGTACGAGCTCATCGCACCACATGCTGCCGGCCTGCTGATTTTTCTCTCTAGATCGGCGACGTGACGGGTATGTCATCTTGGTCGCAGTCGGGTAAAGAAGAACACGCCAAGGGGGAGGGCGAGTACAACGCCGCCCAAGCCAAGGGATATGTGGAGGGTGTCTCTGACAGGGCTACCGGTTACAAAGACTCAGTCGTTGGCGCTGTGACTGGCGATAAATCTCAGCAGACAGCTGGTAGGTAATACTCGCAGGATGGTGGCTGACCTGACTGACAAGTTGTCTTTCAGGGAACGTCAAGAACGAGAAGGGCCAGACACAGCAAGAGATCAACAAACCCACATGATCCCTAAGCCTGTCTCCTTATATATTGCCCTTCTATATCGACTTTGGAGTGGATATACAATAGAACTATTTTACATCTTGGTGCCTATCAGTTTTTTGACCCTTGAGACAAATGGACGTTGTACATTGCACCAATTTTAATCGCTGAATTCACAATTACCTCCAGAATGTTGAAAATTACAGCGACGTCACATATAGACGCTCATACGAGCCACTTTTGTAATCTATCATCATAACCTGCGGAGTATCAGCACAATGACTGCCGACTGTCGCCGATGTTTATGCACGCAAACCGTCGACATAGATCATCTTGCGAGACGGCAGTATGTTGCCATGTGCACATGTGGCATGACGTCGAAAGACATAACACAAGTCCTGCGAGGCCTTCTTCGCTCCACAATAAGGTTATCCAAGTTACACTTCGTAATAGTGTAGTACGGTACTGTGTGCAGTTGGTCGCAGATCAGTACAATTCCAAGATCCCATTTGTACCGCCTCGGACAAGTCCCACAAGTCGGGTTGACGTACGTTTTACAAAAGTAGTTAGCGCCTCTGTTTGGTGTCACTCCAACAATAAACCAAAACGGCCAAGTGAATTTTTGAAATTCTGGTCTACCGATATGAAGATAGCTGTAAATTTTCCTCACGAGTAACGTACAAACCCAGCGGCTGAAAAATCATCGCTACAAGTTCTCCAAACCAGCCCAATCGACGGGCTGTTTCAAAACTGCAATCAACCGCCCTTCCTCACTCTCTAAATCTGATCCCATGTCCGTCATATACTCCCACCTTGCAGTCTCCGGAAGGCTCATCAAGATGCTTTCAATACGCGCAGAAGGCGTTTTCAACCCAAACTTGGTACCTCTGTCGTACACGAGGTTGAATTCGACATAACGCCCCCTGCGTATCAGCTGCCAGCGTCTTTGTTGGTCGGTGCTGGGCATCGACATCCTACGCTCAAGAATGGGCAAGTAGGAGGGGACAAATGAATTTCCCACTGCTTTTATGAAGTCGAATATCTCCTCTGACGATCGAGGTCGTTTGATATCCTCTGAGAGCCGAGCATGCTTCTCAGTGCTGAGATCGTCAAAGAAGAGTCCTCCGACCCCTCTGGTTTCTTGACGGTGGACGATATAGAAATATTCGTCACACCACTTCTTGAACACAGGGTATAGTTCGCTGCCATGTTGGTTGCAGGCCTTCTGCAACGTCGTATGGAAGTGACGTGCATCTTCATCGTAGAGGTACGAAGGCGTGAGATCAGAGCCTCCTCCAAACCACCATGCAACAACCTTGCTAGTACCCTCACCCTCAGCGGCTTTCTCCGAGATCTCGAAATAGCGATAATTGGCATGCACAGTGGGAGCATGGGGATTGCGAGGATGCACGACGAGGCTTATTCCAGCCGCAAAAAACGGAAGACTAGTTTTCCCGTCGTAGGGGATAGAGGAGTGATCTGCACGCATCTCTTTGATTGCAGCAGGGGGGAGCATGCCGTGTACGACAGATATATTGACACCAGCCTTCTCCAGGATTGTTTGTTGGCCGGGTGATCCATCTGTGGAAGGGGGAACAAAGAAGACGCCCGATACACCCTTGCCTCCCTGATGTGCTCGTTGCCAAGAGTCACGTTTGAATTTTGGAGCATTGGGATCGAGGGTTTCAAAGGAAGTGATGATCTCCTCTTGGAGACCGAAGATGTATTCTTCGAAACGGTGGCGCATGGTAGGGGCTTCCATCTTGATCTAAGGCTTTCAGACTATTATACCTGCATATACGAGATGCTTAAGAGATTATCTATCCTCGATCAACACGTCACGTCAATGGGGCAACAGACCCCCTTGGTAGAGGGTCGCTGAAAGATAATTTTTAAGATAATAAAGTCACATGACCCTTACATGAGGCATTGTAGCCCAATTACAGCCCTCGTTTTGTTAGGTTCTATCATTCCGTTTCACCGTCTGTCTCGTACATAGCCATAAGCTTAATAGTCTTCTTGTTTGTACATCATGGACGCTCGTCTCCGCCGCGTGAATAAAGAAATTGCTGGTAGGAATTGATCGTTATTACTGTAGCATCGCTCACTCTCACCCCTGGTCAGACTGCAAGAACGACAAATCCTCAAACATCAAAATCGACCTAATAGATTCATCGCCATTTCATCTGAAGGGATCTTTCCCCGGTCCTCAAGACACGCCATACGAAGGTGGCCACTTTGAAGTGGTGCGCATCGTTGATTTCCTGTCTAGCACAATCAGAATCTTAATCCGGATGATAGGATATTGTCATCCCCGACTCGTATCCATTCCAACCTGTCAAGATGAAATTCATCACGAAAGTGTATCATCCAAACATATCATCAGCGTCCGGAGCTATCTGTCTTGACATCCTCAAGGACGCGTGGTCGCCTGTTCTAACGCTCAAATCAACACTGATCTCACTTCAATCGCTGCTGTGTTCTCCCGAGCCTAATGATCCGCAAGATGCGGAGGTTGCGAAGCACTACACCACCAGCAAGGGAAGCTTTGATGAGACGGCAAGATACTGGACACAGATATATGCCGGAGGGCCTTTGGTTAAGAAGATGGAAGTGAAAGAGCCACAGAGAGATGAGATCGCAATAGCGGGTCTTGAAAGAGCCCATGTAGATCAATTCGAGGGTCTCGGTTTTGAGCGCTCAAAAGTCGTACGTCTCATAAGAGCTATTTTTTATATTCACGACACCGCTGATGGGGCTGACCCAGATCGACGTTCTTCGGAGATTGAACTACCGTGGCGCGAATGTCGCCAATATTTCGGAAGATAGGATTGTAGAAGAGCTTTTGAAATGACATCGATGGACATACCCGGGTTCCCCGCACGTGGTTACTGGTGTTGATCCTTGTATTTTTGTTCGCTGTAAATGCCATCCGTTACTTGATTTTATGTTTCCAGTACTCATGAGACGGGTGCGCTCGGACCGACTTGTGAGGTTAGTGGAAATGCCGTTACTGTTCTCCCCATGGCCAGCCTCGTGGGTCACGCTGGCCTGTCGGTTCATTCCGAGTGTGCAGGGATGATACTATCATCCTCGATATGATCGATATCTCGCCACTTTCCAGTGATGGGTGTGAAGTGTCGCCGATCCATAGCGACGTCATGATAATCACATCTTCTTCTATTTCGATGTCGCCCTTGGAACAGCCTTCGGACTTTGGTAGACTTTGGGCAGTATCAGCGTACAGCATTAATATTACATACTGCACGCCCGATAATCCTTACTGCGGACTACCCCCCCTCCCTCCTGGATGACGCACAAGAACCTCCAAGAACTCGGAACTGTTGATCTTATTGAACTCCCGTAGCGTTGTATTTCAAATAATCTCCCCAGTGTCGTACCCCCCACTCTTAGTCTCGCCGAGGCGGTCGGATCATCTTGAGATGTCCTTGTATATCTATATCTCGTTGAAACTACCACTTCTCGTGGATAAAGTTCGTGCGAGGAAGAAAACGATCTGAAGAAGCTCTTCCAAGAGAATGGAATATCACTGGCAAGCTCTTGAATCTACAAGCTATCTGGTAACGGAGATCGCACCGAAAACTCCAATCAGAAGAATCGGAGAAAATGGCTGGATGCGTCAAGAGGCGCCGAGGCGCCGCACATCGGGGCTCCCTGAGCTTCTATGCTCCTCATCTGGATCTTATGACAGAATAATGGATACCAATGATCCGTGACGAGCCGAGGTCATCCGAGGTCCATAGTATCGAATGGTATAGCTTGAGGATGTCCCTATTGGGAATATGGGGTGGAAGCCTAAAGGCTCGGAGATATGATTAAGACATATATGTGTGCTCCGAGGATCACTTGGCGGTGTCAGCGTTTGTTAAAGCGTTTGTTAGAAAATGAAGAGGGATGGTCAAAAAATATTCGTGCCAAGTTGTCAATGGGTTGAGCAAGGTTGCGTGCGTGCACGTTCGGTCATGTATAGCAGCAGTAGACCAGGAAAAAAATGAGAACGATTGGTGAACATGAAATGCAAGAGAGGGCGTGACCTCCGGTCTACTGTATTGGCTATGAACCAAATCCAGGCGTGACAAATTTGAACGGAGATGACACCCATAAGATTTGGACTCATAGAACACAATAGAATCGGAGGGGCACGGCAAACCGTCGCACTCGTAGTAAGCACCAATTGCCAAGGTAAGAAATGGGGGATGAATTAACGTTACCCCTGCATCAGAAGTTCTTATATATACCAAAATATGATAGCTTGATATCTCGTGGGCGCAGTGTCTATCCGAACTTGCGTTGCTCCCATCGTCACGAACAATTACTTTACACAAGACACAATTATCAGCTGACACTCTGACGCTCTGTCGGATAGATCGAGATTGCACTGACGCATAAGGAAAACGAACGACAGGACAGATATCAGCCCGTCAACAATCTGAGTTTGTGATATTAAGAGGAAGTGCCGTCCCTTAGTGGCACAGCCGAAAGCCACACTGACAACCCGTTTATCGCGAATACAAAAGCCGCACATCGTCATTAGGCAAAAAAAACCTCAGGGCAGCTGCTGACACTAGTTCTCTTTTGTGTATTTTGATCCGAACTACCAACCCAGCACTAGTCTCTCCGTGTCTGACCCGGTGTATAGACGACGAAAGGTCGATCCTTCTTTACGAAAGTCACACGTATCGGATACCAACATTGTATGAGACTATGAGTGGCCCTGGATTGCCGCAATTGCATGCTTGGATCAGCTTAGCTGCGGTCTGCTGGTATTGTATAAGATAGTCGATCGGACACCTCATGGCAACGGCGAATACTTACTTGGGTTGAACACGTTCCTCGCCGAATACAGCACCTTCAGAGCTAGAATCTTCAGGGTCGTGCCGAAAATGGTCAGGCATGCTGAACATCGTCACAGTGCTGACCCCTGGCAGTGAGCCCGCGCGAATTACAGGCGTAGTACTACACCTGATAGTTGGGGTGGCTCTCCAACGTCATTCGCTTTGTCTATGAAAACTCAATGGTCCGCCAGGTCGCTTCCCCCCTGGAAAAAAATTCTGACGCACAGAAGCCTATAGAAGCACTTGGGGCGAGACATGTGAGACCTTTCAGTATCTTTCCTGCTGTCGAAGTCATTGGGTGAGTAAGCAAAATGAGGTAAGCGTCTTCCAAACATTACACGGCGGAACTAGCTAGAAGATCACTTGATCCGGTATACGGGATGATCATGCAAATGGAAACTTGCGTCAATGCTGTGCCTCTGTTCGTCATGAAAAGACAAAGATACATAACGCATACAAGGAACGCAATATGCTGTATGACAGTTATCGCGGACAGCATTCTGACAATGTTATTACCGTGAGCTCATCACCTGTATATCGATGCGGAGAACACGGCGTACCAAATTACGCTTATCATTTAGTCACGTCCCGGCGCTGTGGTACATCTAAATGGCGTTATACGCACTGGTCTTGCAAGTATCTGCGTCCAAGGACATCTTCATCCGAATATACTGCACATCTCCCTTGTAGAACGGATCACCAAATTCGATCATTCCACGTTTCTTATACCAGGCACTACTCGATGTCCGGGCATCACACCAAATGATGCTTGCACCTAGCTTCGATCGAGCTGCTTCAACCGCATGTTGAAGCAAGTGGGTCCCTATGCCTTGATTCTGGTGCATCAGATCGCAGGCAAATTTACGAAAGCGCGCAGCCTTTGTCTGAGAAGGGCTATCATTCCCACATCTTACAAGGTGTTGTTCCGGTAAGGGTTCGTCAAATAACGAGATGACGGCAATGGGCTTTCCGTGATGTGGTACGAAAGCTCCAAAATGGAGACCATTGCCATCTTCAGCGAGAAGAACATCTGCAATCGAAAGACTGGGCCACAAAACGGACTGGCGGAGCTCCAAGGTAGCATCCGCGTCTATGGGAGTGATACGGAGAACCGCTCTCGGCTTCACTAGAACTCATCAGATCAGATCCTGCTTCCTATGAAATAGACCCTAAAGATTCACCTTCACTTTCTGTTTGGCCGGACATGTCAGAGAGTGGCCCAGTGCAATGTATAAGGAATGCATTACGTGTACGTGTGTCCTCCCAAGATATCATTTTTGATTTGCTGGCTGACAAATCCACGTCTTACATAATGTCACAATTTTAAAAGTCAGGGATTGAAACTCTTCCTTCGTCTATGAAGGTCTGGCTGGAGATTAGAACTTTGGTAAAGCTGGTTCCGAGATAAAGTGAACCTATGATACACTGACACGACCTAGACCACTTAACTCCACGAAAAACTTTCAAACGTGACAACTAATAGTAGGAAACTTAAAACAAGCTCCTGGCAAGTTGGCAGGTTCGAGATAAGGTAAGCCATAAATTTACAAGTTGACCGCCGATTGGAGGTCTTAGACCGTTAATGCAGGCTGTCCATTGAGGAAGATTTAAGTTTCATTAAATTGACGTGCCTAATTATATTTCCAGGGATTCGCTACTTTAGTGTCGAATGTTGCGACCCCAAACCAATACCTTACGTGCTTGACCATGCAATGTGTGGTCGACCGTGTGTAGTGTGCACACAGGTTCGCACCCTTGTTGTGTGGTTTCTCAGAAGGTGTGTTCCTCTTGATCGAATGCGCATATAACCAACTTAAGTTCCATTGATGGTGGAGGAAGTAAGCAAAAATTGCAATCAGAATTTACCATTCCGTCGATAAAATTCTTTTCAGCGGCCATTGCATCCAAGCATAAAGTGCATTGTGCTTGATCATCTCTCGGCATAATAACCTGCATGCATGCAGGGTTCACTGGCTTCCTTCCCCTTTTCTCTCTCAAACACACGTATACATCGTTTTGCTCCTTGTCTCGATCTCCCTTTCCATGCACCCTTGGAACATTATCTGCCTCGGAAACTGCAAAAATCAAGGTAATGTATCTTTATTCAAATTAAGGTGCCTCCAGCCACAATGTATTCTTCTTTATGATTTGAAACACGAGAAGTTTCCAGAAATACAGGCACCCGCAGCAAGTGCGGCGTAATCATTGTGCACTCAATGATGGCGCTCAATGTAGTCACCCTTGCCAATTATTGGCGTGGTACGCGAGAAGCCTTGATCCGTTAAATCGGGTTTCTTCTGCCACAAGGAAGTCCTGCCCCACAGACTAGTACTATGTGGAGTATGCTAGACGGGCCTTGGCATTTCTGCAATGATTCTAGTACTCTTTTATCCATTCTTGTACACAACTGTACAAAGCTCGGAACTACCGGTTTTTTTTGGCTCCGCGATGATAAGTATTTGTACGAAATCCCGATTTGCCTCATGTCGCACTTTGACGCCTCCAAATCGGTTCCAGCGATTGCGCTTTTTTCTCTGATTGGTAGTCCACCTGGGGAATATCCCGCGACGCACGCATGAAGCATCTACGGGGAATTCAACATCATATCCAGCTTTGACGGGCATCTGCAACTGTAAGCCAGTCTCGAAAAATAATAATCCAATTGTCTATGCTAAAAATGTTCAGTGACGATAACCATACGCTCCATCCTCTACTTCGGTAGCTACGATGGATCGGACTGCAAGCCTTCATCACTTTGTATCGGTGCCTCCTTCTGCGCCTCTGGATCCTCGCCACTCGGTGGTTTCTCCCTCTCCAAGATAACACGTCGACGCGCCTCGAATCCCCCTTCATAGCCAAACCAACGTTTTCGAGAACAATGTGGACCGCGAAGCAATAAGACTAGAATTTCGAAGGCATGCAGCGCCAGCATCAATATTGAACATGCTCTCCATCCGTGTTGCACGAAAACTTGGGTGCCAACAGACGTCCCCATCACCTGCCCGATGAACACCTGTGACGTCTTGCTTAACAACACTCCGATTGATAGCTCACTGCGGAACTCACTGATAGAATGAGGATCGCGTTTAAGCGCGCACCAGCTGCGGGAGATATGCTGTGGTACGATTACTGTAAGTCAACAGCAGTTTCCTTCACGGAAAAACCAATATATTGACCTCAGGACCCGAGCGGTCATGGACACTTGCTGGGACTGGCGCCCAACATCGAGCCCGAAGCATGCAATAATGACAGCTGCAACATTGATCCCACCTGCCGCAGTCTGCACAGCTTGGGAAACCAGGAGCACGCCAGTGGCTACCAAAGTTGCATACCAAGGAACCAGCCTATCGATGAGGCGTCCTGCGAAGGGTCCAACGAGCACGCCTAGCATGCCAACGAGACCAAAGAGACCAATTATGAGACTGAAAATGGTCTTAAGTTCGGGCGGTAAAAAGTCAGGATATGTGCGTACGTGGAATAGTAATAGGGTGGACCTCCGAGAAGGAAGGTGAGAGTGACCCAAAAACTGGTAAAACATGCGTTGGATGCAATATTTACAATTGCCATCTGTATCACAAGTGGCTCTGTTACTGCATACTTGGCCATCGAAAATAGGATTTGAAAGTAGGTCATGTCACGGTTTTTGGATGGATAGTCGGGAAGCATCAGGTAAGCGCCAACGAGAACGAGTAATTGGACACCAATTGACATATAGTAGACCACACGCCAGCTTGTGAAATTCGCTATGACGCCAGCCAAGACACGAGCGATCAGGATCCCCAGCATGAGACCCGAGAGTACCACAGACAGTGCAGACGCTCTGCGTTCAGGTGGGGCTAGATCTGCAGCTAGAGGCATCAAGATCTGGGGAGTGACAGTTACAACGCCGGTCAAGAAGGACAAAACCTCGAAGACCCGGAAAATCTTGGTCACGGCCAAACCGATCGTGAAAGCAGTAGATGTCGCAACCAGCAGTAGCACCAGTTGCCTGCGTCGAACAAGGTCACCGAGAGGGGATATCAGAACTAATCCCACTAAATACCTGAACAACAACAATTAACCGTAAACGTTCAGGTTCCATTGGAGTCCGATAAGTTTTATTTACCCTGCTTGAATGAGCGTGGGGATACTTGATAACCAGTCATGCTTACTATTAGCCCAGATTCATTGAAACGGACAAAATCACACACCGTGAAACTTCTTCATATGCTACATCGAATGATTTCGAAAACTCAACTACGAAGTTCATGATTAGAGACACGCGCAGCCGACGACTTTTCACAACACACTCAACAGCGGTTGACAATAATACAAGTTAGCGACAGCTATTTTTCCATTAGCGTTCATTCACTGTCTACCAGGAAATCCGTACTGAATGTGCTAGCAAATCCAAAGGAAGCGTTGAGCAAGATGCCAAAGTGAAAAGGTTCCACGGGATTGTATTGGAGCCTTTTCGGAATCGGTATAATACCAAAGTCTTTTGTGGGCCAACTCGATTCTTCTGCGGACGCTGCAACATTTCTGACAGCCGTTTCGGTAGACTCGCAGTGTGCCCCTAGCTTCTCAGTGCTGGAGGGAGACATTAAAGAGAATGGGTCTCAGCGACAATCACGAACAGCGTGAAGGTAGGCAACGACTCGGACGAGGACTGCGACAAGTATCAAGAAACACGAGATGAGGCGAAGCACCGGGAGTGATACCGCAGTGCTAAGCCACATAGGGTGCAAAAGTGAGTTTAGAATATATATATATAAAACTAAGAAGGTACGCACTTGGGTGTAGGGCGAACGGCCAAGAAATCGACGAAAGAAAACAGCTTCCCGTCCTTTCAAACACATGACGACCTTGGGCTTATAAACTGGCTACAATGTGCTATACAACAGATATTTCCGACTTTGATCGGTGGCGACTCACCGTACGTAAATAAGACGGAAGTCCGTCCTTGGCATTGGTAGCCGCCAGCGCTAAGCGCTTACTCTCACGGATTTAACTTGAAGCAGCGGAATGAAGACAACGTTAACTCTGCCCCCTTAACAATATTAAATGTTGCAACAAATTGTTGACCAAACCGCAGCGTCAAGACTCTACTATTACGCTTTATCAAGTACTGAATACTGAGGCCTGACTCAAAATTCACTTCAAGTTGGAAATACTATTCTCTCAATGATGTGAGCTTCAATCGATTGCAGTAACTACTCTAGATGCCGGTACCGTGTGACCAAATTTGGAGACTTTCATATGTCAATAACACTGAGCAGAAGTCACAGTGAGTTGATATTCCGAAACCCTTTTCACCGCAGCGGCTAGATCGGGCGGCCACACAATTTTCGGAAGCTCGTCCTTAGCTGGAAGTATGACCTGTCAGTGCTTGTAAACCACAGCCTGCAAGTCTTACAAAAATACGACTGCAGTTGGCCGCCGTTATAGGTGTGACAATTTGTGAATACAAACGTTTAAACCTCCGCGACTGACGCCACGCACATGCGCATTCATTATCATGAGACCGTCCGTGTACTGTATGACTCATTCCGGAAACACATGGACAGCAGCTTTCAGTAAGGGATTGTTCCGCGGGCCGTGGCTCCAACAATTTGCCATATTAAAAATCGGAAACAGCACGTTTCTGTTGCGTTAGAGGAGCTGCGCATACGCCGAGAATCAAGGGGTCGAAAACCCCCTGAGTGATAGTGATAGTGATAGTACCCAATAACGAGTAAATTTCCGTCAGTAATTTGCCACGGAACAACTGTATGAAGCCGGTGAACTGGTAGTATGCATTATCAGATCCATCAAGTGTTGCATGTTGCGGCGGCCTCTAAGCTTCTATCAGTATATAATATGTTCAGTACAAGTATCAAGTTTTGGCTCGAGAAATTTTTAGTGGAGCTCCTCAGCACCTCCTTTGACATCTCCCTTCTCGCTGCACACCACAGCCAAGTGACCGCATCCTGTGCTCTCAGGGTCGGCGCTCACGACTAGTTGGGACTGTTTGGATGGCAACATCTTCCATAATCCAAACCCGCCTTCATAACCAAACCAGCGATTCCTGGGACAATGGGGACCTCTAAGGATAAGCACAGAGAGCTGGAAGACAATCATGGCCATGAAAAGCGCAGCATTTGCACGCCAGCCATATCCGACAAAAACGTCAGACCCAACGGACGTCCCTGTAATTTGACCCAGAAAAACCTGCGACAGTCCGTGGAATCATCAAGCTGATCCATAACAGAAAATGTGAATTGACGCACTGATATGGACATCAGTGCATTCAAACGTGAGCGCGCGGTCTCCGAAATGCTGGTTCATCGTCAATCAGCATGGCAGAACTGCAAAATGAATGATATTGTACCTGAACATTAGTGTAGAGAATGATACGGCTTGCATTTGGCGGAACATGTCTAATCCAAAGCAAGAGATGATGACCGCGGCGATGTTTATACCTCCTGCACCAGTTTGTACTCCTTGAAACACCAAAAGAAATACAGTCCCAACAACAGCGGACCACCATGGCACAAGCCGATCCAGCAGACGACCAAAGAATGGCACAATAATTACAGCTAAAATTCCAACGAGGCCAAACAAGCCAATAATCATGCTGACACAACGGCATCAGCGAATGAGTGATAATAAGACAGGGTCACTTACGTGGAGTAGTTATATGGCGGTCCACCGAGTAGAAACGTGAGGGTGACCCACCAATTGGTGTAGCATGCGCTGGCAGCCCAGTTTGTTAACATGATCTGGCCGACGAGAGGTTCAGTGACAACATATTTCGCCATGGAACGAAATATCCCGAGGTAGGACAAATCAGGGTTCTTCACTGGATAGTCCGGCAGCAACATGTATGCACCACCCAAGACGATACTCTGGATGCCGATAGACATACAGTACACAATTCGCCAACTCGCGAAATTGGCCACTATGCCAGACAGCGCGCGTGCGATGAGGATGCCAAGCAGAAGACCTGATTGAACAATTGAGATAGCTGATCCACGACGGGCGGGAGGAGCGAGATCAGCAGCTAGGGGCATGAGAATCTGAGGAGCGACAGATGTCAACCCAATCAGAAACGAGATTATCTCGAACACCACGAGGTTTTTTGTAATGGCCAATCCTATTGTTAAGGAGGTTGAACACACAACCAAGAGCAATATCAACTGGCGTCGGCGAAGCATGTCACCAAGTGGTGTTATAAATAGGAGGCCAATACCAAACCTTGACCACTGTTAACAGTAGCCATTTGGAAGGATTGTAGAACCTTACCCAGCTTGAACTAAGGTTGGTATCCTGTGCGAATGTTAGATTCGCGGATCTCAGCTAGACTTTTGGCTATCCACACCTTGCCACCTCGTCATACGTGACATGGAAAGAAGCCGATAGTTGAACTTGGAGACATACGTCAAGACCAAAAAAAAAATAGGAAATGCGAAGCTAACGTACTTAGAATTGGCTGACAATAATATAGGTTGGCAAACACTGCTCGAAGTTAAACGCGCATCTATGAACGTCCTGGTGTCATGACTTACCTAAAGTACTGCCTATGCCAAAAGATACATTGAGCAACATTCCGAAGTGGAAAGGCTTATCAGGGTCATAACGGAGTCGTCTCGGAATAGGAAGGCATCCGAAGTCTTTCGAGAATGTCAAATCCGTCTGTGCTGGGACAAGCGACGACGGAGTAGGCTGAGTTGCTGCTGAACTGACAATTGTTTCAGCGGGAGAGGACATAGCTCACGCAGCAGGGGGAACGTACCAATATTCTGTAAGACCGGACCACTAATATACATAAATCTGCCTGTTCGAGAAAGACCATAGTGTAGGTATTTGAGTAACAAAACGTGCTAATAATGCTATTATCAGGAGCGGCATGGGACCACCGAGATCTCATGGACATGCATCATGGGGGACAAGTTATGTAACATGAACATATGAAAAATTCGAATGCATGATGGTGTCAGCAGACTCAGAACAGTCAACACAGCCACATGTGATGCTGCTACAAGCGATCCGGCGCGTGGTGCTATTAGCGTGAATAATTTTGTATACTTTCTATTTCACGCAATCAAAGTTATTTTTACTGCAGGTCAACAATTTTGTGAAGGACAAAAGTATAGCCGAAAAAGTGGGCTGATCTGGATTCTGAACCCCCAAATTACTAATGAATCGATCCGTTGATTATGTGCCCTAGCAAGGTTCAAGAGTATGACGGGGAGGCTCAACATATTTGAGACTTGAGTTAAGAATACTCAACTTCGTGCCACCTATATAGTTTGATTTTATTCAGACCAGCTTGAATCCGCTTGTATCGGAAACAATCGAGTAGCTTTATACAGGAGCTGCAGCATTGTAGTCCAATGGTCATATAATGAATAACATGCCAGTTAATGAAGTTGCGGATTATTTCTAAAGCAACACGTGGCAGAAAATGCCCAACGTGATGCTCAATCATATTACTGAGACCGTTGTTGTGCTATTCTCAGCGGGGTAGAATAGGCTGTGGAGTGGAGGAGGATTTGAATCATGATGATTAATTGACTCACAGGCTAATACCGTCGACGAATGTAAGCTGCCTACGTTGAAATGAAACCAACGCAATATAATCATACCTCAAGGCGGCCCGAAAAAGTCGAGCAAACACAAATCGCTCCAAATAGAATCACAGAACTTTTCAACGCGGTATATAATTAAGTGGCAGCCAATGCAGATGGCAGTGAACACACTTTTGACGATGTGTAGAGATAATTTGTCCGTGACTTTGACTTCGACCCGAAAGAACTGTGATGGTGAAAATGTATAAATGTTCGAACAAAGAAATCCCGTTGACCCTTCACAGGCGTAGAACTTACCTAAGAGAGTTCGGACCGTTTCATACGCGCCCAGTGTGCAACTACGACTGATTGTAGTCCGACCAAAGATAAGCATCTCATCACGAGGTGTACCAAGTAGCTCCGATTAGTACGATGACAAGCTTGCACGGTGAATGTATGCTCGAGTGCTCACCCCGCGATTCATGGTCTATGTGATATACATACACGTGAAAGCATATGGCCACATGGCAGGAAAAACTGAACACCAATGACACTAGTGTTGATGAATGAAGAACTCGAGGCATGCGTATGCAGGCGGGTATCTTGGTTATGCATCTAGATTTCCTTTTTTTCGACTTCGTTGGTCTCCTTTACTGCCTCCCTACTAGCATTTCGAAACACTACAAATGCATCCCATGCGCTCCCCGAAGTTATGCTATTCATCGCTAGCGCAACCCCTTCTTTGAAGTCTGAAGCTAAACCTGCAACAACCAGAAGCGCCGATGCATTCAACAAGACGAAGTGCAGAACAGGCTTTAATGACTCTGGTATGTCATTACCGGAGTTGAGGAGCGCTTTGAATGTCTCTGCGTTCTCTGTTGGCGTTCCGCCAGCTACGGATGTAAGTGGATGGGTGCTCAATCCGAAAAGATCTGGGTGCAACGTGGTTTCGGTAATGTTGCCATCCACTAATTGCCACGCGTGTGTGTTGCCTGCACAGCTGATCTCATCAAGTCCTTCGGCTCCACATACCACGAGAGCGCGTTCGACGCCACCCTCATGTAGGGACTGAGCGAAGGTAGGACCAAGCTCACGCTCAGCCACACCCAGTACCATGCCTCGTGGACGTGCAGGGTTTATGAGGGGTCCAAGGACATTGAAGAGCGTTCTGAACGGTAAGGACTTGCGGTATGGTGCAATCATAGCGAGCGCAGGATGGTAATGAGGCGCGAGGATGAAGGTGAACGGCACCTTAGATATCTGAAAGGAAGTGCCTTGTGAAGGGGCAGTGAATAAACAATCAAGGGATTGCAGAAGATCTGCTGAACCAGATGAAGATGTAGAAGCCTTGCTTCCATGCTTGTTGTTTGACTCATCAGCTAAGTTACCGTAGCAGATGCAAAATGATCCTACCTTGATTACTCGAGCACCTGCGCCTGCAGCAACGACGGCTGCTGTGGTGCTAACGTTAAACGTGTTGTGACCATCTCCTCCAGTTCCAACGATATCGACTACAAAATCCGTGTCTCTATCCTCGATGGCTGCTTGTAACGCGCGCGCCCTTAGGACTTTAGCAGCCGCTGCAAGGAATTCTGGACGTCTTTCCACTCTTCCTATATGGAGGGCAGCAAGGAATGCACCTGTTTGTGCGGGAAAGGCAGCATCGGGGGTGAAAAGGTGATGAAGTGAGAGTTCAAGGTCTTCCGGAGTGAAATACTCGGGAGTCTTGACAAGTTTTCCTAGCAGAATTTTGAAGGAATTGGGAGTATATTCAGCCATAAGTATAGCTAGTATCAAGAAGATTTCTCTTGCAAGGTATTTGAGATGAGCAACATCTCAGGCTTTTGTACGATTTTTGTTACAGCTGATGATACGCTGGTAGCTATTTTGACGCGATTAGTGTCTTGGTCGTGACTCGTGAGCGAGTCGTGACACAATTGTGACGCGCTCTCCTGCGCTTTACACCAACGTTGAACGGATAGTCTATTTCAATGTTTAAGTTTAACTAAAGCTTTGTCGTCGTCGCAAAGTAGTTTCTTCAGGTCATTGATTGACCTTTGGAGCTCCTAGTAGGGTGGCACTCGTGGCCGTCATATATGAGATCTAGACTACACCGCATTCGCACGGTCCGCGACTGGGTACGCCACTGTACGCCAGCATCTCCGGTGTTCCAAATTGAGTGAATGTCAGAGATCTGGCCAGTCTGGGGCCAGTCTGGGGTCAAAAGTCTGGGGCCACAGTCTGGGGCGTTCGGCAAACGCGGCTGACCCGGGCTGACCCGAGCTGAGTTTGAATTGTTTTTGTCACGTGTTTGCTTTGTGACAATTCCAAAGCTGCCCGCCATCGCGCCTGCTGTCAGCAGTAGTGTGCCTGTCGTAGATGGCTGCCGACGCACCCGCCACTCTACCCACCACATGCAGTTGGCATGCTGTGTTCGTTCTCCGACCAAAATGGACTATATCATGGTCGCTCATCGCCCATCTCTCCCGCCTGTCCTTCCTCCTCGCCCAACTTGTCTCTTATCCGCCCCCGCCCACATATTCTCCTCTCACTTCCTCTGCACCGCTCATTATCATGTCTTCCTTGCAACAGGCAGATGTTGCGTTTCTGGCCAGATTGTCTCTGCGCGAATCTGCAGTTAGCCTTGTCACTGATTGCACGAACTGTGGGGGTACAGTTCCAATCACCATATGTCGGAGCGATGCGAATGGGAACTCGGGGAAGCCCATGGCCAGGGTGCGTTATCCGCATGACTTATTGACCTTCATTAACCTTTCTTCCCAGCATCAATCATGTTCCTTCTTTCACTGGTTCCCTCAACTTTTATCGCATCCAAACGTCATGGCCCTCCTCCCATCATCAAGTCGTTCCCCGAGTCTCACCAGTTCTCAGCCGGCACCTTCTACGTTGTAGTGGGGAGCTTCGGGTGAAGGCCGGGGAGACAGGGATAGGAGGAGGACGTGGTCATGAGGGATAGCAGAGGATAGGAGAGTAGAGCAGATGATGCAGTTAGAGGAGGCAAGGACTCGACCGGCAGATTCCGGGGTCTCGGGGCTTGGGGTCTAGGAGCACATAGAGCACACTCTTGTATCATACGACAGATGACGACGACGACACTGTCTTCACCCTCTCCCGAGCGCAAGGCTGGCTAGGACATATGGTGATGAGAGTGGGGAGGTGACCCACGAAATCAAGCAGGAACCCGGATCAGGTGGAATTTCTATTGAAGACTGCGCACGGCTGCGACGCCTACAGCGAAGAGGCACACTATCAGTACTTCCTCCTACTTCTTCCCCAACGAATCCCTTGGAAGGAGCACCAACAACACCAAGGAGACGTAACGTTTCTCTGCCACTGCCTCACTACGTTGAATACGAACCATCGGGAGAAACCGGAGGCGCATTTCGCCTTCACCCAGCACACTTCACACCGGTAGACAATATTCCCTCCTCAGATTCTACTGAAACCTCGTTATCGTCGACTACACCTACTAGACCGAGAAGTAAGTCAGTAGCAAAGACGACATCGGCACTTCGTAAACCACCTCTCATAACAACCTCGAAATCAAACAAACCACGGGCAGCCTTAGGCAAAACACAGACAATGGGTACACCAGACACTGTGAAATCAGTACCACTCTTCTATGGTGACTATGGGGAGAACGAGAACCCATCAGCGTGGTTCGCTCAATTTGAACTATCGCTCCCTATATCTTGGACAGATGCACAGCGCGTTCAACGGTTCGGCATGCAGCTGACACCAGGAGAAGTTGCAGAAGAATGGTACCATAACTTAATGTCCCACCATCTCAGCTCATTCACCAACCTCAAACTTGAATTTTTCAAACGCTGGCCACCTCCTAAGCGTCCTAAACTCACGCGAGCGCAACAGAAGGAGCGCATCATGGCGCAAGTGTTGAAAGAAGACGAAATTGGAGTTTGGACGCAAGAAGGGAGGACGGGTAACTATGCACATGTAACCTGGGCGGTCAACATCTCGCGATTGGCACTGGGAATGGGTGATGTGGATGGTGCAATGATTGAGTATGCATTAGAAGGCATCCCGGACCTGTTGAAAGACCATCTCAAGTGCGTCTACAACTCATGGGACGAGTTCGTGGAAGACATACAGGACGTGCCGAACATCAAACTCAAATGAGGACGTGAGAATTTAGACAAGGAACGAGCGAGGGACGTAGAGATCTCCAAACTCAAGATGCAAAGCATAGCATTTCCCTCGCCCGCTCCACAACAATTCCTGCAGCACGCATCACCCATGAACCACCCTGCACCAGTACGAATGCCGAATGTTCTCAACCCGTCATCATTCACCACAGCACCAGCAATGTTACCATCAATGAACGTAGGAATACCAGTGCGCAGTGGATACCCAACGTATGGCAACAATAGGGGAACATTTATCCCACGAGTACAGCTGTCTTGCTCCCAGATTCTAGAAAAGACGGCTCTGATGCTGCAAAGGCCTAACACAGAACCTGGGATGCGGCAATATGAAGCAGATGTCAGCCTATGGCACAGAGCATATGGTATGGACAGTGCTCAATCGTTAGAACGGCCATATCCCCTACGTCCGGGAACAGCAATGTTAGGATCAGGAGAGTGTTATAGTTGTGGAATGGTCACGGATCCGACACACCTTAGTTCGCAGTGCACGGCTACGAGTCAACTATGACCACATGAGACTCGATGGCGTCAGTACATAGCAGGACTATTGCGACGAGCAACCCAGCAGCAGACACCACGAATTCCATACCCCACACCAGTCCAATACGTCACCACGTTGAATCATCCTTACTTCCCACCGCAAGGGAACACACTGTCCGCACCAGTCTACCATATTGCGCCGCAGGAGGAACTCGGTTGGGGAGAACCATACGAGGGAGCAGGTGTTTCGGATCAAGGTTATGAGTGGAGTTCGGAAAACTAGGGAGGACCACTGCAAACGATGGACCAGCAGTAGTCCCACAAGATCAGAGTCCGTCCACCAACCAATCACCCATGTCGACGAAGCCAGAACATTTCATTTTTTCATCCTCTACAGCGCCACAAGCGCTCAATATTGTACATACTCAGAACAGATCGCCTACCATGCCTGTCAAGTTACCTTCTCATCTCTCGCAAACTAACTCGCTACCAGTTAGTAACCCTTTGACTACAGATCTTTCTTCTTCAGTTACGGACGTAGTAACATCGTCTGAGAATCTATCAACGAACGCGCACTCGGTTGTACCCTCCACTATATCTAGCAATACTATCACTGATGTTTATTTGTTGGATGACGCAGGGCAAGCAATCAGAACTCAAACGAGCAATCCCTTCCTTACGGTACCTCATCTACACGGACCTCAGGGAGAGAAGATACGAATCCTAGCCATAGTCGACAACGGCGCCATGATCAACGCAATCGACACGGCAGCCTTTCAGCGGATCACAAGAAGATTATCCCCGCTAAGTCCATCTTCTAGAACGCTGTGTATGGCTGATGGCTCCCTAGTATCGTCAACCAGTGTATGGTCAGGAACAATCTCCTGGGGACCGATCAATATTCAAACAACCGTCGAAGTATTTCCTAGCGGAGGATCATGGCGCATGCTAATCGGAAAACCACTATTAGAGCAAGTGCGTGCAATACACGATTATAGCAGTGACACCATACTACTTCCATATGGTAACGACTTCCATCGAATCTCGAACTTCACCACATTTCGACCGTTACCGCTCCCATGCTTACCTACAGCTATCCGTTTCCCATCCAGTACCACCTTTAATCAAATCGTACCATCTTCAATGTCTATACTTAAGCAGAACGACGATAACAATAATAATATATTACATGTATCTACTATACCATCACCTATAGACGTACATAAACTCGAGTCATCAACTAACACTTCAATTCAACAGGCACCCATCAGCGAAAGGAACACGGACGAGCTCACCATCACCCCTCATCAAGCAACGCAATCAGACTCAGTTCCTCAATCGGTTTTTGAAGTGGAAGATATAGAACAAGTACCTACAGCAGGTGATGTACTAGACCCATCAACCTCGACGCTACCCAAAGATATCTTTACTAGGTTGACCGAATACGGACCGTTCTGGCCAGCACGAGTGGAAGCAATAGTGAACGCGGTCCGTTATGGAGAACACCTCACAGAAGATCAACGGGCACAGACTCAAGCACTTATTGCGGAATTCGCAGACGTCTTCGCACTATCAGTACGAGAGGTGAAACAAGTAGATTTCATCAAGTTCCGACTACAGATTCCACCAGACGCTACGCTCTCGAAGAAGGTACACCAACGACCGTTAACCAAACTGCAACGAGAATACCTGTTCCCAGTACTGGACGACATGCGGGAAGCAGGAATTACAAGGTTTATCAAATCAGACGAAGTAAAGGCCGTCGCATCAACGGTCCTCGTACAAAAAACGCATTCAGGGACAAGCCTTTCGATGGAGGACATACGGAGGATTGTTAATAAGCAATGTATCGCACTCGGTGAGCCACCGGATTTAGATATTGACATGGACTCAGCATCAGCAGCAGAACCAGAATTGAAGGAAATTGATACGCCAAAGGTCAAATGGCGTATCTGTCAAAACTTCAACGATGTCAATAAAATCTCTCAAGTCGCACCAACACCACAAGGGGACATCGCAGCGAAGCAACAACGTTTAGCAGGGCACGAATATATTTGCGTATTGGATTTTGCAGCCGGCTTCTATGCGATACCGGTAGAGGAAGACAGTCAACCATACCTATGCTTCTACACGGAAGGGCGAGGATATGAAGCGTATCGTCGAATGCCAATGGGCGTGCAAGGAGCTCCTTCGTGCTTCAGCGACCTTACAGCACTGGCTCTGTCAGATATCCTAGTCAAACTACTCATGGAGCTATACGTCGACGATGGCGCAATGGCGGGAAACGTATTCAGTGAATTATTGGATCGCTTATGCATGTTTTTCACCAGGTGCCGAGAACGGAACTTGTCAATATCGCCAACGAAGACACAATTGTTCATGAACGAAGTCATTTTCGGGGGAGCACGAGTGGGACGGGAGGGCATACGGCCAGATCTAACGAAGATTGCCGCAGTCGCTGAGTGGCCAGTTCCGTCAAATTTATTAGAATTGATGCGCTTTTTAGGCTTGACAGGATACTTCAGATCGTTAATCAAAGACTACACTCGTATCGCAATACCGCTCACAGACATGTTGCGCAACCTGGATGCACCACCAATCAGTGCGAAAGGAGGGAAACATAAGTATAGACAGTTTTTGAGAGAACGCAAACTCGAAACCTTCTGGGAGCAACGACACACTCGCGCATTCGTAAAGCTCAAGCAAATTCTATTGACGGAACCGGTACTCAAAGCACCCATGTTCGACGGAACACCGTTTATCGTCATCAGTGATGGCTGCAAAGATGGCTTCGGAGCAGTCTTAGCACAGCATTTCCCGTTTCAAGAAACGTCAGGCGAAATGACTACCAGAGTTCACCCAATTGCATTCGCGTCAAAATGGACATCACCAACAGAGGAACGGTACAAGCCCTACCTGTTGGAATTCGCAGCATTGAAATATGCATTCGATCAATTTGGATCGATCATTTGGGGCTTTCCGGTCGAAATTGAGACGTATTGTATTGCACTGAGAGATACATTATTGAATGATAAGCCATCAATAGTGCATGCCAGATGGCGAGATGGCATTATAGCTTACCAAATTGCAGATGTACGACATCGGTCAGGTGCAAGCAACACGGCAGTGGATGCTCTTAGTCGAAGGGCATCGGGACAACCACAGAAGGACGGAGATGGTAGTGCGTGGTCAGTGAGCGAAGACTGGGAGGCAGAACGAGGACTGGTGAATGACCTATTCCTCGTACAACAGACTGACACCACTTCAGAGACGTTAGCGACAGAATTATGTGACCGATTCAAAGAAGAACCACTTTTCCGGGAGATCATAGAGGCATTGTTCAACCTCGATGGCAACAAACCAGAGCGAGAACGCAGACGAGCGCAACACAGAGCGTTAGGATACATAGTCGAGGATGGACGACTATGGCGTATCGCAGACGGCAAGTCTACTCGAGCACGAACGCGAATGGAGTGCGTCACGCAGAAGGAAGCAGTAGAGTTAGCAAAGGAAGAGCATGCTAACAACGGGCATTGGGGAAGAGACCTTACCAAGCTACAGCTTATGGATCGAATCGCAAGCCCGTCACTAGACCGATCCATTATGACGGCAATCCTCGACTGTCCGCAATGCAAAAATTTCGGATCAACCCATCTGCACGCCCTAATGTATCCCATCACAAGACGACATCCATTCGAGCTACTGGTCGCGGACTACCTCTCGTTACCTAAGAGTAAAGGAGGATATCATAATGCCTTGCTTATCCTCGATACATATTCTCAATATGTTTGGGGATTCAAGCTAAAGACGTACGGCAATGCAAAGACCACAATTGCAGGGCTAGACACAGTCGCGCACAGTTTCAGAGCACCCAAAATGTTCATGACGGATGGAGGGTCGCATTTCGACAATGGAGATGTACATGCATGGTGTTCAGCGCATAACGCAAAACACCATGTCATAGCAGCCTACTCACCATGGATCAACGGTCTAGTGGAGAACGCCAACGGAAAGTTGTTAGGACGACTAAGGAGATTGTGCAGTCCGGGATTAGGAGAGGATGAGAACGAGAACGCGAAGGCAGAGGACATGACGTGGAAGTGGCCAGACCACTTCGATACGGCGATTCGACAGCTCAACGAACGCATCATCCCAGCATTCAAATTTTCACCGAAAGAACTCCTCCTAGGACTAGTGGTCAATACCATCCCTACAGCAATCACAGACGCAAGCGCTGAACCAACCATATCGGAGGTGAACGTTCATATGGCGTACGTGGACCAACAGCGCTTGGACAGCGCAAACCACGCAACAGCGCACGCAATGAAACGGAAGAGCGTTTTTGATAAGAAAGTGCTGCAGTCACGCGCAGGAGAGGTTATATTCAAACCAGGGCAGCTAGTCCAGGTCTATGCAAACGCTACAGACATGACAATGGCAAGCTCGAGGAAACTCGTACCAAAATGGTCAGCACCCAGGCGAGTGGTCTCTCAGACTAGCAACTCCTATACTCTCACTTCCTTAGAAGGCTTTCCCATCAACGGCCTATTTCATGCGCGAAGACTTCGAAGGTTCATCCCACGTAATGGTACCACGTTGGCGGCACTACAAGAAGCACTACAGGATGAAGGTGCAGACGAAGAAGATGAATCCTTGGAGACGCAGTTGGAGAGAGGAACAATATCGGAGAACGATCTAGAGTCAGAAGAGGATGATGTGGAAGACGACGACGAACGGGAGACAGACGCAAAACCAGCTTAGAGTAGAACGCGACCCCGGAGGGACGCATTTGGAGAGGGGGCAAATGTAGTGGGGAGCTTCGGGTGAAGGCCGGGGAGACAGGGATAGGAGGAGGACGTGGTCATGAGGGATAGCAGAGGATAGGAGAGTAGAGCAGATGACGCAGTTAGAGGAGGCAAGGACTCGACTGGCAGATTCCAGGGTCTCGGGGCTTGGGGTCTAGGAGCACATAGAGCACACTCTTGTATCATACGACAGACGACGACAACGACGCTGTCTTCACCCTCTCCCGAGCGCAAGGCTGGCTAGGACAACATTTATGGGTGGCACTAGTGCTACTTCCGCCACTCAGTTCCCTTCGACGCAACCTCTTGGCTCAACTGGCAACGGCAAGAAGTCACGCAAGCGAGGCATCAAATGCAACGGTGCCTTTTGCCAACGAGCGAGTGCGTTGTGTTGCCCGCATGCGAAGTGCCTCACCCATTGTATTGAGGAGGTGGGAGGATGTCCAGTGCATCTCACTGAGACAGATAACCAGCAGCAGCCCCCCATCGCGCAGCAGGAGTGGAACTGGGACTATGATCAGGAGGACACTCTTATGCTCCCTGCTGAGGATGCTCTCACGCTATCTGCTGAGCCCTACTGGCATGATGATGGAGTTCAGATGAATGACGGGCTGAGAGCACTTCAACGTGCACTTCAGTCCGTTGGCACTGGACGCCCTGCTGTATTCCCATCATTTCATGATATTTTGATAGCTCCTGCACCATTGCAACCACCCGCGCCGACACCACAACCACCCACGCCCACCACACAACCACCTGCGCCCACCACACAACCGCCCACGCTCACCACACAACCACCCGCGCCATCCCAGCGGTCTCATCTGTTCCCACACGCCTTCCCGGTCCATAAGCTGTCGAAGCCTCCGCGTGTAACCAATCAACTTGACCCAATGTGGACAGGTGACCTCAATGCGCGTGCGTGAGAGGAAATTGAGAGCAAGAGGGTGTCAGAACGTTGCAAGGAGATGGAATGAGCTTCCAGGCAGCGCTTTGTCTTGTACTGGTTTGATGCTGTGAGTTGCTGCTTGGTTTCCCTCTCACCACAATACTTACTGCTGATGTGTAGGACAACACGCCAGTATCGATGCAGTGGGCTGTTCACTGCCCATACTTCCCACAATATCAGCTCTCAGACGATCCTGCGCTTGTCAACTCCCTTGGCAGCAATATTGAAAAAATCGATGTCTTTGAGGAAAGCTTCATGTGTTGGATTCCGTCAATGCTCGCTCACCCCTTCACTCTTGACTCGGGCTGCCACGTCTTCATACGACATCATGGTGTCACTGAGTGCAGCGGCTTTGATGATTTATTTAAGTCCTCCAAACTGTTGACTCGCCCTTCGCACATGCGCTTCAATATGAAAGGTGAGCGTGATAGCATACGCCGGAAGATGATGCAACGACAGACATCCACCCCAGCTTCATCATCGGACATCGAGATTCTCGATGACGACACGCCACTTACACCTAAGCTCAAGAAGACAAAGCGACGACAGGCATCCATCGCTGCTTCATCGTCAGACGTCAAGATCCTGGACAACGAGACGCAACTTACACCCAAGGTGTCCTTGGGAAAGTGCCGCTGGGCTCAAAGCCTCGGCCAAGAGCAAGACATGCACACTGCTACACGAGTGCGACTGGCACGAGATGGCTTTGATACCCACTCGATGTCGCCGACACTACCACTATTCCCCAGTCAACCACCAGAGGATGACTTCGATTCCCGTCGTGCTACTTCAATGTCACCAATGCCACTGCTCACGACATCGTCATTCTCCTCATCCGTTGAGTCTGTGCCTTCGACGTCTGCATCAGTTGCAGTCAAGGACATTCACCGACCAGCGCCACCTCATGTCCCAATCGTCATTCCTGTACATGTCCCAGCATATGATCGTGGCAAGCCACGACGAGTCTGGCCACATGGAATGTACACGGTTGATATGGTCGTCGGCTTCCAGCAGATGGACATCCCGAAGTTTCGTCACTATGGCCAGGAGCCGCTTTTTCGTCTCATCTTTGGCGACACTCCGTTTGTTAAGGCCACATATCATGAAAATCGCAAGGCGTGGCGCGAGACGCCACTGAGCATCCTCAAGGCACACAAGCAAAGTGGGCGCACTCAAGATGGCCTTTGGTCGAACTGTCTTGCCGCGCGCCGCATTGCCTTGGGTCTGGAGAGCAAGAAGCATAGCTGGCGGAAGTAGTGTCAAAGTATTGTCCCTTGGTTTGTTCTATACGTGTCTAATGTAACATCTACATTTGTTCTATACACTTGTTTTATGTAGCACTTACTATTCATTGCTTTGTCTATATCCCACTGGCCATCACAGATTCCTCGCAGTTCAGGCAATTAAAGAATTTCTTCAAGGGCGTTTCTATCACGCTCGTCCACCGGTGAGTTCGAGAACACGACGGTCAAGGTAGGTATTCATATGAATCACATCCATAACAGCTTCTCTCAATGTGAGTGCAGAACTACTTCAAGAAAGCTTAGTTTTCTCCTCTATCCAACTTGAATGCCGATGATGTTTGGATAGTTTAGTGGGCACTTCACCCACTGAACTATCCGAACATCATCAGCATTCAAGAGCTAGCCACACCTATACTGTAGGGTATTAAAGATGTTTTCTTCGGTCAACAAAGAAAACATCTTTAATACCCTACAGTATAGGTGTCAAAACCACACTGATCCAAAGTTGTTTACTCCAAAAAGGGGTCGTAAACAACTTTGGATCAGTGTGGTTTTGAAGGCGCTTGAAGACCTGCTACACCTATACCGCAGGGTATTAAAGATGTTTTCTTCGGTCAACAAAGAAAACATCTTTAATACCCTACAGTATAGGTGTAGCTAGCTCTTGAATGCCGATGATGTTCGGATAGTTCAGTGGGTGAAGTGCCCACTAAACTATCCAAACATCATCACCCTACAGTATAGGATAGGTGTAGCTAGCTACATTTTCTTTGTTAACGCAAAGTAGCTATTATGAATGTGATTCGTATGAAAACCTACCTTGACCGTCGTGTTCTCGAACTCAAAGTTTCCAGCATTGGTACTAACAAAAACATCATATATTGGGAGCTAACTAAACAGGTGGATGGTGAGGAAGTTTGCCTTGTATGCGAAGGGTAGCAACAGTCATACGGTTTCGACGGAGGATCATTTCATCGAGAAAAAAGTCATACTTAACTGGTGTCATCTCTTGACAAATATTATGAAAACTGCCAAACCAAACATTTGTTTGCTCCGCAATTGATGAGTTGAAATAATACTTCCCATCGTCGTCGAGAAGTTCAGGGTAGGCCTTCATGTCACAGCGCTCGCGGCAGAACACATCACTGGCCTTGTGCTTTGTCTTGTGATGGAAGGCGTCCACACACATTCCCATTCCCTCGAAGAACACAATCTTGCGACTCTCGACCTCCCGCAACGCGTTGCAATTGGAGTCATAGATTAAGTGCTGCGGCTTACGTGCGCGTGGGAGGGAGAACATTTTCTCGACCATAATCTTGAGGAAATAAGTTAGCATAGTCCTTCCGACAGAAAAAAAAACTTACCAGCACATTCGAGACAGCATCATGGTGGTACATTGTACCACGACCAGAGATAATGCCACAGGGACGAACAATGAGCTGTTCATTGTTAGTACGCTGACGCCGGAATGTAGCCTTGATCTTGGACGGGATATCCTTAGCACTGCACCCATTGACGTCCGAGACTCCAGTAGATGTAGTTGTAGGCGCCTGACGGAAACGCACAGCACCAGACGCCTTGTCGTACTCATACCATTCTTCGACATCTTGAAGGGGGACATCTTCTTCTGCGTAAGTCACGATCGGGGGTGAAACATTATGCATAGCGACAGAATCATTCAACTTTGCAAGTCTCTGGCGCTGTGTCCTGCTCTTGCCGCTACGCGAGGATTCAACATTGGCGGCCTCCATTCGAAGATGAACCGGATCATCACAAGATTTGTGCGTCTTCCCATCAGCACCAACCAGCATCACTGGCTGACTACAGCCGTCCACGGCACAGACCGACTCGAGGTGGCGATGTTCTGCTGTGCAGAAATGATGACGGTTGCTCTCGAGAGCATTTTTACACCGTGCGACAGCACAACATGGCCGTCCGACTGTCACACCATCAGTCACGATGACTTCTGTGTGGCGAAGCATTCCATCTGGCATCTCCAATATCCGCATGCATCCGAAGCAAGTGTGAGGGAGCTCCTCCTGACCCTGGAGGACGATACGAGCGTTGCGCGCATACATGGCCTCCGTAAGGCGATTTTTCTGGTTGCCGTCATGCGGCACTACCAGGCGTTCTCCTCGTAGTTGATGGTTGTTGAGTAGGGCGAGTATTACAAAGCAGTCCCAGACTTGCTCCATCGTGATCACGCTCCCAAATTGCCAGTGGTTGGCATCATCGTGAGTGCGACGTGTCTGGGCAATACCATACAAATGACCACAGTTCGTCGCTGAAACACTGTAACATAATATCAGTAAATAATTGCACGAGAGGCGAAAACAATAGACACTTACGCGATCTGCATGAGGTCCATCCAATGCATGGCAAGGTTGAGCTCAACAAATTGGTGATCCGAGACTTGAATGTATTGCGGGATACCGTTGTAGTAGGTTCGGAGTTGGTCCTTGACGCTGTAGTTGAAGTGGTAGTTCGTGTTGCATTCTCCATGGACATCAAGGGTCAGTGAAGCTATCATACGAGCATAAGCGCAACGAACATACCTCGACACTTCACATGCACGGTCCAGCCAGGCCTTGCACCCTCGCTATGAGTAAATACAACGACCCGGCGCTGTTCCTCTTTCTTCAGCAGTGTGCCATGCTGCCATGCGGTGCAGTCGGGATTCGTGCAAGTCTTGACTGGCGGATATAGCGTGCGTTCCACTATCAGTTACATTAGTATGACAATCATGATGCGATGTGTGGGCACAGTACCAAGTCCTAGTTTATGACCATGGAGCTTGAACGCAACTTCATCCTCAGCGCTTGTCTCAGCACTCATTGGTAGTTCCCAGACGAGATCCTTCACAATGTACCATAGATTATCGACTGTATCGGATGACATGTCGAGTGACGTAGCGAGAAACATTGTAACACTGTCTGGAAGCACATCGGGTGCATGGGAGACAGAGATGCGCTGAGGTTAGGGTTGAAGGATATCATTCTTGAGGAGGCTAGCACGTCGGATGAAACTGGCAAGGTCGACATAAGTAATGCAAGCGAGACTGGGTTGCTTTTTTATTGCATTGAACAGGTGCCCGACATCCATGATGGGCACTGATGTCACTGAGCGCACGGTGCGGCCTGCAAGAGGTCACAAAGGGCGGGTCACAATGGTATTGCAAACGTGACCAGATATGATTAGAACTCCGAATCAAGCTCCGCCCGTGTCAGCCGCTGTCAGCCGCAGCCCCAGACTTTGGCCCCAGACTCCGCCCCAGACTTTTGCCCCAGACTGGCCCCAGACTGGCCGTTTCCTGGATGTCCTCCAAATTGAAGTACGTACTACTTGCAAGTCCTTACCCACCTCATTCTTGTCAATTTTCACTGGTGCTCAACCATGGATGCATGGCATCCCACTTTTTCAAGGTCTAAGAAAGGCCACCTGATGAAATCATACAGCTTGTTCACAGCAAGTCTACATCCACAGTGAGTATCCCTTCTTTTTTTAATTATTTTTCACCAAACAAACCCATATAGAACCTGCTTTGTATAATCGGTTAGCATGCAAGCTAAGACCACATGAAACCTCGAATCTCGAATCTTGATCGTCAGTCGAAGTTCTGAGGTGTCGGTGCAGTCTCGGGCGTCGTTATAGTACCTGGTTCATGCGAAATATAGACGGCGTTCTAATACACATTCCCACTCAGGCTACCCTACGAATGTGTGAGTCAACAGAAGAGCATCAACTGCATGATGGATTCAGTGTGGTACGGTTTGGATCGGTTTTCATTTGAATTAGCGTTGATGGTGTGCAGTGGAAGCTGTATGACCCGGTGAGTTATTCCCTCAACTTCTTCAAATCTTCAACTTTCTGATGGTGTGCCAACGGAATATTATCGCCTTCAGCCATTGTGCATATGGGCATCATTTCTCTTATCTCCTCTCTCAACGCTCTCTTGATATAGGGGTGTTGTTGTATCTTCATACATCAATCACGGAATCTCACGTCTCTGGTGAAACCTCTTACCACCGCACCAACTCCACGATACAAACTAAACATTTCGAGCTCACCATTTCTTGCATCCAGATGATGGCAGTAACTCGATTTTCCAGGCAGATAGCGAGGGGGTGCGCATGAAGCAACAGATGACCTAAGGACAAGATGAGATAGCGAAATGTGCTCGCAGGGCGGTATCGGCAGCTAGGGTAAGATGCGGATTAGTTTGCAATGTATTAATTTTTGACGGCCGACTTTTTTTGGTCTGGCGTCATGCCGACGCAATGTGCATTTGTTGAGTGACCTTGGATGAGCTGTTATGCTTCCCAGGCCTGTGCTAGAGAGGCGAAGAAAGATGAGATGACAGGCTTTCTGATGGTCGCACCGTGATCAGTATGTATCAAACAGATGAAGTAATACTTGGTTGCATTAATGAATTGATGCACGTGTAGCAAAATCATTCCGAGAATAGCATCGGAAACAAGGCGACAAGACCATGAACAATTCTTGATGTTGTTTGACCTTTTGCGGAGTTCAAGTGTTTCGCTCCTACAAATGTTTTACGACTAACATCTACTATGATCCCCTGGATTGATTTATCTTCCCTTATGCAAAAATATCCACTTCGACCAATCAAAGCAGGAACGATCATCATCTTTCGATCTCGTTTCGCTGATCTACGTACCGGATGGTGGTATAACTAGCATGAATTCCATCGTCTTACGTCCACCAAGTTCGCCTCTCACCCACACCCATTCTCTACCAATATGACCGTAGTCTCCAATGATCCCGCTTGGTGGTCGGCCATCAATACAAATCGTTTGGACAGCTATTTTGCAGGTTCGTGGAGAGCAGTCGGATGTTGAAGTTGACACAATATAACCTTGGCTGTGGCTTCGCAGTCGCCGCCTTTGTTGCAGCGATGCATGATTGGTGTGAGCATGATAACATTAAAAGACTGCTGACGTCTTACGATTATTTTCAGTACTCACATTTGGACAAGAGGTATGTCGATGGTATGACCGGAGCAGCCATCTCGCTGAGAATGGCTTTATAGGTGGAATTGATCTGGGTGAGTAGTGTCTGGTGTAAGAGGAACACACATGAAAATACACTCGATTCCAGAGACAACGATGGTCCCTAATGACAGCTCTGTATCTTGGTGTATGTAGCTTGTTGGTCGCGGTTGCCATGTTGTGCTGACTTGAAAGTATCCTAGGCGCGTTACCTCGGAATCTTATACGCTGTGTATGTTCGGAAGGCTACACAACCGGTGTTGAGCTAATCGTCTATCTCTCATGATCAGGCTGAACATGCTAAGTATGTCTCCTTAGTACATTCACTGTCTTCGCTTCTTCTGACCAACGGCATTCAGCCAGTGTTCCGACCATCTCGCTGACAGACACAGTGAGTCTTCTGCACATATGCCTGGTACTATCCCCCTACAATTGACCTTGGTGTCCTATAGCAGTGGGTGTGGTTCTTTACTAACTTCTTTGCTCACTAATTACCGTCACGCTATACTGCAACAGATGTGAGTCTGTTCGGAGTGTGTGCTACCCGAGGCTGATCCCTGACTGGATTCGTTAGGCTGGATTATCTACGTCGTATTGGATTGGACTGGTGTCGTGGTATTTGCGATGCTGTGGGGTGAGCTTTGCACTTGTGAAACCTCAGCGATATTGATTTGACTGAAACATGCCACGAGTTATCATCATCACGCGGTTGCATGCCATGTATCAAGGATTCAGAAAGATCCTGATATTTCTCATTGTCACCTTCCTGGCCATCAACACTTTCAATGCAGTGTCCACCATAATGACAACGACGCATACTTCAGGGGGTACGTTCAATTGTGGATGAGAAAAAAATGTGCATGGGGCTCAACGATGAATACCAGAGGAACTCATTCTCTCCGGCACTCATCAGTGTCAGTTCGATGATACGGATAATATGGCACTTCTGGCTTCCATTACTTGGATACTCGGTACCGCATGGGAGGTCATCGCATTATGTCTCGCAGTCTGGATTGCGGCCAAACACATTCGTGAACTGCGACAACATTCGGCAGGAGGAATTATCGAGGACTGTTTCATGGTGTTGATGAAAACTCACGCGCTTTACTTTGCGAGGTACACTCATATCGTGATTATTGTCCCTTTTTGCCACTGATGGGTCGGACGTGCTAGCTTCGTTGCTGTTTCTTGCTTTCATCTCATTCTTGTGTTCTCTCCAACATTCTCAGCGGTATGTCAATCTTACACTTGCCTATGCACGCTACCACAATTTATCGTTTCTATAGAGCATTCCCCTGGACAATCAGATTATTTCCGGGTTTGTTCAGATTTTTGACATCGTGCAGCTATTTGTGTTGGGACCACGCCTGATCCTTGGTATTCGAGAATACCACGCCAAGCTTGTTGCTAATTCCGATGCAGCAACTAGTATGACCTCAATCGCTTTCCAGGAGCGCGTGGAAATATCGACTGGTAGTGGTGTGTGATACTCAGTGGGGTTAACAGTTGTCTGGTGCCCTCCAAAGAGCAGGGAAATTTGCTTTTATTTATTACCACTTTTGATCGAAGTTATATGTTGTTGCGAAGTAGATTTCAAAGAAATATTATCTAGTCAGATGATCTGCTATACATGCTGTTATAGATTCTATTGCTCTGAAGTTGCTGGACGAAGTGAGGGACAAGCGGGCCGCTGTTGCCATCATGCGTGGAACGAGACTTTTCACCCAATACGGACGGTTTGAACTTGAACTTTGTTGAAGCTCGCGCTCATCATGAAGGAGACACCATACACTTACCGACAAACACTGAAAACACCCGCACCGATCTCATGTCTGGCCGAAGGATCATCGGGTCATTTCTTTGCAGGCTCAGGTACGGGCTTCCATCAAATCCCATGCTGATGGATCATGTAGATTTATTCTGTACATATTACAGATGACGGATCCGTTCGCGTATATAATCAAGAGACTTTGAAAGTTGTGAAGGCTATCAGAGGGTTGGGAGAAGTATCGTCTGTGGTATGCATGGCATATTACAGTGCAAGTGGCCTCGGGGATATCTGGGTCGCATCCAATCGTCATGTATGTCCTGACAAGTCGAGAATCGAAATACTGCATGTGTCTGACAAGACTGTTTTCAACTTATACAGGCTCTACGTTTTACTGTGGACACGGAAAAGATGATTCTTGCGAAGGCTGACGCGACCTTGACGTTGGAACTTGGTGCCGAAAATGACGACGTGCTGAACGAGGTAGAGGGCGCATCACCATTCTTCATATTTCCGACTGATCATGACCAGCCAGCTCTCGCTCAACCAAAAAAACAGTCAACTGGCATTTTGTCTGGACTCTGGTGCAGTCGGCGTCGTTGATCTTTCTACGAAACAAGTAACACGCATGAAAACAAGTCATGACAATGTTTGTATCTTTCGTGTTTCAGGTGCATACCTCGCTCATAGTAACGCAGATCTGTGGGACAGTGAAGTTCATTCCCGATCGTCCGAGTGAACTTGTTAGCGGTGGATACGACTCTAGGCTGCTGCATCACGACTTTCACCAAAAGACCATATTGTCGCGATTCGATTTAGGTAGTCTGACTTTTTGGTCGATTTGGCTGTCACTCATTTTTCAATATTTCGCATGTCAGGGACGTCTCCTCTGTCCGAGTCTTCAGGTGTCTCAATGTCCCCGCCATTCATATTGTCGTCTGCCATGTCACCATCTGGCATCTTGGCTGCGGGAACCGCCGACGGACGGGTATGGATTGGCACCGGCGGAGAGAAAATGATAGGAGTCTCATCTGGTGCATCTGTCAAAAAGAAACGGCGGAAGTGGGAAGGATTGAAGCAAGATGGAGCCTTCACGGCGGATGTCGGGCATGGCCCTATCACTGCTCTGTATGTGTTTATTATTGCTATACTGCGATATCCGAACTGAGACACCAGCAGGACATTTTTCGGGCCTCGCACACTTTTCACATCCACATTGATGGGAAAAGTCACCCTCCACGAAATTGGCGGCCCAACTGCCGATGGAAAGTTGGACATATCTCCAAAGTGGACGAAGGCAACGACCGATGTGAACAAGGTTAATGCGATCATTGCTACGAAGGACTTGATCATCATTGGGGGATTGAGTGAGACGGGAGGAGGCATAACAGAGGTTTGGGAGAAGTCGGGTGATGTATGAATGCTTTACTAAGTTATTGTGGACTCACTGGCGACTCACTATCATCTGTGTCTTACTATGCAGGTACCGCTGTAGCGCTGTCAGACTCCAGTGCTAGCACCAGGAACTAACGGGCACTTCTCCTTGATTGCCGCATGCGACTGTGACGCTTACTAGTCTACTGAACCATCACAAGACACGATGACGAAGAATCATTCGATCAATGGGTCCCCGACCGAGCATGCCCGATTGTCTCGTGCTGTCAACCTGTGCTTCAACCTTTTTAACGTAGTAAGTCAATCTGGAAGACAAATAATAAGGATCCGCCACCTCACGATCAGCATGACAGAAAAGCACCTGCCAAGGGCGGAAGGAACGTCGTGAATTTGTCGTTTATGACTATCTCCTTGATCCTTCGCATTTTGGAAGTTTGAGCCAAGAAATCTCCTATGGTTTGCCATCTCTTAAAAAGTTTATCTATACGAGCTCATGCATCTGAGTTATCCCTGCAATCCTGCACGCTGAGAACGGTGCCGTTTCATCTAGAGAAACCTTGAACGTTGAAGGATATACAAGGGTGCCAATCCCTAAGAAGTGAAATCGTCTGTAACAGCGACGGGCGACTAATCCAGCTATTTGCATATGAGAGTGGGCTTGAAAGAGTAGCTAGCAACGAGTTTCCGCTGTGATGGAAGTAAATCGAATTTTAATTTAACGATGTCGTACGGAATTCTTGAATGCACATCTAGAAGCAATGAAATCTTGAACTAGAAGTCGATCGAGGAGTGCCACACTTGTGATGGTCCCTGCAATACATCACCTTGCAAGTCGGTTGCAGCTTTAGTACAGTATCTCTTCGACTTTGAGATATAAGTGAAATTTACATAGAAAAGACACCGACCGATGAACTAGTAGTAAGTTATTTTGGGGGTTCTCTCCCTTTGTACTAGTTTTTCTTTGAAAGAACTTCGGATGAGAGTTCTGTTGCTAGAGAATAGTTAGGAGCCCGAAAGCTGACTTGGAAAGCTGCGCATTGCGCAAGTCACTGCGCTTGGCTGGGCCTGTGAATTGAAAGCACTGCCACAACTTCTGACAGCCTTGCACAGTACTTAGAGCTAGCGCTTATAGTCTAGACTACTTACTGACCTTCTTCACGTTCTTTCATTTGCTTGCTCATATAGGAGACAACTTGCCCACACGCGATGTCACGGTACAACGAGGTGGGTTTGTTTATTGCCATTGTCATCGTTCAAGGCGTCTAACAAAATCCTATCACGATGATAAACAGGCTGACGAGGCACAGCGAGGACACTACAATGACGGGTACAGCGCTCACCCGTCTCAGACACCTAATCCTTATGAAGAACAACTATATGACCCGTATGACCCAAATCGCTACAATCCCCAATTTGAACACCGACCCTACGATCCGAACCAGCAATATCACCTCTCGGACCCATTTCTTACCCCGCAAGTTCAATCGACCCCATTTCCTCCTTCTCAATCACAAGATTTGTATCAGCAACAACAACAACATCCGCCGCAGCCACCAACAGACTACCTTACACCACATGCCCACTATAGCCCATTCGACAACGCACCGCCCGCTCCACGTCCGCAGTCGCAATTTGGTATGGATTATGAGATGGTAGAGCGTGAGGACAATGACCTGGGCGACATGCCACTGCTGCAACGCAATGGTCCCTATACAGCAGCACAAATGCCTGGAGGCTACCAGGAGGCCATTTCTGATGATCGCTCAGAAACTAACATTCGCTACGGACACATACCACAGCGCGTGCCCCGACGGTACAAGACTACCAAGAAGGTAGAGTGAGTGTTCCTTGTTGAATCTTATTTTCTCTCCCTCATGGTGCACAGACTCTTCCACGGTAACTTCGTGCTCGACTCCGCAGTGCCAACAAAACTGCTGGATATGTGCGCGATTCGCAATGAACGCGAGTTTACCCACATGCGGTACTCTGCAGCCACATGCGACCCAAATGACTTTAAGAACTCTGGGTTCACCCTCCGCCAAGGGTACTACGATCCTCCACGGAAGACGGAGCTTTTCATCGTCATGACAATGTACAATGAAGATGAGGAGCTATTCTGTCGTTCAATGCATGGTGTCATTAAAAATATCGCTCATTTGTGCAAACGAGATAGGAGCAAAACGTGGGGGAAAGAGGGTTGGAAAAAGGTTGTGGTCTGTATTGTCAGTGATGGGCGATCGAAGATCAATTTCCGGACGCTGAGTGTCATTGCTGCCATGGGTGCATATCAAGACGGCATTGCAACGGTAAGTTCCATTTTTAGCAAATGGTCATCAAATTGATGATAGAAAAGAATATCGTCAATGGAAAACCTGTCGCAGCACACATATACGAGTATACCACGCAAAGTTTGTCTCACTGTCATTTGTCTGTATCTAATCTTAACGTGACTACAGTATCGGTCTCTCCTTCGATGAAAATCGAAGGCGCCGAGAAAGGTGTTGTCCCCGTACAGATCATCTTCTGCCTTAAGGAGAAGAACCAAAAGAAGATCAACTCTCATCGCTGGTTCTTCAACGCCTTTGGTCCAATATTGGATCCCAATGTGTGCGTTCTCCTTGACGTTGGTACCATGCCTGGCCCCACTTCAATCTACCACCTGTGGAAAGCCTTCGATATTAATTCGAATGTCGGCGGTGCATGCGGCGAAATCGTCGCTCTGAAGGGCAAGTACGGACAGTATCTTCTCAACCCACTCGTTGCAGCGCAGAATTTCGAATATAAAATGTCGAATATTTTGGATAAGCCGTTAGAAAGTGTGTTTGGGTACATCACCGTGCTGCCTGGCGCGTTTAGTGCATACAGGTATATTGCCCTGCAGAATGACCAGATGGGGGAGGGCCCGTTGCAGAAGTACTTTTTGGGCGAGAAGATGCATGGTGCAGGTGCCGATATCTTCACAGCGAACATGTATCTTGCCGAGGATCGGGTGGGTGCTAAGTGGAATAAGATGATGTCTCGACTGATACTTGTTCAGATATTATGCTGGGAGCTTGTCTCAAAGCGTGGGGGATCGTGGATTCTGCACTATGTCAAGTCTGCATACGCCGTTACTGATGTTCCCGACCAGGTCAATCCAAACGTTCGAGTCATAGTGTAGAGCACGCTGACCCTTTCTAACAGGTCCCCGAGTTGATTTCTCAAAGACGTCGCTGGCTCAATGGCTCTTTCTTTGCTGCCATACACTCTACCGTTCATTTCCACTACCTGTATCGCTCCTCGCATTCATTCATGCGCAAGTTCTGGATTCACATAGAGATGTTTTATCAACTGTACAACCTCATATTTGCCTGGTTTTCCCTTGTAAGTTTCCTTCTGTACCATTCTCTACGTCACCGTCATGACCTTCATGCGCATTAGGGTAACTATTATATCGCCTTCATCATTCTCACCCAAGCGCTCGAGTCCTACGTTCCTCAAATCCGCATCCTTAACATCATTCTCAACTACTTCTATATTGGGTTGCTCATCATGTGCTTCCTCCTCTCGCTCGGCAATCGGCCGCAAGGTTCAAAATGGGGCTACACCCTCGCTTTCATCGGATTTGCCATAATCACGATTGATATGACTGTCTCGGCGTTATTGCTCGCTTACAAGGCCATCGAAGGCGTCGCGCAAAGTGAAGGACGAGCGATACAGGCTAGCGATCTATTGTCGAATTCAATCTTTAGAGATGTCGTGGTCTCATTGGCGGCGACGCTGGGGCTGTATTTCATGGCCTCGTTGATCTTCGTGAGTCATTATTTGCTCTGTATCTTGCTTGTTATTTATCGATGATTGTCAAAGTTTGAGCCATGGCATATGATTACGTCCTTCATCCAATATCTCCTCATGGCGCCGTCGTATATTACGGTCTTGAACGTCTACGCAGTACGTCCCTCTTCTTCAGCATAGCTCCCAGTCGTTCACAAAGTCTCAGTTTGCCAACGTCCATGATGTCTCATGGGGAACGAAGGGTGACAACAAGGTTTCCACTGATCTCGGTGTCGTCAGCGCGGGCAAGGGGGACAACAAGAATGAGGTCGAGGTAGTGGTACCCACGGCTGAGACTGACATCAATGCAGCATATGAAGATGCTATACATGTTCTGTCCTCGAAACCACCCAAGGAGGATTCCAAGCCTGATCCGGCAACGCAGCAAGAAGATTATTATAAGACGTTCCGAACGAACGTATTGCTGGTTTGGACTTTGAGCAACGTGAGTAACTAAATAGGTTCGTATTAAAGACACATTTATTGACGTCGTGGGTTTACAGGCTCTTCTGGCTGCTGCTATAATGTGAGCACTTTGAAAGGTTGCAGGTGTTACTGATCGCTAACACTTTAAATGGCAGCACTACGAGTGGCAGTGGAAGTGCGGGTGTGACCGGGTACATGACGTTCATCCTCTTCTCAGTTGCTGGACTCGCATGTAAGGGGAAGCTTCTGACGCTACACCATCACTAGTGCTGATAACTTTTTTTCTTTAGTCGTTCGTTTCATCGGCTCGACGACGTACATGCTCGTGCGCTTGTTTGCAGGGGAGTAATGGTTTCTTGAAGCCCAGTATGACATGGTACGATATGGACTTGCATGAAGACAATTTATGTCTCGTTGATATTAAATATTGCTGTGTTTTATATCTTTGTCATGTCTTGTCTTATGTAGCAGGCACTAGGAATACTCCGAGGATATTGTTCATTTCAGTACCTGAGACTGAGCTGAATCCGGTTTCCGAATTAGAGCTAATATTGTTCCTTGCCTTTTCTCTATTGATAATATGTATTTCTCAATTGCAGAGTCCTTGTTTTGCCATCACATCACCCATATCGACTTTGTCTTGACATAGCTCTAATTCCTTTGGTACGACAACTCAAGAAATATGATAGTAATGTGGACGCCCTTGAAGTTGTTTTCCATAACATCCAGATTTCACGGTAGTTCTCTTTGTACTCGTCCTCCGAACCTCCGAGTCAACTAGTTGAGTCCAATTCAACTTCCTAGGCCAGCCATTCAGTACTCAGTGTGGATCTTCATGCCCGTGTCTTCAGTCCTATCGTCACAAGGAACTCCTCCGCGGCACTGTTGCTGAAGCGGAACGTACTAGATGTGCCGCTGCCGCCCATGACGAGCGTCTCGTTAGTAGAGTCTGTTAGACCACGTCTCACCATTGGCGTAGTACCACACAGTTTTCTCGACATCCGTGAAATCAGGGTCACGGGCGGTGGTGTCGATGGTTCCGACTGCACCAGTGTGAGTCAAACGTTGACTGGCAGATCCGTGCAAGGCTTTTCGCCACCCTGATTACAAGGATAAGTAAGCTGGAGAAATGGTGTGCAGACACTCTGCTCGCCGGGTTTGATGCCAAGTGTTGTAGTCCCATGATTACAGCCTGAGCGCGGGCCCAGGGTATGTTTAACGTTCATTGATACCAATCGACAACTTCATGATGGTGGGCTGCGGCAAGGTGGAAGTTGCAGGTTCTGTTCTGCTTGCGAGTATGGTAGTTTGGGTTCACGGCAATGTTAATTCCCTTACAGGCACTGGTGTTGGCCCCGTGCTTGCCCCGTGCTTTTTGATCGTCGGATGAGCTGGTTGCTGATTTCCATCTCAAGTGATGGAGGTAAGGTCATGCTATTCCTTCCTGAGACAACCCTTGATATGTTACCCACAGTCCAAAGATAAATTTCTGAGCACTGCTGCCTTACATAGGTTTGGTTTTTGTATCGTGATTCTATACGTTTTTTCACGCCCTAAATTGCTTTCACGATACATGTTACGTTACGGTCGGCACGATGCAGCAGGCTTACGTTCTGTACCTGCCCAAAATGAACAAATCAGTTACCCACATTCAACTCAACTTCGAAGGTGTGTTCGTGAAAGTTCGCGTCTTCAAGATGTTATTAAAAATAATTTATTCAGAAACCCTGAGTCCGCGGCTGCAAAAAAGTTTACTCGGGTGTAAAACCAGGAAGCCGTTGAACGAGAGTTTCAAGTTTGACATAGGTGTCGAAGGGAACCATACAACAAGCGATTCACTGTGACAGCAATGGAAGCTGACTCCGGTGCAGATACTGGAACAGGTTCCTGCGCACGTTTATAGGTCGACTGTGAGGATGGTGGACAACGCTTTTTTCTTGGAACCGCAGGATTGAGGCATACAACGTTTGTGGTGAAACCATTGGGGAATGTGAGTCGAATTTTACCAATATCTATTAGAATTTCATGGCTATTTTGCGTCAGATACCGAGTATGCATCTATTCCGACTCTAACTTGTTCATGCACATGTATCAGTCAGAGATCGAACAGGTCGTAATGCGTTCTCAATTTCAAATGTAGACCGCGATAACGAACGAGCGAATGCAGCGTTCGAGGCCATTCGAGGCTATGCGATAGTACCTAGCTGGGGTTCTTTTCCGCGTGTCGTACGAAGAAACTAGATGGATGACCTGTCCCGTACGACAAGGCAAGCGCATACGAGGTCAGATTCAAACTCTATTGGTTATAATTTAGGACACATTTACCGCTTCTCTTCCTGTCCCACAGTAGACGACTTCCCATAGGCAAAGATAATGTAGGATAGAATATAATTTCACGCTTTAGGAACCGGGCCTTATGTTTCAACATCAATGTACAACGGACAGCTGGCGTCCAATGCGATAGTCCCCTCAAGAAATTTTCATTCCCGAACACTATCTTTCGTGTTTGTGCTGCATGAGGTACTCATCTAAGCAAGAGCTGCGCATGCCAAAGAAATAGTCATCATGGTTGGCTCGTCCGTCGGTCGAGTCAGCTCGGTTCCCATCAGCACAGCAACTGCAACAATGAGTGCAGTTTTTCTTTGTCGATTACTTCCATTTCTGTCTCATTGTGCAGTGCTTGATGCTAATATGATATATACCCGTTGATCTACAGGTTGGTTTTCGTAATTCGACAAGCGCTTTTCAAATTCCGGTATGTGATAGTCGGACTCATAGTCCACATTATTTTTGACACTCACCTGTCTAATATGGACAGCGAAGTTGATCGGATAAATGGCAGAAGCTGTCAATGGGCGCTCATCCATAGTCGACATGGGCTTCTAACAGCGATAAGAATGCATTAGTACGTAGTCGTTTGAACGTCACTTCACCGATATCATCACGGTGGTTTATCTCTCCGCACTGGAGACAGATACGTACAACTTCGTCGATGCGGCAGGGCTTCAAGGCTCGAAGCTCGAAGCTCTAGGACTATAATCTTCGCCGATGGCAGGGCTTCAAGGCTCGAGGCTCGAAGATCATAATATTACTCCTGTAGAGTTACGTGAGTGAATGACTTCCTTGAGACCACAGTACCCAGTCACTATCTAGCCGTACCGGGAGACTCCAAATGTCTGGAATAACAAGTACACACAGTATACATCACGTCCTAACACGTTTTTCTAAGTTCTCAGCGCTTTCAGACGGGTAAATGTCATTGGTGGGACCTACAGGGCAGAAACTCAGTTTGACTGCAACAATACCGGAATGACTCTATATATATATAGAATGTCAGCATACATCCAGTAAGTAATATCACATGAACAAAAATTGGAAAAAAAAAAGTTATATCACTGTTATATGCGTGCCACTTTCCTATATCTGATGGACATGTGAGCAGCAGGCCTTCTCATTGAACTATAGCTTACTCACATAATTACGGATGTCATTTGGGAAGCTTGAGAATGACGACTGTGTCATCATCTCTTCCGACTTGGCAGCAGACGAGTCATGGTTATCAATCATAGAGTTAATGAGGGGGAAATCCCCTAGGCTGACGTCCGGTATGCATTGTTTATACAGTTGGCTTTGCATGTTGTCTTCATGCAACTGAGGGCTGTCTTGACCCAAGGGCATCCGATGGCGATTGCACGGACAGTCGGGTTCGTGTAAGTTGAGATGAGCACAATTGACGTTCGCGATGAAAGGCGAATTGGCATGATATGCGATGTATGGTGTCATGGAAGGTGGAGGCGTGCATGCATGGACTGAGTACCGGAAATGGTATTCAGCAGAGAAGATAAGAACAGGGCGCGGACGACCCGAGGACCTTCCAAGGGGTGCTGGATCTCGACGGTACACATCCTGAATGATGGTGTACATAGTGGGATCTTGGGGGACTAATCATATATCCGTAGCACGTCAAGGCCGGAGAGTACGGACCTGGAGATCTGCACAAGATTTCCCAGAACTTGGGAACTAGGGTTGTGCTGTAGAGCAATGGACCGTCACCAGACGAGATTACAGAACCGGCGAAATATGGTCCAATGCATTCGAGCTTCGTGTCCTCGTTGTGTATAGGCGCACCATCCAATACAATTATATAGGATGACTTGGCAATGACGACAGAGGGCGAGACGAAGGTTACTGTGGGATCAATATCCCTCATGCGACGCGGCATGTTCAAGACAACTTGGGGCGACTTTGATAGAGAAGATGGTGGTGCATGTGAACATGACGATGAGCTCGAGCCAATCGACCATGAGCTAGACTCTGGCCAAATGTCGATGTATACTGGAGTACGTGTGTTGGGAAGCTGATTGCGTTTAGATGATGGCATGGCTTGGTTATGCTTCTTGTGAAGAGGATTTATGAAACAAGTGAACGGACGAGCTGACGAGTTGTACTATAAGCAAGTACACAAATAATTATCCCCACCTTTAAGAAACATGGTGATGAAGAGAAAACCTCCACGACGGCTTCCCTCTGCGAAAGATAACATGCGCGTGATGGATTCAATTACTTCCTCAGTTAAATGATGTGTTTCAATACACGCACAAACGGCATCCGTCGGACTCGGAGAAGATAATATGATCACACTCACATTTGGTTGTGTCCCTGAGTTGCTGCAGACAACCAACTCTTCTCTTTGATGATCTGTGCTTGGCTGCCTAGCAGAGAATGCACTCACATTGAAATGAATTCTCGAACCCTGGCGTTAATCTACTCGAACTGGGGACAACAGCCTGCATGACAACCTACTCCTAGTGGTAGAAGTTTCAACTCGGTTATTGTTATTTCGGTCTTGTACGTATATCGTCTAACTCGCAATCTATTTCAAATTGCTAGAAGAATGTGTCTGTGTTATCCAATGTAGTGAAGTTCAAAATATCCTACTAGATACGGACCTCATCTTCAAACAAGGTTGCCGTGGTGTTATCGAGGTATTAGGTCGGTCGATTTCCCCCACTCATGTCTTCTGGAACTCTTCTTGAATCTGGATCACTGTCACTTGTAGCAGCGTCTGTACACCTGAGTTGCCCGAAATCATAGCTGTTGTGGTGGCTAGGTAGTAGCCTGGGTGACCCCGCTGCGTCGGCTGCTTATTACTCAGCCAGTCCCATTAGGTTCCATTACAGATGCAAAAAAAAACTTTGCGGATCAATCTGGGATCCGGCAGACGGATCCCGTCAGTCCGTGTATACGCATGATATAATCTTGACGCCCAAAAGATTTATTCTACAAACCCTCCCGAAGTCCGTCAGCCATTCGAATTCGAGTTCCGGACGTGAATCATGGGGACATGTAATTCATATATTGTTTTCGTCATGGTAAGGGAGTCATGGGTATGCTGTACGATGCAAACTGTAAATTAGAAGAAGGTACATATGAGGCCAGTCGAGAACTATCTTCTTCACGCCGGTCTGCAGTGCGCAAATCAAAAAGAATACGTGAAGCCATAACGCCATGCAGGACACCTTGAAACCTGGTTATAATAGTTGAGCAGTTAACACTCAACACGAAGGGCAGTCGCTTACACATCAATGATACCGTTCTGCCCGCTTGAGACCTGCACCAATGGGTTCATATCTAATCATGGTGGAGTACACGAAAAGCACGTACCGGTAAAGAAAAAGAAACAGCGTTCGCAATAGAGATTGCTTAGAGCACAGTTAGGAGAGACGAAGAAGAAATAGACTTCAGAATAACATACTAAGAAGCGACAATGCATATAGCAAACTTCCTTTCCACAAGTTGGACACCAATCCATTGACGGTACGTATGCCAACAGAGCGAGATGTTAAAGAGTGATACATTGTGACAAAAACCACCGCTGCATGAATCTCGTCAGTAGATTCAAGGGAAGGCAGCATCGCCAGTTGCTCACTGAGTTCAAACAGCGCCGCACTAACGAACATGCCCATAATCAGGTGTTCCACTCTCGTAGCTTCCTCTACGGAGCTCTTACTTGATGTGGGTGCACATACACTTACGAGTTTCGGAGACACCGCCAGGATGTCACAAGTGAGCATTGAGGTAGCAACAACCTTCAAACCCTGATATTATCACCCGAGTAACAGAATTGCCGAATCACTTACCAAGTAGCTTGCCAACAGAAATCGTTTGATTTTCTCGTTATTATGCCACAAGGCAAGTGTACGCATGAGAAGCAGACCTGAAACATATGAAGGGGGAAATCACTTGATGGACATGAGCGCACATACCTTCGGTAGATAACATGATAAGAACCAGGGAACCTGGGAGACGTTAGGGGACATGTAACTAGTGATTGTGAGGTGACCTACCGCCAGCAGTCCGATATGTTGTCAGGCACTGCGTAAGCATTAACATGATTTAGGTATGGTTCAGAGACAATTGTATTTACCGCTTCTATTGATTGTGGCCCTACAGTGACTGCAAACCAATAAGAATGTTTCTCTCAAAAGTGAAGTGTTGCTCGCCGTATATTTCACTGATAATCCATACTATGGGAATGTATCTTGTTATGATAAACATGACAGACGCGATGTTCAAACGGCCCATGGTGCTAAACAGACGAACTTCATGTTCAAATGTCAAACAGTAATCGAATGCCTAACGAAGACGATAAGGTATTGGCCAGACTTTGGAGAATGGTGCATGCCTAACTCACCCAAACAGCAGCCGGTGCAACTTTGACAGCACTTCAACACAGGCTGTAACGGACGAGAAAATACAATAACGAACCTCGAAAGTACTGTAAACAAAGCACGAGAGTCAGATCAAAAAGCTGGATGATGAAGCGTCGCTCATTCATACCTTGATCGTCTGCTGTGTGTGAAGTAAAACCATAGATAGTGTATGTTCAGTGTTGCGTGGATTAGCTTGGGCCACTGAGTGGGCGTGTCTTTTTCAATGCGCCAGGTCCTTCAGCATTTGGTGGGCGATATGATCGCAAGTTGGGTGAACAATGAAGAGGGATGATAAGTTGGAGGGAACCTTATGACCCGGCTGCAATTAAGAAGCGAGCGTGATACGGGAAAAGATTTCAGACCCACGTTATCGAATTATCGGACACTTCTTCTTGTGTGACCAATCATGATGCCTCATCTTAGAGCATCAGCTGCGTTGCTGGCAATCCGTGCACAGCGATAACATGAAGCAACGAGCTCCGTTTGAGCCGAACGACGGAAGTGATTTGAAGATGTAGTTACGCTTGCATGAAGAGCATGAGTGTTGCAGCTATTGGAATATCATATCACGTCTGCTACTTGAAGCGAGTAGTTCCCTAGATAGTACTGGCAACTGTGTGAAGGCAAGCATGTTGCGTGTACGTAATCTCGGAGAGTCGGTAACCCTACTAGTAACCACCGCCGTATCAGTAAAAGTGTGTGGTGACCTGTTACCACTCCACCGTTCGGCTGCCAAGCCGTGGCGAGAACAAGGTACCAACAGAAAGACCTCAGAAACCTTGTCGGCTCTGATAATTAGAAAGTAGTACCTCTGGAAAATACTCAACTCAGATATCTTCCAAGTAGCTCTGCGTTCTTCGAATAAACGACAAATGAATTTAATTGAGTGAGACCTTAAGGGAAAAAATGAGCATAAAATTATATTATTGCCCGAAGCGGTCACTGCCGCTCAAAATATGTCCTAATTTAGTAGTTTTAAAATATTAACATTTTCTGGCCAGCACAAGCCTTACTCTGCTTACAGTAGGCTTGCACATTGTACAATAAATAATGACTAGGATACACTCAACAAGACATACTGAACTAATATACATATTACCAATATCAGAGAGAGTGCGGCTACAATGCTCTGTACCTCATTTACAAGAAAAAGAGCGAAGATATCTATGGACTTATTATGTAAGGTCCATGCGGTGAGCGAGGTCTTGACTGAGTTTTTGCTCGTACCTTGCTGTGGGAGCCGAACAATTTCCGAGTGGTAACAGGTCACTCATCAATGCATCACCGCTCAGATCACCGCATCAGTAAACCGGCGAGACTCAGATATTAGTTGATATTGTCAGATTTTGTAAGCCCAATGCTTCTTTCCGGTACATTACATATCAAGGACCGTTACAATTTCGAGTTTCAAACAAGGTTTTTGATTATCGATCATCTCACTGGTAATACAATCTCAATCTTATCCCACTGCAGCATGTCCCTGCAAGCTGTCATATATCAATGTATGACCGGATCCACCATATGCTGTATATACAATTGATTTGGGACTTGTTCTCCGACTCGGCATCCATGCTATCGCGGACGCAACTTGAAGTCGTTGGTAAGTACTGCTCTAGCTACTCTGCACATTGCAGGTGAACCTAGGGCCTCGTTGCAAATATTTGCAGAGGTGCATCCCTATGTTCCTCTACTAATTGCAAGGAGGGCAATTCTAGGCTGGGATTCATGTAACTTTCAGGTAACAGGCCCTGAACGCGGCAAGGGCAGCCCTTTCCTTCAGATGGCAGCGCGAAACGCACTGTTAATGACACGACACGAATATGTCTGCATAAAGGGCTGCTACCTCCCACGAAATGTACTACATTCCCTTGTCACAGTCAATCTCGCACCCCCAGCGAGGGTGATTGCCGATTGCCCGCTGATGGTATATTCAAGAATGAGCTCATGAAGGTAAACGTTTCTCATCATATGTTGACTGCGCACTGACACATCCCTTCCCTGCCGGCGAACAGCCACGGGCGATTTAACACCAGGTTCACAGCCGAGGCCATCAGAGACATGTTACAGGATCTCCCGCTTATGACACTGAGCTACCTGGGCGTCTGCAATTTCGGCATAAGGGACGAAATGGAAACAACTACGACTACGGCGTCACTGATACTAATAGATCCACCTAGACTGAATCCTGCCACGTTTTTGTTTATCTAAAGGGCCTGCTGGCCGGAAACAAAGTCGGATGATACAACAAGCCCAAAACTTTCTGCAGTCAAACACGAGTTCAGCCCTTGAGCGCGTATTCGAACTTACACTTACGGCGTCGGCGTTCTGCGTGCTTCCAGTACCATTTTCAGCTATGCGATGATGAAAAGAAGCCGGACATGACATTGTCGTCGAGAATAGCACGCGCCTGCGAGGCGGACATGGACGATCGATGAGATTTTTGAATGGGAAAGGGCTCCTGAGTACGAAAAGGTTGAAGTCGTGCGGTAGCAGCGATGTCTTGGTTACTTTTTAATGTCTTTAGCAGCGACCTGGAGTCTTTCTATGTTTACAAGGGCAAAGCGATCTGGCAGTTGATTGTTGAAGGTCCTCGATATTCGGTCCTAGCTGAAATATTGCTTGAAGATGGGTTGGCGAGAGCTGCAGGATGCCAGGTCTACGACTCTTGAGAAGAATAGGTGACCGAATTACATAAGTCAAGAAATGACTCAAACCTACATGTTGTTCTCTGCGTGTTTCCTCGTTGTGAGCAGTATGAGTTAGGGGCGACGATGGTCGATTGGGATCATGTACTGCTTACACGTAAAGGGTTCGCATGTGTTGTACTACATGAGAGTCTGCATGGCCGAATACTGATCAATGTATACAATAATTGTTACATACAACGCTCTCACAACCTGCGGATTCGACAGCCCAGTATCCACTGCCTAATAATACAAACAAAATGGTCTCCTGGCATGCACAAAGTTCAGACGACAGGGTCTGTAAAACTCGGTCGATGATTGACTTTGAGATCTGTGAAAATATGCCGCACCTGCCGTTGGTTGTGTATTGCCTTGTCCTCCTCGACCACGTGTATCATAGTCTGCATGACGCTTGCATTTAGCGTTCCACACAACGGAAATTTCCTCTTACCATCTGTGTTTCGCGAAGCAGCTCCGGCTCGCTTGCCAGCCCCAGGCTCCTTCTGCTCACCCTTGGACAGTCTTTCCACTTCTTTCTTTGTGAGTTCATCGTCCGGAATTTGTTGTGTGGCTTCAGATGGGAAAGAGTCAACCGGCGTGTCTCCGACGAAGTGTTGTGTAGCGGCTGCCATGTTTCGGATTGGTGCAAGGAATTCGTGGACAAGAAGCTTCGTGGGTTACATAAAGTACTGACGAGGGTGCATGATCGTCATGCAATGATGTCATTTTGACATCCAAGTACCAATATGGCTATCTCCAATGACATAAGCCACTTGTGATCGTGCAAAACACAATTGTTCCAAACCAATATGAACGGATGATATTACATATGAGATGCACCGTGCGCATGCCTCTAACATGTGAACTCGAGCACCGAAGCAAATCCGTAACGAGGGCTTACCCTGAGGCTACCGCATTCCCATTTAAACTCTGACCGTTTCTATAGACTTGATACACTATGAGTTCCGTTCAGTGGGCGCTCTTGGACATCGTGTTGCGATGCTGGATGCAGAAGTAATAGGATTGCGCGAGGCACAAGGAGATCTCCGTCAATACCCCCAATTTTTTTACGGTGCCTTTTCACTTCAAGATCAAAGGTGATGCCGTCTGCGAGGCGTCCAACACGAGTCCGTAGAAAATGGCGTGCCCTTGTCGTACATAACTTACGTTGGAGAACCAGAAAGGGCAAGCTAAGGGGAAGATATGGTTGAAACCAATGCAACATGTCAAAATTTCAAACTTTATGCAGTAATGATACCCGAGCGGCGTAAGATCTGGCAAGTACCCTCAAGTACCCTGGCCAATCGATCAACGTGTTTGCGTTATTGGAAATAGGATAGGCCTCATCTTCTCGTGGTTTCTCTACGTAGACAAGGAAACAAGGATCAACCGAGATAAGTGAGTGACACTTGCAGGGCGACTCACCGCGGTAATATCAATCCAAACCCGGGGTGCCATTTTCCGCCCTCTTGTCGATCAGTTTAAGTTCGTAGGGCCAGGGCCGTACTCAGCGAATGATAGAAGCGAGTCTCACCTCAGCGAACCATTGTAGGCCCGTCGTCTAGACTTCGCAACAGGTAACGCGTGCCTAGATTTCAGTATGCACAGACAAATTATTTACTCCTTGTGCGTAGCAAGTGCGCGACAGGCCCAACGTGGCCCTAGAACGGTCGTTGATCCCATGTTTCGAGTGTTGAATGTTGAACGTTTTGATTTCGATCGAGAACTCTGAGCTTCCAAACTGCGATGATTCATGGTTGTCTTGAATGCTGACGGCGCATGGTCCTTTCATGCCACAGACGGAGATGAGGATATGTAGCATATGGTCCTAGCAGAACGTTGAAGATTTGGCCGAGGGTCTCCAAGGGAATGAACCATGATTCTTCTTACCTTGACCTTTTGTAGATAACCAAAAGTGGATAGTGATCCCGCTTTAGCCCCATTTGTATTACGGTTTGTATAAGAACAAAAGAAGTTTAGTGGATAGACGGTCCAACCGTCCCTGCATATTTCAAGATTCGAGACGCTCACTGTTTTTCATTTTTCTCTCTCTCATAACCTTGTGGTCTTTCCTTTCTTTCAAAGCATCATACGCGTTGCACGCGAATTTGGCCTCCACCTACACCACTCTTTTCCTGTCGATCCTTTTCGGTACAACACAATGACTCTAAAATTGCTTGCGCTATCGTCTCTCGCTTTGCTAACTAACGCGCATATGGCCGCGTATCACAAGGCAATGTATTGCTTTAATGTCATTCTAATGCTCCACATCGCATGATTCAACGCTGATAGTAGCATTATGTCTGTAGGGAACTGTGGCGGGACAGGTCAACTATAACAATGACGATCCTGTCAGCCCCTTGTGGATGTTGCAGAAGAGCGATTACTGGTTTCATCATTTCAACGGGGTGAGTTTATATTTTTGGAGTCACGAGTTTATGCTTATATTGCTCAGTGTGATGAGTTCCCCCCTGCGCCAGGAGACTTCCTTGAACTGTGTGTTTTGTGTTTTGTTCTGATTGTGTAAATCTCATTGTCTGTCTCAGACCTGCCGGAAGTTCCTTTACTGTTGAAGTAGCCGCCAACCGCGGTGTGACGTCCCTGTCATTTAATGGACAATTTGCGACTGAGTGGGGTGATGGTCAAAATCACCCCGAGGACTACTCCATCGCAAACTTGGCAGGCGCTCCTCTTTCTGGTAGTGATTGCATAGGTAGTCCCAATAGTGAGTACAGATTAGACCTGGTCGAACAGTCACACTAACGATGGGTAGTGCATACACAAAACCAGTCTATGGCTGCTGGGACTGCATTCGCAATCTCTTACCAGGTCTGCTATTGTTTGCTGTCTGATTGAACGCAAAGCTTACCAATAGAACAGTCGGAACTCAGCGAGGTTACGATTGACAACCTCGTCGTTTTTACCGTCCGCTATAAGTGCGTTCATATCCGATGACCCTGTGAATACCCCTGACCCTCATTATAGCACCCCTTGGAAACGTATCACAAGCTACGATGTTCCTAAGGACATGCCTGCTTGTCCCGCAGATGGTTGCACTTGTGCTGTGAGTTATTAATGGTTTCTCTCGACAAGGCTAACTTTCATTCATTTTCAACAGTGGGTTTGGGTTCGTTGCCTCTCGGTTGCGTTTCATTACCGTGAATTAACAACATCTTCTAGATTCCGGATGGGTGCGGCGAGCCTAACATTTACATGCAGGGCTTCAAGTGCATGGTCACCGGCGCTACCTCCACTACCCCTCTTGCCACCCCTAAACCTCCCGTCTGGTGCGAGGAGGACCAGAGTACATGTACTCAGGGCGCAAAGCAAATCCTGATCTGGAATCAGGCTGAGGGCAACAATATCGCAGTCAACGGTTTTGACCTGAGCGGCAATGCTAAGAGTCCGGCGTACAATAGCAAGTGTGGATTCCAGGACGGTGAGGGTTTTCATGCTTTGGTTGTCATTGGAAACATTGTATCTGATATATCGCCACAGGAGCACAGAATGACATCTTTGGTACATCGTCTTCTGCCGCCGCCCCGCCTGCAGCAATTGCTTCATCACCCTTATCGGCTACTTCATTATCCTCTTCAGCGTCTGCATCATCCTCTTCAGCTGTTGCATCATCCTCTTCAGCTGTTGCATCATCCTCTTCAGCCGTCTCATCATACCCGTCACCTTCGTCACCTGCTTCGTCACCCGCTTCATCATCTAAGATATCTTCTAGTGCTGTAGCCTCGTCAGCTGTTTCATCATACCCATCACCTTCTTCGTCACCTGCTTCATCATCCAAGATCTCTTCTAGTGCTGCAGGCTCGTCAGCTGTTTCATCATACCCATCACCTTCGTCACCTTCATCGCCCACTTCATCATCCACGATCTCTTCCAGTGCCGTAGCCTCGGCGGCCTCACCTCCATCGTGCGAGACTTCTACTAGCACAATGTTCATTACATCTACGGTTCAGCCGCCTGCAGTGGCAACCACCTTTAGATCAAGCGATCCTGCAACCTCACAATCGGCCAACAATCTCGTAGCCACTGCTATATCGAGCTCGTCGAGTGTCACCCCGACAGGTCACAAGACTTGCCGCAAACGGATGGTTCACAAGCCCGTCCGCCGTCGTTTCCTTTTCAAGTAGTTGATCTACGTTGCCATCCTGTCGACTACAACCATCTCTTATTGTTGAGCGGGCTCGACTATCTTTTGTTAGCTCGTCTGTAGATTGTGAGTTTCGCATTCCCTCGTTTTCGTTCTTCTGTTGTCATATTCTTGAAGTTCGATTATTGTTTATGCCCCGCATATTGTCGTTACCATCTCGGCGTTGACGCTCATTGAATGAGGCTCAATGTATTTTACTCCGCATACATTTACCGGATACCAGATACTAGATACCGCATGCTGAATTCCCATGTACCAGTCTTCCTTGCATTGGAAGGCAGCAAACTTGTGTGATGCTATACAATTGTTTTTCTACTGAGTGATTCTTGATGAAACTAAGTACATGATCGCAAGCGGCAATAGTACTAGTAGCACTCAGCTCGTGAGAATTATTAAGTTTTTCAACCAACACACTCGATTATAACGCTCTTTGATCTCTCACGTTCAACGTCCAACTCCCTTGTATTTCAAAAGACAAAAAGTTACTGGTTACGAGTCTAGGATGGCATTGGAGCAGATCTGGATGTTCGACAAAGCAGAATATTTCGATCCTGGAATATCCGGCCCATCCGAACATCCGACCCATGGCTGACTTAGCATCACGTGTAGTTCCCACGTACCTGATACGACAGCGACGTGTAAATGATAACCAAAATAGGTAAGCACGCTCGCGCGCTCACTGCGTGCATTGCCGAAACCTTCGTGCTCGCTGTTGCACACAGCGAGCTCAATTATTTTACCATTTTCACACATTTTTTTTAATAATTCTTTTGCATGTAATTAAATATTATATATTTCGCATACTCATAATTGAATGAATACTACAATGGGTCCTGATATTCCAGGATCGAGATGTCCTCTCCACCTCATCCTTTGGGCCTCAACCTATTCTAAAAAGGCTCTTGAGAGTTGGTCACGGTGTCAGCCGCGACACGCGCGGCGGCGCTGTGAGTCACGTGGTAAGTTGTGACCGTGATATTTATTATACATGCAAGACTTTGGGTCGGATGGGTCGGATGTTCGGATGGGCCGGATATTCCAGGATCGAGATGTCCTCCGACAAAGCCAGGACCCGTGAGAATTCTCATAGAATCAAAACTGGCACCCGCTGGGCAAAATCATGATTTACCCAAATGGCTGTTTCATCTAGACTACCGTCGGGAGTCTCGCAAACTACTCGTTTTACCCCTCGAAACTTCATAGCTACTCTCACCTGTGTTATCTCCGATAATCGTAACTTTTTGTTCACACCAAACATCAAGAATATGATGGCTGCCTCTGCAACTCCTCCCCCGCAGATCGCACTACTCAGCTGCAGGCCAGCATATCTCGAGACTCGTCTGCCTATCCGAATAGAAAGTCACTTGTGGTCGCTGACTCAGACGTCGATGTACATGTAATACCCTTTCTTCCAGATTATTGATTATACTGCCATAGGTCTTATCCTTGGGCTGCCAGCACTAAGAATGTCCTGATCATACAGTTCTTGTGTCCATTTTTTTGAATTCAGCAATGTTCGCTTTGGCCCGTAGTCAGAATGGAAGCTTCGAGCGTTCGTCATACTATGTGTACGACATTCCTAATAAAGACATCAATGTTGCCTCGTCCCATCTATCATCCTCGTCATTATAATTAACTCAACCTCTTGGAGAATAGCCTGCGGTATCATTACCTGTTCGACCCGATCCAACTGGTCGAATTCAAAAGCATTTCCCTCCAGTTCTTCAACTCTTCGAGAGCCACAAATTCAGAGACGACATCGCCAGGCGAGATACTCTCTAGGACCGGCGAGGAGTTCATCTACATCGCGAGGCCCGTCTCGATCGAGAGCGGAGATGCCCACGCAAAGAATGCTTGAAGATCCTGTGCAGTCTCAACAGCAATGCCAACTTTTCACGAGTAGTAGCTATGCGAGTTGTTCGGGACTTGTTCCAGGCGCTCAAAATTGTTGTTGATCAGTGACGCGAGGGGGCGTTCTCCAGCGTGCACCATCTTGCTTTAAGCTATGTTCGACGAGAACTCGTGACAGCGAAGGATAAAAGCTTTTTGGGAAAGGCAAAGCAACATAGATGGAATCGCGGGTATAGTAATACGCCATTGACGTCCATCTTCCTGTTCAGTGATATCAGGATTGCATCGCGATGTGGTAAAAGAGACGTTTCTTATAGTGAGAAGGCAAGAGATGCCGGCCCCAACATACATGATACGAGTACACATGAAAACAGCGATGACACTCGCGTTCTTCCAAGACAGTCAATGAATCGTCACTGCTTCAAAAAAATAAAGCCTGCAAATCTGGGACGGGGAAAAAGAGTAAAAGATACAACCTGTATGAATTCAGTCGCTACGTCACCCTGCATCAGAACTTTCAAGTTCATAGAGAAGTTCACTTCCCCGGTGCACATAGTTCCCTGACCACATTCTCATTGATCCTCTTCTCCAAACATATCTCAAACGGAGCAGCACGTATGTTTGCACTGTCCGAGAATGCAAGCGTATCGATCTTTGCTGCAGGATTCTCCGAAAGGCGGAAAGCCCAGAGAATAAGAGCCGTGGTGATGAAGACTGACCGATTCGCGACATGCTGACCAGGACACACTCTGAAATTTTCAAGTAAGGCCTAACAAATGGTCGAGAGATGAACGATACCACTCACCGGCGGCCAAAGCCAAAAGTGAAAAATCGGAGATCACCGCGCACGCGACCTGCATCGTCAATCCAACGCTGAGGATTAAACGTGTGTGGTTCCGGGAAGATCTCAGGATCGTTTGCGATAGCCCTGAAACATGAGCATCAGACCCAAAGGTGAGAGGACGAAAATGATTGCCTACTGACCAATGGTTCCCAATCACAGTCGTACCTGCCGGAATCAGGTAGTTTTTCCAAATGATGTCCTTAGTCGCGCGATGCGCAAAGCCTGTAGTGAAAGGCGGTCGTTCGTTATCGCGTCATCACAACTCAAATAAGACATACCTCCAAGACTGACAGGTCTCCACCTCAGACTCTCGAGCATGAACGCGGTAACCTGCGGCAGCATTTCCTGATCATCAAAAGTCGGCACTAATCAGGAGCTATTTGAGTCAGTAGATGGACAAAGAAAAGGCATAATCTACCCCGCGTACGCCCCACAATGTTATCGAATTCTTCTTGTACGCGAGCCTGCGCATCTGTGTGAGTGGCAGCAGCCATCATCATAATTGTGATTGCGGACGAAGTCTACAACAGTTGTTAAGTGAAGACGCGATGTAATGCAGTAGCTTACTGTATCAGAACCGGCCGCAAACATCGGACCTGCAACGTATCCCAGGTCCTTGTCTTCGAGCTGGTACTGTTTCTGGTGCTCTAAGATGAACCTCGCGAAGGATGGCCTCGTAGTCCCCTCACGCTTCACAGTGGTGAGCGAGGACATATATGATCATAAGAAAATCACGAACCATTTGTCTTCGCACCGCGTCCAACTGCCTGTGATAGAGAGCATGTTCTTCTTTCTGCCATGCCTTCAACTGACTCAGGTAGCCTGGGACGAAACGCAGGATTGGATACGTATCCACAAGGTATGCTCCCGGCCGGATAGCTTGATGAAAACGCGCAAGAGTCTTATTGACGGCAACAACTTCAAGATCTGTATATGAAGTCGGAGTAATTTTTCCATAGGTGAAGGACATGACCACCGAAGCTGAATAACTTAAATGCTTGAATTATCACCTGTTCCGCGCAAGCAAGAGCTAGTGTTCTTACCGCATGGTATGACCTTGGTGGTTCTTTGGATCATTTAAGATATTCAGAACCAGATTCTTCGAATGTCTCGTCTGGATGGGCTCATAAGTCTCCGCAACCTCGGGCTGCAAGCCTGCATGCAAAACCCTGCTTCATATTCAGTCTCGTTAATTGCACCTGGTAGAGACAAGATGTATACCTGCGCAGCCGGCGAAATCTTTCACCAGAGCCCTCAAGGAGCAGTCCCAACCCGTCAGTCAACGTCTCGTGCGCTGCAATAGAACGCGGGCAGTCGGCAAGATTTGCTCCCTCTTTTTCCATGATATCCACTGCAGCCTATGACATAATATACTTCATGCCTGGCTAAACAATGTGTTGTTTTATGCTGACCTGATGACGTCCTATAATCACAGAAATTCTATGGCCTTGTTTGAGCGAGAACACAGGTCCATATTGTTCTGTCCATCTCGCGAATTGAACCGGTGCACTGCGTAAGGGGTTAGATAGAGATCATGTTGGTGTCCCTTGACAGAGTCTTACTATGACTTTGGCATTGTATTTCCCAATAGCCAACGTCCGGGTGGTCTAGGCGGTAACGGCAGCCGCCTTGTGGCCTGATATCGTTGTTTCACTATCCAGACGCTGGCGAAGATAGATAATGATAAGGGTGCATGCAATGATAATCGCCATTGAAATGGTCCGGCTTGCTGATAGTCACAATTCGGACACCCCGCTACTTTGCAACACGTTAAATACTCCAGAGTAGAGGTGGTGACTTGCTGTAACGAGCAACGGGTACTACAGTGTATGAACACAGTGAGTTATATTTACAAATACAAGTTAAACACATACATGGATCAATCGGACCCGTACCGCGGCCTTCCTGTAGTGTAAGAACCTCGAATGACCACCCTGGTGATAAGTGAGTACTAGTGAGTAGTGCCACGACGCGCGAATGCCAAGGCATTTTGACTCCACCTGAAAATTAAGGTAGATCTTCATGTCGTTCTCGATGATCCATTGTATTGGTCGTGCCACAGGACCGTCGACCATTAGGTTTACAAAACATTGTAATACTCATAGCGGTCGATTCAGCGGAAGTAAAGTGGGTCACCATTCTAGAAATGTAACTTCGTACTCCGTACTCCGAACTTGCCTTAACTTCACATTACGGATATGTTCTACTTATTGAATTTAAACTATATATTATCAGATCTAAGTTGCATCTCCGCGAGTCTGGAGGTCTGCCAAACTTTGTCACCGCGCCAACAAGACTACCAGGCAGCTGTTGATCTGACGTGGCCTGTGGTGATGATGCATGACCCGTGATAGGCCAACAGCCTGCATACCACGACTCCTGCCCCGTTATGCCATGGAGACGATCTCTGCTCATTTTTGGGCGGAGTTCGTGGCTGGTAATCACAGCTCATTTTTGAGGAGGGGCTCACGGAGAAACCTTCATCCCATAGGGCCATTTGATCCAAATTAACGAGCACTCTCAATCGTCACGTTATGCAGACTTCTTCTCATATGCCGTTTCCTTCTCCCCCTGGGCCCCGGCAGCAATGTTGTAACTGATGCTATGCTAAATTGCTAATAGTTATTCCTAGCTTCCCCTTTAGCCCGATAAATGCGCACTGGCAGGTGGCATGCTATTCTTTAAATTTCTCGCCTTGGGTTTCAAGCTGGCATTGGACGGTTAAGATGCTACGCTCAACTGTCCTCGCTTTCGCTGCTCTTGTATCACTTACTTCGGCAACCCCTTTAATCTATGATGGCCGCGCCCCCTTCAACTATACCATTGAAGACCTGGATAATTCCGTGGACCCCTACTTATCGTAAATATCGTCTCGTTTGCTGCTTCGCCAAACGCGGGCTAACTTCCCTGCAGAGTAGTGAAAGGCGCTATGAATGCCTCACATGTATGGCTGTATCCTACTTGGTGATGATCGACTACTAAACAACCGATTTGCAGTATACTCAACTCCTTGGGCACGCGCTCAATGCTACCCCATTGTGGTCACCCAATCTGTGGTCTCCTGTAGAGCAGCCGATAACTATTTCGATTGATAATACCTCTATCTTTGTCCCTGGAAGTGGCACGCCTCAAAACGGTTTCCGCAGGACGGATCTCATTGCGCAAAAGGATGGGAACCATACCGCCTTGAACGCTATTGCCGATGTAGGAACCACTGTGTTCCATGTATCCATTATGGAGGAGTTGGAGAAACCTTTGAATATGAGCCATGAGTACCAGATCGTCTGGATTGAGCCTAATGATGGAAGCCACGTCTTCGAAATACAGCTCGGTCAGTGTTACATGATGCCAAAGCTGTTATATCTCCCCCTTGACACACCCTGATATAGGTTCACCTTTCACCATCCCTACAGGCACTGTACCTGTCTCTGATGCTCGATTTCTGAAAGTCCGCAACCATGCGCTTGACCTTCTGTTTGAAACACCTTTTACTCCCCACGACTGGCATAACTTCGCAGTCCAGATCGACTGGAAGAATCTTACCCTCGGCATCTTCTATTCTACCAATGGAGAGCCACTGAAGGCTGTCACTGGTCTCGTGGAGAATTCGAGCGCTTCACCCGGTGCAGCTGGCCAAGGCGACTATCATTTTGGTGTACTAAAGGTAAGTAAGCCACTATATGACTCGATAAAGGGTTGTCGAATTGCAAAATAGCTTCCACTCGCGGATCCCAATGAAACAGCTTCGCAGCAGGGCGATGTTGTGCATTTCGGTATCCAGGAGGGTGATACCGAGGCGCTGACCTATTCGGGTATATTCATCGAGAGTATCATTGGAGGCGTCAGCGCAGGATATGGGAAGACTATCGCTCCAATATCTTGAGAGGGTGTGCTTGGCCTAAAGTCCGACAGGCTTCGGGAGAGGACTAGAGCTGCAGGAGCGCTGTTGGCCATGATTGTCTGATGTTGACATGATGCTACGAGAATATGATTGCAGAAGGGTATAAAGCAACATTTCGGCACAATACTTTCGCAATTTTTTTGTGAGCCTCTCAACTTCATGGCATGGTGTTGGTACCGGACAAATGAAGTCAAGAACATGATCAGGGCAACTTGGGTTACATAATTATGATGATGGTCACTGACAAAGAACTAAGGATGCTTGCCTAAAATGGCAAGCAATAACACCTTGTCGGATTGATTCATCGACGCGAACAACGGGCTCTGGGACATGCAATCAACAGTCCCCAGGCGTGCGTCGACGCTAAATTCTGCAGTACCGTTGTCTCTCGTAGGTTATACGGCGGACCTGTACTCGGACTCGCGCAAACACGGCTACCAAGGACCAGTGAGAAATGTCCGCTTACACCGTGCAACAACCAATGGTGGAGGGACGATTGCGAAGAGCGACGATGGTTTAAGATGCGTTGTTGCGGGACGAGAATGTGAGCCGCTTTTCAATATTTTGTGTAGCACGAGATTGACGCGTCATCGTTAGCCTTGCGCATCTTGCGTCTGTCTGATCCAGAAGATGTCATAAATAATGACCATAAAGCCTCTATTGGTCGCGGTGGGCATCGTATCGAAGCGTCGCGGAATATATGGGATGGAAGTGGTTTGAAGATTGACAGTGCAAGTACTGATGTTGCCTGGTGCCATGGCAGTAAGCGGTTACAGATACTACGATGTTCAGCGCTTCATTGCCATTTCCTCCTTTGAAGGTTATGACAACAAGATTCTCACAAGCGCGCGGAATGGAGATCTCATTATGTGGGACCTCAACAGAGCTGGTAATGCCAAGTACGGTGCGTAGACTGGTCTGATATCAGACTCTACATCTCAAATACCGTTAGAAAGGAAGACGAAGTTTCATATCCGTTCGATTCACAAGTTATCCTGTTCCACTATAGTTCCGTACTACTGTGTTACAGGTTCTGCTGATGGCGATATGCGTGTCTGGGTGTGTACTTATCGTGTGCTGGCCTCCTCGGTAGCTCACTTTCGCGTAGGATCTTCGGGATATGTCGAAGTCCATCATGAAGATCCACCATCCAACCTCTGTTCGCTCTCTTGTCTTTTCACCATGTCTATCCCATCCCCTTCAAGCTGTTGTAGGTCTTGACAACGGATCAATCTATCGCTGGGATCTTCAAATGGGCCAGAGAGGTCAGCTTGACAGGTTACCTGTCGCACATACAGGTCCAATTCTCGCATTGGACTGGTGTAGCACTCCGGGTTCCAATAATGCCGGGGATGTTATCGGTGCCGATAGGAGCTGGATAGTCAGCGGAGGTTTGGACCACACTGTCAAAGCACGTTGGTTTTTTGCACTATTGCGCTACATTTACTTATGAGCATCAGGTCTGGGACCTCGCCACATCTGGCACGTCCGTTCATATTGCACATCAGCCTACCTATACCCTACATCCGTCGTTCCCTGTACGCCGAGTACTCTGGCGTCCTGAGTTTCCCTCCGAGATTGCACTCGTGTCCAATGAGGACTTTGGCGGAGGGAGTGGCAGTGAGCTATTAGCCAGCCCTCGACTACAGTCCGCAACGCCAGCGTTCATTAATGCCTCCAGTTCCGTCACTAAAGACAAGGATCCCAAAAGTAACGGTGCAGATGCTGTAGAGATATGGGACGTAAGACGTGGTTGGATTGCTAAATGGACTGTTGAAGTGAGCACGTCGGAGGGGGGTGTGACCGGTATGTATTCAAATCACGTCAGGTCTCATTGAAGTAACGACGTGGGTGCCCCGCATATGCAGATGCTATATTCCGTGACTCGCATGGGCTTTGGGTCCAGCATGCATCTGGAACATTTGCTCAAGTTGACTTACGTAGGTCTGTACGCCCTATTGATGCCGTTCCGCGCGTGGCACTCTCTTGGAATGTCGGTGTCGATGGGGATACCGACGGAACATTAGCTTTTGTCTCAGACAGGAGGGCCAGATGGGAAGTGCCCTACGATGATATGTTCGTACTCTCTACTTTATGTCGCAGCTATTTTCTCATTTGTGATGCAGTCACCCTGACAAACGACACGTACTTTCTGAACGAAAGCTCAAACTAAAATGCCTTGGTGACAAGCCTCGCATGCCCGTTCTGCAGACTATGGGTATGTATGTACGCGGAGGGCTTCATGATACGGAATCTGTGGGGTCATTTGAGCACCTGGCAAGAAAGTACCTTGTCGAGTCTGACGGGAGGAACAGGACCGCCGTTTGCAAGGTAAACGCCGAGGTGAGTGCTCTTTCCGTATGGGGCGTGTCTATAAGTGAACAAATATCCATAGGCGTCTATCGAAGCAGGAAGCGTGCACATAGCACAAGTATGGTTGCTACTTGGCTCTCTGCTTACCGACGTCATTCCGGAGTACATTAAACCGTCACCTCATTCGGAGAAGAGCCATCAGATTACTATGCACCTCACGCACTCTACTTCAGCCCCTGCTGCCATCCCTACACTTAGCACAAGATCTGGACCACATGCTTCAGGATCCACCTCAAAACCCACCTCATACCGTGCTGCCTCGTCAGATTCTGTCTCCAAGATGATCCAACAGACACGCCCCACTTCCACTTCCCCTGCTCAACCACATATATCCAGTCAGACATACCCTCAACCTCACCCTGAAGACAAACGCTCCACATCGAAAAACAGCAGCGGAACCTCTGCATCGAGAGAACGTGAAGGGGAGCGAGATGCCCTCCCAACCACTAAACCACCCCCTAATTCACGAAACTTGACCCCTGCATCGTCTACATCCTCATCGCCTCGCCATATACCTACTTCCCTTCCGCCAGCGTCAGCACTCCCGCCTTCGGCAATCATGACGCCTGCTACAACCCGTCGTCCATCAGTTCTTATTTCCACCGCGGCACAGGCACAGGGACATGTACGGCGGCCGTCTGTATATAACCGCGCGCCTGCATCTCACAGCGAGAGCCCTAGCACACCTAGTGTCAGTGCGAGCGACCGAAACCTCCGTCACGTAGGTGAAGGCGCCCTGGATGACTCAGATTCGTCAGACGGCAGTGAAAACTGCGCAGTGGTGAGCGCCGATGCCCTGGATAGCCATAGTGAAAACGAGAGAGATGTACCGCCTGATATCCCTCGACAAACCATAATATCGAAGTCGAGGAGTCTTAGCATGGGCCGTACAGGCCCAGCCCATCCTAGCCCACTCTCCAGACTCGCTGGGCAACGTTGGACGGAGGATGAGGATGATGGTAGCAAGGAGCATGAGGATGACGAGGCCAGTCCGTCACCTGGATCGACTGATACTGACGGCGAAGGACATAGCGGCCGTGACTCGGAGTGCAGTACCAGACCACGGAAGGTTAAGGTAAAAGCAGCTTCTGTGGCGAAGATACGCTCCAGAAAGAACTCGAATGCCAAACGACTGAAGAGTCGCACGCGGAGTGCCACTGTCGCTGTTCTTACTGCGTCACTACCATCTCCTGCGCAGCCAGCGTCTGAGAGTTCTCATTTGGTAAAGCAGGCAAGCAACAGCAGCATTCGCACAGTCACAGTCGGATCTGGCCGCGAACAGGAGCAAAACACTGGGCTCATACATCGTGATGAGGATGCCTCGCAGGCAGACGCGGATGATCATCAAGTCTGGCGTGGTATGACTGAATCTCGACGTCGTATTGTAATGGAAGAGGAAGCTCAGCTTCGCGAGGCAGCATGGCACGCACTAAGGGAGGCAGTTGAAGAATTTGCAGAAACAGTAAGGGATAATTTGAGGTGGTCTCACATAATATCTGATGGAACAAAAATCAGGGTGATGTTCAGATGTGCGCTATGCTGGCGCTCATTGCAGCGAAGGAATTGGGGATCAGCCGGAAGAGAGGCTTGCAATTCTTAGAGGCATATATTGGTAAGCTTTAATGTTTGTTTGCCTGTCACGAACGCTAAACTAATACCCGCAAGAACTACTCACTCGCCTCCGACTGCACACTTGTGCTGCGTACTTGCGTAAATGCAGCAATTTCGAGGATGTTTCAAATACCACCAAGGTAGGTCCTGTTCAGCTGATGGGGGGGGGGGGGGGGGGACGGTGCTGAACATAAGTTTTAGCTCGAAACTATCATTTACACTGCCTGCGGACGTTGTCGCAAACCTATCCTTCTTTCACGCGCTCGAACGGTGACTGGAGCTCACGCATTATGTACGACATGTAAAAGTGCAGTTGTGAAGTGTTCGATATGGTCAGTCAAAGTACTCTATGTTACTCTGCACGCTGAGAACTCATCGTCATTAGTCATCTTCCTGTCCGCACACTACTTTTCCAATGTTCTGTTTGCACGCATGGTGGCCACCAGGAGTGCTATAGGCGATATCACATGGGACGTCCGATGGTCGATATCCCAACCTCTTTGTCGGCACGTGGGCGTTCGCTGATCAGAGAACGAAATGATGATGGTGAAGAGGGAGAGGAGGCTACTTGCTCTGAGAGCCGGGGGGAGAGGACACTGGCGGGCCATCTATGTGCAGCCGGATGCGGGCATTACTGTTGGGCAACTGTGGGCGGGCAGCTAGGTGCAGAGGAAGCTTCATGACCAGTCGCTCTAGGAATCGCTTGACTCTACATGGTTGGATCTTAGTCTGTTGTGACTGCAAATTTTATTTGCCAGGTGGCAAATGAATGGCAAATTTCGAAAGCAGTAGACTGTACGCTGTCCTGCAATTCGTGGTTTGTATTGAAGATATGATCGGGCGGGAACAGGGCCGGCAGCCATTTGCAAGCTGAACATCGAGATTAGTGTTCTCGCGTGAAGGTATCAGTTGGTTTTTTTTGGATCCTTGTTTATCATCTGTGGGCCTTGCCCTATCATGGACACTAGCAAGCACCCACTGTACTAGTCATTTCCTTGAGCAATCTATCCGCTTCGTCACGACCAAACGCAATTCCCGCAGCATCACCGAGTTGAGAATTTACAATTTTGGATCTGCACTCAAGTCACGAGCCCGCCAATATACGATACGAGTACAAAGAAATACAATTAATGTTGAAGTAACTGTGTCCGTGTTCTAAAATACGTACGTAACTGCTCGAGGACTGCATCTCAGTTGGCAGCATGTAGGGTGCTTCACTCCGACTTGAGAGCTGAGTAAAAAAAATTCCGTGTGTTCAAAATGCATGTGTGACCGGTCGCGGTGAGTGGGTAGAACATTCGTTATGACGAGATGGCTAAGTGAAGGATAATTGAGAACTGTGGCATAGGTGGCATTACTAAAAGACTTACTGAAGATCCACGCGCGTAAGCCGGACCTCGTAGCTTCATCGCTTGCGTCCATCCCATATTTGTACGATTCAAAGGCTTCTCCAAGTCTTCCAGCTTTAAGGAGTGTAAAACATAGCTTCTCGTTGGCAGTTTGTCACAGCGACTCGAACTCCCACCCGGATAGCTACAAAAAAAGTACATTTGAACATGAAAATGTCTGATTGCTTCATATCGACATACCACAGTGAAAGCCTTGCATGCAGAAGGAGTGGCCGATTTAGCCAAGAAAGTGCTAGCCTTGACAGCGGCACTAAAGTGCTCAACAGCTTCATTGTGATGCGCGTCGTTGAAAGCAATAGTTCCCAGTTGCGCTCGCAGACTCGCCTGATATACGAAGCGCAGATACATCAATGAGCACACAAACACCGGTGCACGGTGCTCACCTCCACGCCACGACAAACAAGGGAATCGGCATTTGGATCAGTAGCCAGCTGTTTGATACAAAGTATTGCTTCGCTATGTTCATTTGCATTGAACATTGCGATAGCCTGAGACTCATAATGAAGCACGGAGTACGCAGGAAAAATTCAATCTACATACCTGGATTAAGAAAAGGAAAATAGTAGCATCTGAATTGCCGACTGTAAACGTGAACGCGAGTTCAAAGGCTGTTCTCGCGTTCTCGACCAGCTGTTTTCCGCATAGGGCAATACCTTAGACGATATAGCCTGCTAACGAGGGATGTATGGTGAGGGACTATGTTACGATCGAAATCAGGATATTTGTGTGAGGGCACGATGAGCCGTTGTCACCTTGATTGCATCCTGAAGCGCACAGTCCCAGTCGGATTTGCGCGCCATAACGAAAGAACGATTAGCATAGGACGCGTAGTTGTTGACGCCGGCGTCGAAATTTTGGGTCAGTACCATTTCAGCAGTAGATAAGACTTCCGTCATGCGCGTATTGCGGGCAGGCTTGGTGATGACATTGGCCTGAAGCGTGACGACAATCTGAATTGTGGCGACGGTCTAGCAGGCAATATTTGATTTGTGTTGCATAATAGAATCGGGGAAACATGCCTTTGAATCAGAACCTTGATCCTTGGAATCAAAAGACGCATTGTGAGATGGCGAAGGGGCGGGAATTCAACAAGAAAGTACCTTTGGCGCCAAATCTTTTGAACCGCCTTCTGAATCAGAGCATGGAGACTCCGAAAAGACGCATGATGAGATGGCAAAGGGGCAGGAAACTGCCATCGATGGAGAAGGTTACGGAAAGCACCAAAGCACAGTGCTGGAAGCTGGCGATGGTTCGCTGATCTGAGAGGTGCCAGAGACGAACATGGTTGTCGTAAGATGTAGACGCAACGAGCGTGCCAGCAGAATTGACAACAATAGCCTTGATAACGGTAGCGTGACCTATCCAGGGTTCACCGACCTGCTTCCAAGTCGATATATCCCACTCTCGTATGGTGGGATCTTGGTGATCGCCGCCTGTGAGAAGGCGTGTTCCGTCGGGAGTCCATGCCAGTGAGAAGTTCGTTTTACGGTGACCCTTGAAATTTGCGACACACTGCCTCTTGCCTGATTTATAGATCTCGATTTTCTCCCTTGTCGCAATCCCGAGGAGTGTGCCAGACGGCGAATACCGGACGCAGCGAACTAGACAATTAGACTTGATTAGATTTCCTTGCACCTGCCACGTCCGCGTGCTCACAAACTTTGTCGTTCCGTCATCTAAACCAGTAGCCAGAACCGCGCCGTCTGGAGAAAAATCTATGGATAAGATTGTCGCGGAGTGGACTTTGATGGGCCTGGTGAGAGATTCTCCAGTTTCTCTATGGGAGGCGATGAGCTCTCCTCTCGTATCACCGCTTGCTATCAATTTCCCACCTCGTGATACCGCCAACGCATTCAGCGCGCCACGATGCCCCTCCATTTTCTTCAACACTTCAAGTCCCACAGACAGAGCATCTTGTCTTTTGATGCGGTGACCATCCGCCGCCCATCTGGTAAAGCTGCCACTGCGTTTATGTTGTCTGTATGATCTTCAAACACTCGAACAGCTGTAGTGTTCGAAATAAGCTGCACCATTTTACAAGAGGTGGGCTTGGTGTAGAGATCGTGGGTTTCGTGCGCTGAGTCGCAGAGGTGTAGCACAGATGAATCGGGAAAAGGTTCCCATCCTTACAATACCATGTAACACAAATTTCAAGGGTTAACTTGGCACTCGAGGTGATAACCTAAGTTTAATAGGCATTTTATAAAAGGCATTCGTAAGGGGCTAACTAAACTCCTCAGCCGGCGGCATTACACAACCATGGGAATTTTCTCTACGTACTGCTCGATGGTGAGTTACCTGCTGCTACTCTAGTATGACCGCGCGGAAACATTTCAGAGCAATCCAATTTCTTCTCGCCCTGATAGAAGGCACACGACCTGCAACTTAAACCTGACACAGTACTAACCAATAGTAAACTAGCGTCGACCCTACACGCGCTGTCACTCCTTGGTATGTAATTTAGATGTTCACGATACCTTTCTCATTGACTATCATGATGCTTGAAGCACTTTTCCAAGTATGAACTTATTGGTATAGTAGGCTTCACAAGGGCAGGATGGTGTCATACACGTATCCAGGGCTGACCATTACAACAATATATCTAGATTAAGGTGTCCTGCATGCATTTATGGCGTCGCGATCTGGGGAAAAGAAGACAGCTTCCAATTCGCCTCGTATTCAGGCTGTACCGCAGACGATCCAAAATGACTGTCTTACACGAAAGCAATGCACGATCATGCCTCACGAAGTGCAGCATCTTCCGGTCCAATTCAGTGCTCGAGGCCTTTACTCTTCTTCACATGCATCAAGAAATTGACCAGACCGTTGTGCTACTAGTAATAGTTTGCGCCTGTTTATATCGACCGCTAGCACCCTTCTGTATGTCCCCCGAATCCCCGATTGAGCACACACACCTTTCCCCATTTTCCTAACTATCAAGCGTGGTTGCACACAGAGTTCATTTATGGAAACGTCACTGCTGCGGCATCTCGCGCTTTTCGTTCAACGAACGACAATAGCTGACTCGGGATGACGGGATGTTTACAACGTGTGTTCACTGTTTTTTTATGCTTGCATTTGTTAAACTGTTTTTAATCCTGTCTGGTGCAGTGCTGCCTTGTATCTTATCTATTCTCGCACCGTCGATCTACGACCTGCCCACGATTTGTTCCGTTCTGTGCTGATTGATTCCCTCGATTTGGAGCAGTTTCCATGGAGGCGATATATCAGACACGAGGTGACCTCGTAGTTCTTTGCGGACACAGCATCACGGATACATTTTGGCATATACATTACGCATTTCAGGACCCTACTCCCGCGGTCTCCGCTCTCTCGGGCTGTGTCTTGTTCTTGGCTGCAGTGAAATATTGTTAGTACATATGTCAATCGTCAAACGTTTGGAAGATGATTGAACGATCTATAGGCAGTGTTAGGGTATGTATTCCCTTCTCTGAGACGGCTCTTACCAGACTTATGTCATTCTGCCCCGAAAAGCATGATGCTATAATATCAATCAACAGTTAAGAACGTGTGCACGACACTTGCAGGCTGCAGCCTATGTTTTGCAGCCAATCTGAATCGCGATAGAGCGGGCTCCCGGCCCTGTTATAGCCACGTAGCAACGTAGCTCCATAGCCCGGGTCACATGCTACTACGTGACAACAGACGTTAAGATACTGTCAGAAACGTTCCTCGCTCCGGAGCACCCGACTTTTTTTGTAGATCTTCCAAGATATCGGAATATATCGGCCAGTGATATCGACGCTATGAACTTAATAAGTCACCCGGCATATCAGTATTTTGATCTATCTATACTAACACATAACAGTATGCGAGGATTGCCAGATTATCATGATCAGTGATAATTACTCTAAGCTGCAGATCAAGCATGCTTCTCGGTAGTCAGCATAGCTTCAGATTTGAATTTCCAACGCACGTGTCATATGCGATTTGTTACCTACGTTTAACACTGATTCGGTAATTTTCTGCGCGGCAGTCTTGGCAGCACATGGTAATACTTTATTATTATTAATGTAGCTCCCAATGTGACCGTGATTCTCCGATTCATACCACTCCTTGCTGTAAGGCAGGCCGAGCTTGGCTGAAGCTGAAAACTTCATCGGAAATGGAGCGGGGGATATAACTGTGATTACAGACTCGGACGCGTGGCACTATACTGCCACCAGCGTATATCACTCACGTTTGCGCTTCGCGACAGAACCTTGGAGCTAAGTTGATTCTGGGCCTGAGCCAGCGCCACACTAGTACTTAATAAAAGCCCGGCCGAGCAGGCACGAATATTGCATCATTGATCCCTTTCCTATCTGTGCACTAGGATGTCTGGTCAAGCCGCAGGAAGCAATGATACTCGCCAGAGAGCTGCCCTCGAGGAATATGAACAATCTGGTGAGGGCAGGCCCCCTTTCATTCTGACATATGCCGAGGTGAAACTCCTGGGTATCGCTGGGGTGAGTGCCGCATCCGTGTCGTGTCTGCGTTTGCGTAAACTTATCTGT